GATAAGATATATACCATAATATCTAAATTAAATTTAGATCAAATTCTTAAAATGATATTTTTATTGACTCTCAATCCATATAACAACATAAAAGTAGTAAAATATTTAAGATACATGAATATAGTGGCTAAGAATGAAAGAAGCATTACTTATAAGATGATAATGTAAAACAGACAAGAGAGATGAATCTTTAAAAAAAAAAAAAGACATTTCATATATTCATATAGTGTAAAATGAAAATTTTAATTAAACTTTTACAATGTTATTAAATATATATATTTTTAACTCATACAACAAATAACAAACAACAAAGGAAAAAAAAAACATAAAACAAAACAAACAAAAATATATAAGATTTAAGATAAAGATGAAGAAGATGAGAAAATGAATATTTATAAGATAAGAAGTGATGAGAGTAACAAAATAAAAGAAACTAATTGTGGGAGCTAATTCTAGTTAATTCAAATATAAGAGAATTATTTAATGCAAATTTCTATTATTTCAGTTTTTATATTAAAGTGTGAGTTAAGAATTATTTGAATAAGAGAGAGAGGTAGGAATATATTATTTGGAAATTATGTTACAATAAAATATTTAATAAGGTATTTCTTAACCAAAAAATAAAATGGATCTTTATAACTTAATTCTCTTGTTGTACGATGATTGGAACTAATATAAGATACAATGTTAGATTTGCATCATACTTTCTAAAGAAATTTATATCAAATTCTTAAAATGATCATTTCATTGATTTTTCTGTCATATAAGAACATAAAAAAATAGAGAAACAAATATGAATAGATACATGAATATAATGGAAAAGAGGGAGTGAATGTACTTATATGTTGATAATAAAAAATAAAAAATAGAGATGAATTAGTTTACAAAAAAAAAAATAGAGATGAATTTTCAAAAAAAAACAAAAATTATAATAACGTAAGATGTATATCAATATATCATACAGTCTGTAAAAGTTTGTACAGTTGAAATTTTATATAATAATATATTTTTTTAAAACTCATACAACAAAAAAAAACAAAGCAAACATATTTCATGAAGAAGAAGATGAGAGAATGATATAATGAGAGAATGAGATAATGAGTATATATAGGAAGAGAAGTGATGGGAGTTACAATTTCACAAAACAATTATGGGAGTCAATTATAATTGATTGTGTGTTGAAAAAATTGAATGAAAAATATAGTTAATGCAAATTTATATTATTTCAGTTTTTATATTAAAGTGTGAGTTTAATGTATATGATTAAATGTTTTTGTGGTTTATTTGTTTTTTTCAGTTTTATATTAAAGTGTGAATCAAATATATAATATTTTTAAAAGTTACATGCCAAGTGGACCAATAAGAAGATAGTAAAACCTTATTTATATATGATAGTAAAACCTTATATATATATATATGATTTGTGAATAATATGATAGTTATTTCTTTGATTTAAATTCGTTATATTATTTTCTCAACTGTTTGATAATAGAAAATTAAATAAAATTTGTTGGTTAAATAGTTACATAGAAACAATTATCTTATAAATTATAAATATTTTTTATCCAAATTTTATATAAGAACTACTGATTTATTATACTGAAAAACAATCAAGCTTTCTCTAATTTAATTGGAAACCAAAATTAGGAAAACATATTTTGTAACAATGACACTTTTTAAAAAGCAAACTATACATATAACATATAACTTAGACCACAATATCAAAAAGTAAATAATTTTGAAATATTAGATTAGAAATTAATAAAAACGACACATGTCAGAAGCACAGAGCGACAAATGTCGCATTGTGAGGCAAAGTTAAGAAAAAACCTTATCTTATTATATAAGATTGCTTTAGTTTAATGGAAAACCTTTTACGAAAGAAGAATAATCTATGTTAACATTATATTTGATAGGACTCCTATCATAGGAGTATTAAAATGCCATGTCCGTTAAACTAAAAAGTATGAAATTTTTTTTTCCCCTATTAGGATTACTTTATGAATAAGCTGTTTATCACAATAACCGGTTTAGGTTTTGAAGCTATTTCAAACTTGTCGTAAACTGGTACCCGCTTTTCTAAGATCTTCAAGCAGATTCTTAGTGGTTTTGATGGTGATCCCACGGATAATCCAAGAAACCGGTGGTAGATTAAGAGGAGAAGAAGGCTGAAAAATCTGCTCCATTGTCACTTTCGATCCAACTTTTCCTTTTCCACCACTACATCTTTTGTATTCTTCTCGAGTTTTCGGCAACCTTGGCTTGCACAAGCGTTCCTGATCTACAAAGTCTGGCTCAACTTTCCAGCTACCCTCAAACACTTTCATTAACATCATTTTCTTTGTAGTATATTTTGCCTATGCAAAATATATTCAAACACTAATTAATTCATCCAAAAAAATGAACTAATCAAAACATATGATAAACTTTCTTACCGTTAGGTTTTTATGGTTTTCATGGATGATTAGATGTATTGGTATATCTCCAGAACACCCAAGGAAGTTCCAAGACAATGCTTTTTCCACCTCCGTGGTCTGCCTCGGTCCATCCTTCTTCAAAACCTTTGTTGATTTGTTTTCCTTCATTAAAAAACAAAACACCAACCCCTCGATTTAGCTTAAATGAACTTATAGTATATCAGTACTCAGTTTACAAATATATGAAAAAACATACCAAACGTTGGCGCCCGGCCTTGTCCTCTTTGAAGAAAGGAAAGTTGTTTGGATTAGTGAACATCTCATAGACTGCTTCTGGAGGCAATCCCAGTTTGAATTCTATGTTCAAATGGCAAAGACCTTTTTTTGTTGTCACCTACAATTAATATTCAAGATGTAAGAAAAGAAAGGTTTAAAAGATATATTACTCTTGATCTTAGCAATTTTTCTTAAAGGCAATTAAAAAATCTAACAAGTATTGAGATTTTGTTTGCTTATTTTGGTCTTACCTTCACCCTAGCTGGAGCATCATGCCATGGATGCTTCTTCTCTGCAGCTCTCCAAAGTTTTGATTCCTTCTTTACCTCAGCTAGGTTGTAGTAATTAGGATCTACCGCCCACACAGAATTAGACGAGGAGCTCTTGGACTCGTCCTACAAAAAAACACACTATATTATTCTACATTTGATTTGACTTCTTTGAGTCCTGTGATTGATAGCGTTGAAACTGACCTCATCACGAGGCTCTTCCACATTCTGATTGATCCATCCACTAAATCTAGGAATTACATTCATTTATTTCCGAACTTTAGTCAACAAACAATATTTTAGTCAACAAACAATATACTACCCTAATCAGAGCAAGATTCAGATTTAGATAAAATACAAGTATGGAATAGAAACTGATAGAAACGTATAAGAACGTACAAGGGAAAACGAAAGGGGCAACTCAAGTTTCATGAGTTTCTGACGTATCGGGGCTTCAACTACATGAATCCTTAAAATCCTACTCTTGTCTCTACAATTCAATTCTTGGAGACGTCTAATTATATACAACCTTCGAGTCAACATTTGTTTTACAGTTTATAACTGAAATGAGAAAACATTTATTTTCACAATTCCGAAGATTTAAAATTCAGATGAGCAATTATCTTTGCTTCACTTGGTTTTATAGATGTAAGGTTTTTTTGGGTTATTTAGAGTTCGTCATTGCTTTTGAGCTCTTATTTCTTTTATTTGAGATAACTAAGAGTTTGTTTCTCAATTCAGTTGGTTTTATTTTGAGAATATAGAGATGGAAGGGTGTTGAGGATAAACAATTTTGAGATCATAGTAAAAAAAATTTACTTTCGTCTCATCTCGTCAACAAGAAAAAATTTCCGTACCATTCAAATATTGAATCATCCGATTGAACCGTTTTCATGGTTTTACCTTGTACCAAGTATATTGGTATTAAGCTTTGTTACAACTTACAACATACATATATCTATGTGTGATCAGTTGGTTAGTCTTTTTCCATGAATGTAGAGACTCACTCTCGTAGTGTGACACTCGCATATTGAAGCATTTTGAGTAGAGTCTTGGTGGTTCTTATGGTGAAATCACGAATAAACCAAGAAATTGGCGGCAGATTAAAAGGAGAATATGGCTGAAAGTATTGGTCCATTATTACTTTCGATGCAATCCTTCCTTGCCCGCCACTACATGTTTTGTATTCTTGTAGACTCTTTGGCTTCTTTTGCTTGCACAAACGTTCTGAATCTACGTATATTGGCTCAATTTTCCAATTACCTTTGAAAACTTTCATGAACATCATTTTCTCTTTCTTATATTTTGCCTGCAACACAAAAAGCAAAAGTAATCCAAGTCAAATTTTCAAAACAACAATAGTAATTAATGTTTATCAGAAAACATACAAATGAATATAAAAGGGTACAAAGAAGTAAGCTTCTTACTGTAAGATCCTTTTTGTTTATATCGACAATTAGATGTATCGGAAAAGATCCAGACCACCAAAGAAAGTCCCATGCTACAGCTTTCACCAACTTCACAGTCTGCCTCGATCCATCCTTCTTCAAAACCTTTCTTGATTTGCTTGCCTTCATCAGAAAATACACACTTACTATAACTAATTAATACCACATTAGAACCATAATTAAGTGTCCATATATATATATATATCCATATCCATAATAATGTAGGAAAAGAAAAAAAACCAGAAGCGGGCGGCCATTCATGTCCATATCAAAGAAGATTGAGCCGTTATTTGGACTAGTGAAAAGTTCAAAGACTCCATCAGGATCCAAGCCAAATGTCAATTCTATGTTTACATGGCAAAGACCCTTTTTTGTTATTACCTTCACACATAAAACATATAAGAAAACTTTTAAGCTTTTTTCTTCTTCTTAATTTAGCCAATTTCCTTAAAAGATCAAAGTATTTTTGAGATTTTATCATTCTGATTTGCAACTATTACCTTCACCTTAGGAGGTGCATCATGCCATGGATGCTTCTTCTCTGCAGCTTTCCAAAGTTCATTTTGCTTCATCATCTCCTCTTCGTCATAACTTGGTTCTTCCTCATTATTGGTATCTTTTTCTGACTCTGAATTAGTTTCAACATTCTCAGATCTCCTGGACTCAGCCTACAACAACAAACATAGTTTATATATTTTTTATTGAACTTTTTGTGTTCTCTAATTAATGGAAATGAAACTGACCTTAGGCTGTTGTAGGTTCTGATTGATCCACCGACCAAATCCGGGAAACACACTCATTTCTTTCTGACTAGATCAAACGCAAATGAGAATCGAAAGTTCGTTATGTTTAGAAAAGAATACAATATGAAATTGGTATACGTTATGTTTTACGTACGGGAGGAACAAAAGAATTTGGCAGCTCCATTCTCGTGAGTATTACGTATTCAAGAAAGAGATAAGTTATTTCCATTATGTCGTGTGGATAGAGTCGTGCCTAGAGTTTTCAAAGTCATAGGAAAAGTAAATTTTATTTTTAGTATTACTGTATAATGTTATAACTGTATAGTTTTCTGAATCGTTTATTTTATTTTTATTTTTTTAGGGCAAAGAATCGTTTAACTTAATATGCCATGTTGTTGCTTAAAATCGTTTTAGTGCATTGTTTCAGGTTTTTTTCACAATTTTTTTTTTTAAAGTTTAACTGAAGTTTGCGTGTTGTATTTTTTCAACAAAATACAAAGTTTTTGGTAATGAATAAATCAAAGAGCTATAGTTGTCAAAAACTGACAATCAAGAACAATACAACAAAATACAACGTCTGTACCCAACTCGAAGGTCAAAACTTAACTAATGTTAAAATACAAAAAATTTGGTAATTAATGATAAAATAGGTATCTTTTTGACAACTATACCTATCTCGAAGGTCAAATATTGGCAGTAGCTGGCCCAAAGGCTTGGTTCAGCCTATTTTTTGTGTTTTGTAAGATTCTAAGATTCGATCTCAATTCAGTTTAATGGAAACTCTTACCAAGAAATAGAAATATCCGCATTAAGAGTAGTATACATATATCCAAAAAGGAAAGTATGTAAAATTGTATTTTCCATTTATTATCAAAGTGTTTACCACAGTATAGCCGTTTCCATTTGGGATTTTTTCAAGCTGTTCGTAAAGTGGTACCCGCTTTTCTAATATCTTCAAGTAGAGTCTTAGTGGTTTTGATGGTAATCCCACGGATGATCCAAGACACCGGTGGCAGATTAAGAAGAGGAGAAGGCTGAAAGATCTGCTCCATTGTCACCTTCGACCCAACCTTTCCTTTTCCGCCACTACATCTTTTGTATTCTTCTCGGGTTTTCGGCAACCTTGGCTTGCACAAGCGTTCCTGATCTACAAAGTCTGGCACCACTTTCCAGCTACCTTCCAACACTTTCAAGAACATCATATTCTTTGTCGTATATTTTCCCTAAGCAAAGAGATGTTCAAAACACAAATCAATTCACTCGAAACCGCGAACAAAATCAATTTCATCTTCTTGTGAAGGATATAGATAAGATTTTCTTACTGTAAGATTTTTATGGTTTTCATCGATAATTAGATGTATCGGAATTATTTTAGACAAGAAAAGGAAGTTCCAATGCAAATCTTTTTCCATCTTTGTGGTCTGCCTCGGTCCATTTTTCTTCAATACATTTCTTGATTTGTTTTCCTTCACACAGGGATAAAAAGCCACAGTCTCAATCAGTTCTATATACATTAGTCAATAATTTTTTTAATCGCTCAGTGACAAGAAAAAACACCAATCGTTGCCGCCCGGCCTTATCCTTTTTGAAGACTGGATAGTTGTTTGGATTAGTGAACATCTCGTAGACTCCTTCAGGAGGCAATCCTAGTTTGAATTCTATGTTCATATGGCAAAGACCATTTTTTGTTGTCACCTTTAATAACAAACATTAAAAAAAAATGATAACTCTTAAAGGCAAGACAATTTTAGAAGTAGTGAGATTTTGTTTGTTGGTCCGGTCTTACCTTCACCTTAGCCGGAGCGTCATACCATGGATGCTTCTTCTCTGCAGCTCTCCAAATTTCTCCTTCCCTCCTCACCTCATCTAAGTCGTAATATTTAGTATCTACCGCCCATACAGATTCTGATTTAGGGTTCTCGGACTCGCCCTACAGTAACAAAACAGTATTTTATAATTATTTCACTTCCTTGTCTTCTATTATTGAATGGATTTGAAACTTACTTCAGGGGGCTCTTCAGCATTCTTATTGATCCAGCTACCTAATCCAGGAATTACTCTCATTTTTTCTTATAAAATTTTCAACCACAAACGATACTACCCTAATTAGAGAAACAGAAAGTGACGATCCAAACATTAGCTACAAGCTTGGTTTGGGTTTAGACAAAACACAATATGAACTAGAAACTGAAAGCATACGTATACCTCTTACGATTACGTACAAGGCAAAACTAAGTGGACGGCTCGATTTTCATGAGTTGTTGACGTACATGCAACATCTACATGAATCTTAAATCCTCTTCTTTGTCCCCTTCAACAATCCTTAACATACAGATTTGGGGTAATTAATTAACAACGAGCTTTTAAAAACGAATTAAACCGGTGTATGTGCTTTTAAAAACGGTTTAATTCGTTTTTGTGCTTTAACGTCGGACCATGTACTGAGCAATGTAACCACAACGTAAATTATAAGGAAAAGTATTTAAACTTTTAACCAATTACGTAGTTTTTCCGATTTGGATTTAGATAAAGTGATATATGAATCTTTCTTTTTCTTTGTCTTGGTCAGAACGTGATTCTTTTACAATATTCCAATGTTTGAATTTAACATTTATATTCAAATGGTATAACTAGCGAATGAATATCGAATTTAACAGATGGTTCAAACGCTTTTGATAATGGCGGCCCGAACTTGAAATTCTTCGACTAGAGCCTTGGTGGTCTTGATGGTGACCCTACGAATGTACCATGAAAGCGGTGGAAAATTAAGATAAGAAGAAGGCTGAAAAGACTGCATCAATGTCACTTTCGAGCCAATCAATCCTTTTCCGCCGGTACATTGTCTATACTCTTGTCGATTCTTTGGCAGCCTCGGCTTGCAATAGCGACTGTTGTCTATGTACCATGGCTCTATTTTCCACTTACCATATAACGTTTTCATGAACATCGCATTCTCTTTCGGAATCATATATATTGCCTGTCCAAAAGTAAGCCACATAAACCAATTTTTTTTTTTTTTCAAATATCACAAGAACTAATTCCGGACCAAAGGGTATATATATAGAAAAAAGTTTCTTACGCTGAAATCTTGTCGGCTCTCATTGAAAGTTAGATGTACCGGGATAGATCCAGACCACCAAAGAAACCTCCACGGGGCAGCTTTTTCCACTTTCACATGCTTCTCTGTCGGTCCAAGATCGCTAAAAACTTTACTTGATCTGTGTTCCTTCATTGAAAAAAATATCACATTCTCTCAAGTATTTCTATTACTCTCATACTCAAATGATACAATAATTAGAAGATAAGAAGATAAAAAACCAGAATTTGGCGCTTTTTCATCATACTGTAGTATGATGGGTTCTTATAAGTAGTGAACATATCGAAGACTGCTTCAGGAGGCAATCCTATTGTAAACTGTATGTTCAAATGGCAAAGACCGTCCTTTTCTTTTGTCACCTTCAGACACATTTAGATGTAAGAAAAATCTTGTTAAATTTTCTTTTACACTAATCCCACCATTTCAGACGGTTTTAATATGGAAGTGAACCCATACAAACAAAAAAGTTGGATACTTATTTTGAATCTTAATAAATAATTTATATCAATATATAACATAAATATACTTTTATAATATTTTTAAGTTTTAATGAAATTTAAAACAAGCACTATGATGACTCTGAATATTAACCTTAGCTCATTGCTCTGTTATATATCTTTAATCTCTTATAAAAGTACTGTGATATTGAATTTATTTATAAATTGTAATTATCCTCTTAAGATTTAAAATGAGGATTCGTTTGCTGGTTTGGCTATCTTACCTTCACCTTAGGAGGATAATCATGCCATGCACCCCTCTTCTCTGAAGCTCTCCAAAGTTTTAATTGCTTCTTTAATTCTTCTCTGTCTTCAGGGTAAGTCTCTGACACTGACTTAGGTTTTACATTATTACCAGATTTGTTGGACTCAGCCTACGACAACATATATATAACCATAATCATATCCGACATAGTACTTTGTATCGAATTGAATTCCTAAAGTTCTCTGATTCATGGAACTGAAACTGACCTTTGAAGGCTGTGTCGTGTGTTCTGATTGATCAAGCTAAAGCCAGGAAATATACCCATTTATCTCGAAAATTTAGTCCACAAATGATACTTACCAGATCACGACAAGACAATGCAAAGCTTGTATATGATGTCCAATTTAATATACACTTGATTTATATTTAGACAATAAAAAAACACAAAATGTAACTGAAAGAATATAATAAGTAGGGGCTGGTGGTGGAGCAGTGTACGTATATATGTTTGCATGCATATGGCGAAACAAAAAGTGAGCAGCTCGATTTTAGTGAGTTCTTTACGTAGAGGCAAGACCTAACTTGTGAGTTTTCTGCTGTATAGTGCTGTTCTAACTTGTGAATTCTTAGAAATATTTCTAATGTTTTCACAACATGAAACAAATTCCCCTTTGACTCAATTTATAAGAATTCAACAGAAAATTACTCTATTTTGATAAGTAAATTTTGTGTATTAGTATTGCATATTGAGCTCAGACGAGCATACAAACTGCTAGCTCATGCTTCCCAAGGTCAAAAACCATTATACGTAATATATATGTTCTTAACAAAAAGAAATTGGATAAATATGGGAGTAAGGAGTATACAAGACGACAAGTAGATAACTGAAGTCGTATTTTGTTTTGGACATTAAAGTAAGTATTTCAATTTTTTTTTTGTTTTGTAAATTAGTGATTATCCTATTTAAGCATATTTATTAGATTCTTATTGGTTTTGATGGTGATCCGACGGATGAACCAAGAAAAAGGTGGCAGATTAAGAGGAGAAGAAGGCTCAAAGTATTGGTCGATTGTCACCTTCGACGCAATCCTTCCTCGACCGCCGCTACATTTTCTATACTCTTCTCGGCTCTTCGGCTCAATTTGTTTGCATAAGCGTTCGGAATCTATGAAAAGTGGCTCCACTTTCCAGCGACCCTCGAATACTTTCATGAACTTCACTTTCTTTTTCTTGTAACTTCCCTAAAACAAAGATATCATCAAACCTAAACTAGCTCAGACAAATAAAAAAGTTAACAAAAGCAATTGATTCTTGTAAAGGATATAGAAATTAAGATTTTTACCGTAAGATCTTTTTGATTGTCTTCGACAATTAGATTTATCGGGAGAGTTCTAGAAAACCAAAGGAAGTTCCAGGATACAATTTTCTCTACCTCCGCAATCCGCCTCGGTCCATCCTTCCTCAAAAGTTTTCTTGGTTTGCTTTCCTTCATAAGAAAGTGATCATACTCTCAAGTTTTTGCTATACTTAATAGTCAATATTTGAATGATACATTAGTATAAAAAGAAAACCAGAAGTTTTTCCCGTCGAATTCTTGGAAGTATTGGTTGTTGAGTGGATTAGCAAACAATAAGTAGACTGATTCAGGAATCCTCCCAATCGTTAGTTCTGTGTGCATATGGCAAATGCCCTTTTTTGTTGTCACCTTCAGCCATCCACAAATATAAGATATTCAAAAAAAAAAAAAAAAATTCTTAGTTCTTCTACCAATTCATCTAAATGAAAAATCTCATATGTTTTGAGTATTATTTACTGATTTGCTGTTTACCTTCACCTTAGGAGGGGGATTAACCCATGGATGCTTTTTATCTTCATCTATCCAAAGTTGTACTTGCTTATCCACTTCATCTCTATCATAATATTTAAATTCTAAAGGTGGCTCTGAATTAGATTCAACATTCTCAGATCTCTTGGACTGATCAGCCTACAAAAAAACAAACAAAATCATCATTATCTCTTTATATCTAATTACTATCTTGGGGTTTTCTGATGGAAATAAAAACTAACCTTAGGAGGCTGTTAATAAGAGAAAATTATTAATATTGCCATGAACAGTGACCTTATTAATACTGCCATGAACAGTGACCAAACTCTTAAGGAATGCCATTTCCATAAATCTCTTCTCCCGCCTGCCACAAGAGCCATGTAAAAAGACCAACATATCCCTGGATGAAATGGGCTGCTCTGTCTCACTATTCAATTTTTTTTTCCATTATCTCTTTCTTTTCTTCATCTTCTTTTCTTCTTCCAACAACAAACAATTCCAGCGGACCAGATCCGACAGACGAACTCCGGCGGACCAAATCCGGCGGACGAACTCCGACGGACCAGATTTGACAGACCAGATCCGACGGACCAGATTCGACAGACCAAATCCGACGGACCAGTTTCGACAGACCAGATCTAGTGGACCATAGCAATTCTAGTCAAGATTCGGCAGACCAGATTCAACGGACCAGTTCCGACGGACCATAACTCCAGCGGACGAGTTCTGGCAGACCACAGTCGGTTCTGATGAACTATAACCAGTTCAAGCAGACCAGATTCGACGGACCAGTTTCGACCAACCATGAAGACGAGTTTCGATAGACCAGATCTGGCGGACGAGTTCAGGCGGGCCATAGTTAGTTCCTACGAACTTTAACCAGCTCCGGCAGAGCAGATTCGGCGGACCAGATAGACCAGTTACGATAGACTAGTTGTGGCAAACTAGATCCGCCGAATCATTTTCCGGTGGACAAATACTAGTTATGATAGATTTGTTCTAGGTGACAAAATCCGGTGGACCAGTTATGGTGACCTGATTCGGCAATGGACAATACATTTTTCTGTAGATGGACAAGATTCGGCGGATCAGATGTAATAGACTAGATCTTGTGGACGAGATCTTTTTATTTTTTTATTTTGTCTATCGTTTTTTGTCTCTGCTTCTTCATCACCCACAACTACCACAAAATCTCTCTACTTGTCCTCCATTAGCACCCACCAATTTGTACAGATCTGGTTTACATTGTGCCCCTAAATAAATCAAAACTTTATTTGTGTCGTTCTATAGAACGTCCGCGGTGGACACGCATCAGAGTTAGAGGACACGCATCAGAGTTGTTTCTTGAATTCTGTTACAGTGAGTTTTCGACGGACTATATCTACTTTATATATTTTGTCCATCATATATTACTTACTCGTCCGTTATTTTTGACATGTTCCATTATCCACATGATATTAGGCTACAACCCAGCAATTAATGACTATTGCTGCCAATTGAAAAAACAAAATTCCACTCTCCAATGCCAAGGGCAAAATCGTCATTGTAACTCTTTTTGTGGCATGATTTGAAAGAAGATTTTGTTAATGGCAGTTTCAGAAAATTGAGTTTCCAAACTGACATTCTAAACAAAATTCCCTTGAATGTTCTGATTGATCCAGCCACCAAATCCAGGAAATACCATTTCTCTCTTAAAGTGAGTACTCCACAAAGTCACAAACGCTACTTAGCTAGCTGATTAGAGCAAGATAATATGACTATCCAAAAACTTATTATGGTTTTAGAAATCTTTTTTTTTTTTTAACAGGAGGGACGACGATTAATGCTTGAGTTAGATTAGGGAAAAAAAAACTATAGAAGTGTACGTTACGTATCACGAATCCAAGAAGTGAGCAACTTGATTCTCATGAGTTCTTGACGTACATGCAAGAATAACATGAAGACAACTTAAAAGAAATGAAGGTTTTAAATCACATATTTAAGGTTTTCTACGTCAAAATAACCTAATGAGGATTTGTCCTTAGTAAATAAAGAATTAAAAAAACTACAAAATCGTAAATGTAATTTCTGAGTTCGGAGTTCTACACTGAAAATTCGAACCAACCATAAGTTTTGTTTCAAAACCGTTGAATTACTAACCACACGGCCGCATTTAGATTTGATTATCTTGGTCTGACACGTACAAAAGTTACAAAACGTGCATTGGAATCTATATATGTATTACTTTCACGTTTAAAATACAGCATCTTATGTTTAATACTAGTGCCAAAATAGAATTGGTAGATGTCAAAGTTCAGTGGGGGACGTGTCTCGGTACATGATACTTGCATCTTGAATCAATTTGAGCAGTTTCTTAGTGGTTTTAATGGTGATCCAACGAATGAACCAAGAAATGGGTGGTAGATTAAGAGGAAAATATGGTTGGAAGTATTGGTCCATTGTCACTTTTGATGCAACCTTTCCTTGTCCGCGGCTACATCTTTTGTATTCTTCTCGACTCTTTGGCTCTCTCTCCTTGCACAAGCGTTCTGAATCTACATATAATGGCTCTATTTTCCAACTACCCTTAAAAACTTTCATGAACATCATTTTCTCTTTATTATATTTTGCCTATCCAAAAGCAAGAGAAACCTAAGTTAATTAGTTTCACCAATATGAAACAAAAAGTAATCATGATCATTTCAAGAAATATAGGTGGAGCTTCTTACTGTAAATATTTTTTGGTTTTCATCAGCAATTAGAGTAAAGGGAAAAGCTCCAGACCAACCAAGAAATTCCCAGGTCAGAGCTTTCTCCAACCGCACGACCTCGCTCGGTCCATCTTTCATCAAAATCTTTCTTGATTTGTTTTGCTTCATAAAAAAGTGTATCACACTCAAATATATATATTTCTATCATTAATACCACATTTGAACCATAAGATGTTTAAGAGAAAAACCAAAAGTTCGCGGCCAGTCTCGTTATCGATCCTGAAGAATGGAAAGTTGTCTGGATTAGCAAACAAATCGTAGACCCCTTCAGGAGGCAATCCCACTGTCAATTCTATGTGCATGTGGCAAAGACCCTTTTTTCTTGTCACCTTTTCAAACATCAAAATATAAGATTTTTGCTTTTCTTAGTTCTACAAAAATTCCTTTTATAAGAAAACAAATCCTTTAAGTAATGAGGTTTCGTTTTGTTGCTGATTTAGTCTTTTACCTTCACCTTAGCAGGAGCATCATACCAAGGTTTCTTCTTCTCTGCAGCTCTCCAAAGATTTCCTTGCTTCTTTGCCTCCGCTTTGTCATAATAAGCTATCCATTTACTATCTTCCTCTGACACTGAATCAGATTTAGCATTTTCAGATCTCTTGGACTCGCCCTACAAAACAACAAACAGAATCGTAATCTATTGAGTTTGACTTTCCCTGGTTCTTCTATAAATAATGGAAATGAAACTGACCTTAAGAGGCTCTTCTACGCTCTGGCTGTTCCAGTCTACAAATCTAGGAAATACACTCATTTCTCTTTGAAATTCTAGTCCAAACAAGTAATCACCTCATGCAAGACAGAGAATATGACGTTCTAAAGCTTGTATATGTTATGCTTTTGAATTACATTTCAACCAATTTTCAAAAATGAAAATGAGAGAATAGTGTACGTTAGGTTTTATGTACCCAGTAACAGAGAAATGGGCAGCTCAATTCTCATGAGTTCTTAACGTACACGAGAGAGCTACATCCTGTGAGAGGAGACAGAAGGTATTATCTGTTTGTGTTACCTTGTCCCTAAATTTCAATTTGATTGCATTAGGAAGGTCAAGCAAAAATGAGAGTGTTAAAACCTTGCTATAAGGTACTCTTATATACATACGACTTTATGAAACTTGTAAAGAGCCCTCCTATAGTTTTTAGCTGTTCACTGAAACTTTACATTCTTGTATCTGATATAGATGAATGATAAACTCTGTAAGCGAATGTCTAATGGTGTGATTTAGACCCACCAAGTCCTAATTTTAAAAGTATTGAGTATTCACAAACGAAGTGTCTCCCTTCAAGAAGTAGTCCACAGCAATTCTGCTTTTAAGGATCACTGCTCCTCATCAAGCGGTTGATCTGTTCTTCTAGCTGCAACCAATTTATGAATGGTCATTATTATCTAATAGATTACGGGGAAGATGTGTGTGAGTGTGGCTATCTATCTTTACATACCTGAGCATTTTCTGCTTTTTGTTTCTCAACCTCCTCCTCAAGCTGCTTAACGCTGTAGCATTTGAAACCAATGAAAACAATTAAGCTTTCTTTTTCTCACTATCGAATTCTTTACAAAAGTTTAAGCTTGTGTAGTTATTTCATTACCTCTGCTGCAAAACGTGAACCTCAGACAATAGATCTGTCTCTGTTGTTGGTATCTGTCAGTTCAGAACTTTGGCTCTTAGTTCCTGGCCTCACACAACGTCCTCTGTATGCATATGCCATAAGCAAGTATGAAAAGCAAATCCAACCTGCCCGCCTTCTGTGTTGACAGTTGGAACTCTGATTTCTGTACAAAAATCAAGATCAGATCATGGAACTTGTAAAGACAGGGAAGATGCAAAATATACAGACAGAACAGAAAACTTACCAGTAGTTGGATCATAGAGTTCAATTAAACCAATTAGCCTTTCCTGCCAAGGAAAGAAAATTAGTGTGAGACTACCAGAATACGAAAACCCAAACGACATTTTATGAGTGCAATATCAAGAAGAAGTGTTTTTAAATGCTAATAACCCTTTGCATATTATTCTGTATCAGGAGATTCTGTAACAATGGGAGGATTTGAGCAGCATCGCAAGAAACAGAGTTCACAGAGCTAGCAGGTTTCCCAGAGGACACCTGCGCTTCAACTTTTTCCTGTATATCCTGAAAATTCACCTTATCTAACTTCAGAAGGATTGAGGATTGCAATAAGAGTCAGAAGTTGAAGGAGCATAGAAATTTATTTTCCAATAACAATAACTGGATTGATGATGGCTTGTTACACTACAATGGTTGGATGCAAAAGTTATCTTTGAATGTTCAGACGTATACCTGAGCTAACTTCTCCTTGTTACCATCTATACCTTTAACCAAATTGGCCTCTTCCTCCTGCGGTGTTGCACATATTCAATCAGAAAGTCCAAAATATGAATGGTAAGCAATGATGATACCAACAGAGAAGTAAACTCTTCAACTAACCTTCATCTTCCTATAACGCTCACCAAGAGGGGAGAGGCCATCAAGAATTGTACTAGCCAAGTATTCAGTAGAATGAGCATGTTGAAAGAATGGATATTCCAGTAGTTTTGAAGCGGTTGGACAATTTTCTGGATCTTCTATTGAGCAAGCTGCAACCAACTCTCTAAAAGACTGCAATAATACATCAAATATTTCTTAATGAGTGAGATGAAAGCTATATTTCTTAGGTGTAATCATTCAACTCCACTAACCTTAGAGAATCTCTGGTCTTCTTCATAGTCAAGACAAGGAGATTTTTGTAATGGTAGTATCTGAAACAATAATGAATAACAGAGCATTCTAGTAAAAGAAACTAAGAGTAGGATTCAGGTAAACACTAGACAATAAACGTTTATCATGATGGAGCTTTAATTCTATAAGGTAAGACTCACCGCTGGGGAATGGCCATAGGCAAGTTCCAGGGCAGTCATGCCAAACGACCAGATATCCACTCTAGTAGATTGAATAGAAAACTCATAAGTCCTAGAGGAGTTACTCCTTTATGATGGCAGTACGGGTAAACTAGAAAAAGAAGCAGACGTACTTGAAACCATATCCATCATCTTGCTTCATATCCTCCTCAGGTGCCATCCTAAAAGGAGCAAAGATATCCTCAAACGAAAGAAAACAGTGTAGAACTTAGAAAGTCTATAGTTGGATTAAGTACGCACCACCATGAAGTTCCAACGAAGGTATTCCCAAAATTGCATGCTGAAACTTCAAAGTCAGCGAGCTTAACAGTTCCTTCTAAGTCAACCAGTATATTCCCAGCCTAGAAAGAAAGATACACTGTGCTATCAAAACATAATTGAAAAACCAGGAAGTTCATAACGTGAATTGGGATTAAAGTACCTTAACATTTCCATGGGTGTGTCCTAGTCCATGAAGGTAAACCAGAGCTTTTAAGATCTCCCGCAAGAAAATAGCAATCACAGGTTCTTCAAGACCTTCCAGACAGACTGATTTCATTATGTTAAAGCAGGAGCCACACGACATATAAGGCATCACAATCCACAAGCTACTACTATCTAAGAAAGAGCAATGCGGCCTCAATAGATTCGGATGATCAACCACCAAGCTCAATTTATTAACTTCGTTCCTTATGGTTTCCTAAAAAACAACAGATTAGTATCAATTTCCAATGACAGATCTTAAATTATGAACAAACAAAGAACAAAGATGAAGATACGAACCAGATCGTTGGTGCATTTCTCAAGGTTCCAGATCTTGATGGCCACAATCTCATCAAGTAGAATGCATCGAGCTCTGTAAACACCATCTCCTACCTTCTCTATAAGCTCGTAACCTTTCGCATCCAGAGGAAATCTCGCTTCCGACGAACTCGTCATTTGCCTAATTCATGCAGAAATCAAATACGAATTCAAGAGTGTTCTTTCTCCGATCAAAACCACACGAACGCATTGAAGTTACGGAATACTTAATCCAAGTCCAAGAAACAAAAGTCCCAACTCTTTCAATCAAAACCGGAGAACGAATCTAACCTAAACGAACCGTGACAATGCGAAACACGAGCAGGCCGGGGAGAGTTACGAGCAGAGTGATACGGCCGGAGAAAACCTGAAAGGCGTGAGAGAGCGCGACGGAGGGAAAATTCTTGATAAGGAACCGCCGTCAAAGAGAAGAAATCGATTTTTCTCAGGAAAGTGAAAGATTTGGAAACTTTAGAGACTGAAAAATTTGTTTTAGTCGCGGGACTGACAAAATTTATACAACTGAAATTGGTAGCCATCAAAAATGAAAACGTCATCGTTTTATTGGTCTAATTTAATAAATAATTTCGACGGTTAAGATTTAACTAATTTGCAAATAAAACTCAATGAAAAATGGTTGAGATTCGGTTAAACTCTTGAAGAAAATTTAATTTGCTTATAAGTTTGTTTTAGATGTAGAATTTGCAGAATTTACATAAAATATAATTTTAAGTTTAAAATTTTATCTATTTATAGAGGCTTCTCAAATATTATAAATGATTAAATTCACAATAAAAATATGCTTTAGTATCTGTTGTTGGTGTTGGCGCCAACTTTTTTAACCTCCTTGAAAATCTAATTTTAGTTTGTTCTCGAAGGTCTTTGGATACTATGAGTTTGTAATAGCAAACAAAGTTTTTATAATTTGAGAAATAATGAGACAATGACTCACTCAACCAAGGCCATGGACATATTTTCGTTAATCATGCACCTTGAAATGAATATGATGTCATGGATTGTTCATCTTTTATTAAACTAAATCGGACAAAACTAATAGTCTATAATAAACCTTGACATGTAATATATCCATATCAATATCTCCACAAACACAATTTCTTCGTATTTTGGATTAAAAAATAACATGTTACACAACCATTCATTTAAAATTAGGTTACAAAAGCCAAACAATGCAAACACATGTTGATCGCATTAGCATCGAAAGATAGTTAGTCGCAGCTTGTTTAGTGAAAAGTCTAACAACTGTTTGACCGGAAAGTGAGACTTTTAGAATACATATTCTAAACCCAAATACTAAATTTGAGTTTAATCTAAAATAGACAACCAATCTTCCAAAAATTTTATCGAATTTGTGTTGCTTATTTTGGTTAATGACTTTGAAAAAATTAGTGAACTTGGATTGGTTGTTTTGGCAAATGAATCCAATTGAGTTTAAATGGTTAGAGTAAATATTTTATCAAACTTGAGTTCTTTCTAATTTCCTCTCTATATGTATTATGTTTTGTTTTCATCAATTCAAAAATGTTGATTGCTTATTTTTGCTGAAAAAAGTTGGAAAGTTAAAGTTTTGCTCTACAATTTATGAAGCAAATGAAGAAAAATATATTCCTCTTATGATATATTTTCTACTCTAATTTTTTTTTTCTTATGCAGTTTTATTTTCTATCTTATGATTTGTTTATCAGTCTGAGAACTCAGTTGATCTTTGATTAGACCGAAATTGTTAATTTTTAAAAATTTCGTTTCCAACTTAGCGGCAGCCGCCGAGTGTTAACATATTAGAAAATCCCGATTATATGTTATTTTCTTCTTCTTCTTCTAATAGCAATGATTAAATCTGAAAATGTTCATTAGGCAAATTTGTATGGTAGTCAAATGTGGTGAACTAAAATAATCAGCATCATCAAGTGGCATCGTAGGACCATATATAAACAAACAAATGTGTGAAATACTTTTATTTATCTTATTCGATTTTAAAATTCAGATGGTTGTGACATTTTTTCTTGTCAACAATGGTTGTGACATTACATCAGTGGTTATTAAAATTTAGGAATTTAGAGTTACTAATGTTTTATATTTAATTTTAGCGAAAAAGTAATAGTATAGATTATCATATTAATCCCATTGATGTTGATATTGATATGCGGTAAAACAAGAGTTCAGCTGACATAATCTCTTATCGATACACATCTAAGAATTGTTATTTGTTATATCTAAAATTATATATATAATAAACTATATTTGATCAATATCTCTGCAAATAGTAGGTCAACAACTAAAATTTTACTTTAAATTCGTTTTCATATCTCTTTATTTCAATTTATTTTTTCCACCATAGTTTTATTTATAAAAAAGAAAAAGATTTGTATCAGTTTGATTCTTGGAAATCTTCCAACAATATTCGGCGACAATAAAGAAGTCTTCGACCATTTTATAAGCTGTAACGCCCAAAACTATAATATATTTCTACTTTACTAGTATTTGGCTATTTGCTAACTAAACTTCATTATCGTTAGAGCATTTTAAATGTGTTTTTGTTTTTGTTTTTGTATACATACAATTCAAAACTCAACATATACAAAGATTGATTGACCAAATTAGAAGCGTTTAAACAAACATGTGGGACTTAGCATTATTATTTCTCAGAGGCATATTTTGACATTTATTAAATTCTGTAATAAAACATGTGGTTGGGGGACTTGACTAGTCTTATTAATTTGTTTAATCACGTGTGCTTGGTTATGTAAATTTACTCTTTAAGAATAATTAACAGAACTACATAAACCGTTAAATTCCACGCGTCAGTCAAACGTATACCACCGTTAACGAGGGCTTAGATCAGTCAACGTCGTTCACGGTTCGCGCGTGAACTAACTAAAAACTCAAATGTAGTTTGGCTCAGTCAACTTCATTCAGACCGTGATCCTTCTTCTTCACAGAATCCTAATAGGAGATGACACGTGGGATCAGTAAACGCTTCCACGTCATATCACATGTCAGTCCCCGTTACTTGCTTTCCCAACAAGTTTTTCGATGATAAAATTACGATATTATCCTTCCGTTTTGGGGGAACGGAGACACGTAGGCGGAGACAATCACAGAAGCAGGTCACCCACTCTTTCCCCCTCCTCTCAGCTTATCACGACAACGCGCTTTTGCTTTGTAAAGTGTATAACAACAAAAAGAGAAGTGTTTTAAACTTTTAAATTAAATTATTTATGCAAACAATTAGTATATTTATAGACAACACTTAGTGGAATAAAAAATAAATATATAGAAAAAAGGAAATTAAATATGAATTTTCTGATATTTATGAAGTAAAAGATTATATTCTCTAAACCAATTAGAGAATATTGATATTTTTGCTATCTACGTATATATTTTTTAATTTGATTTGGGAATATATATTTAAGGAAATATCATGTCATTTGCCCAATTACAAAAAGAAACATATTCTCAAAAGGCACTGTTCACACTTGGGTGACTTATCTTGATGAAGCACCAACCATATATATATATAGTATAGATTGGTCAGGTCTTTGTTAAAAAACAATTTAATTCCTTACTTCTTCTTCATAATTTGATTTTTTATACAGCCGTCGTTTCAGATTTCTTCTTGGAGAGAGAGAGATACACACAAGATAGAAAGAGTTTTGGATCTAACGATGGAGGTCGCGTTCCCATCTTCTCCGCCGGCGAAATGCATCGGTGATGAAAGATTATCAGAGATCTCCATGGATTTCACCAAATTAGGATTCTCATCACAAGAACAAGAAATCAAGAAATTGGAGAGATCATGGAGTCAGCTTGAAGAATCCGTCGAGTTTAACGACGTTGACGAAGACGACGACGATGATGATGATGATGAAGAAGAGGAAGAGTTCTCGTTTGCTTGTGTAAACGCGGAAGGATCTCCGATAACGGCAGACGAAGCTTTTGAAGATGGTCAGATCCGTCCTGTGTTTCCTCTGTTTAACCGCGAGCTCCTCTTCGATTACGAAAACGCCGATCAAAACGACGGCGTTTCTTCCACCGCCGACGAGAACAGACCGCGTCTCAGAAAACTATTCGTCGAGGATCGTAACGGAGACGGCGATGAGACGGAGAAAGATACGTTGGGACCGTATTGTTCTTGGTCTGGTGGAACGGTTGCGGAAGCGTCGCCGGAGACTTGCCGGAAAAGTAACTCGACGGGGTTCTCTAAGCTATGGAGATTTAGAGATCTTGTTTTGAGAAGTAACAGCGATGGAAGAGACGCGTTTGTTTTCTTGAATAACAACAACAGCGTCGGTGAGAACAAGACTCGGACTCAGTCATCGTCTACGGCGGCGGAGAAGAGTAAAGGGAAGGAGAAAACGTCGTCGGAGGAGAAGAAGAAGAAGAAGAAGGCGGTGACGAAGTCGGCGCATGAGAAGCTGTACATGAGAAACAGAGCGATGAAGGAAGAAGTGAAACACAGATCATATCTTCCGTACAAACAAGTTGGTTTCTTCACTAATGTGAATGGTCTTAGCAGAAATATTCATCCTTTCTGATGACTTTCTTAAATTACTTGTGTCTTAACCAAAAACCAAAAAAAAAACTAAGAGCATACACATAGGCGTGTTTACGCTTCGTCCCACGTCTCAAATACACAATATTTGTTTTAAAAGTAAATGAGAAATACAATGATAGTGTAGTAACGTTTCTTAAAACGGGACAACTATCACTCGTCCTTCAAACCACGTGGCCATTGTTGATTGGGTTTTTTTTTTCATTTTTTTTCCTTTTTTTTCTTTTGTTGATTGGGTTATGTTATCTTTTCTTTTTTTTTTATTATGGGTGATGTATTTTTTATAGGGCAAAATTTTTTAATGAAAAATATCTCTTTTATGGAACAAATACAAAATAGCAAATGTTACGAGAACATGCATATTACTACATAATATGATTGTCGTATATGAACGATATACATACAATAAAAAAAAAACAAATCTCCGTAACGTTTCTAAATTTCAATACGTAGAAGATGTGGATCAAACATATACCATTGGTACCGCCAGTGTGGATTCAAATATCGGCACAACGATTACTCGTCGAACAAAACTTCAGGATAAACAAGTTCATAAACAATCAAAAAATGATTTGATTGAGCATTTTGGTCTAATTTTGGACATCTTCCAGATAATGAAGATTAATTTTAAAATTTCTATGACTTGAATAAAATGTTGGTTTAATCTTATATATATTTAATGTCTTAATTGTATGTTTTTCTTATTTTCAACTTTTTGTAACTTTGTAATTTCTAATGTTTTGAATGTTAATGTTATATGTTTTATATTAATTTAATCTTTGATATGTTTTTATTTATTAATTAAAATTATAAATTTTTTAAAACTTAAAATATTATTATTTTAATCATGGGACAAAAAATATGGGACACCAATGCTCATACACAAAAAATAAATAATTGTCCCACAATCAAAATAATCATATTTTAACTATGGGACCAAAATATGTAGGACACCAATGCCCATTGCTTTTGGGTGATTTTTTTGTTTGTTTTTTATAAACAAGAAAAACAAAAAACAAATTAGTAGTATTATTATGTGAACTGCTCTTTTTTACCCCCACTGTTATGTGAAAAGCTTGGCTTGTATCGAACCATTTTGTATATAAATTACTAATTTAGTTATGTAATATGTAATTGTGCGAAGACATATTGAATTGCTGAAAGAAATTAGTCGAAAGAAGTTGTTAGTTTCGTGTTCAAAAGAATTAAGTGTTCTTTCTTGCGTTGTTTGCTATAATGTAAGCATCATTTAGTTTGTTGAATCTGTCATCTGGTAGATAGAACTTGAATAGAAAAACAATGGAATGTTGTATAATTAATATAATATCCTTTTAAGCTTTGGTCACTTTCAAAGTGGTTTTCAATCGAATACTGACCATATAATATATTTGTTGAATGGTTATGCTTGCAATAGTGATATATCATCAGCTTAAGTGATATAGATTACGCAAGAGGTTAATTGTCCGAACGACTTGACTTCATATATGCTTCGAAAGGATACAAAAACAAAGAACAATGAGAAGAGTATATATCCTTTTTCTCATTTAGTTCCCAAACCAACGACCAATGAGGTAATGAAACAAGACACACCTATTCATAATACTAGTTCAAACTCAAAGCACACCGACAACAACAACAAAAAAAAAAGAAAACCCAAACGAAAAACAAAGCCCAACAACTAAAAAAGTAAAAGAGATCAAAAATTCAAAACGTTTGATTCTGCCAATAATACACAGTTTACATTTCTGTAGGCCGAGATTGATAAGGCTTTCCTTTTCTTGTTTGACGGTAATGGGCAATACAAAATTAGGGCCTAAACTTCAACTTACTAAATTTTGTTGGGGAGAGCCCTTGAGACGACTAGTTAAGCTGCATTGTTAAGTCAAGTTCAATAAAATCAAAGGCTGATTCACCTTCCACTATATGTGTTGCATGCAGCCAAACAAATTGATTATGCTTTCTCCATCATTCTTGCAATCCAATTTTACGCCTCATTTTGGTTACTTTCCCTCGTCTTCACAATTAGAATGATAAAAATATCATACAACCATATTAACAAAAACTTCATCGTTTTTTCAGAAAAAACTTGTATATACATTTTAGTTTCATTTGGGAACTGGAGACTATACTCGTGAATACAGTTGCCTATATGAGAAAGCAAAACAACTATTTCTAATAACTGCGAAGGAGAGAAGGAGTCACAATGATTGTATGTAAATATAATTAACGAACTAAGAAAAGAATAAAAGAAAGAAGAAACAACTGCGAAGGAGAGAAGGAGTCACATTGTACTTCATACTATATATTAGTGTCAATCATAGAGAGAACCAGTGGGAATTAGAAATAGGAGCATCGAATATTTGAGTTTGGTATTATAAGTTTTAAAATTTCCAACCAAAAGAAAAAAAAAAATTAGACAGGTTGGAAGCAATTTATAAAAGACTAAGTAAACTGTTTCCTTCTCAAATAGTTGAAAAAATGGAATATCTGAATTTGGTTTTTAGTTTGAAATATCCACTTGTTTCTCCAATATCAAATATACATAAAAAAAACTTCCATAATATAAATGAATACATAGAAAAATATTTTATGATATATGAAAGAAAAATCATACGTTCGCAACACTTCAAATAAAAGACTCTTTTGAAAGTTTTTTCAATCCACAGAGAAAAACAACATGCTATATAAAATTTGCTTTGCAATAGATAATTGAGGTAAAAATGTCCAAACGGCTCAAAATATACATTTTGGTCACTTGGGCAAACCATGCATTGTCAGTTTTCTAATTGTTCTCCAAACTATTTAAAATTTTTTGGTTCAACTAGTCTTTTTTTTTTCTCTATGCATGACATATTATTATTCTCCTATGCAAAACATATATATAGTAATATATCAAATGGACACTCTTTTAATTATTTCCCTCTAATAAAAGAAAGGCAAAACTGACGAAGACTAGAAAATTAAAAGCTTCACATTTGATTTATGCATGTTGAAACACTATGACCTGGTTATGGTGTTCTTGTTTTGAAAATTAGCTACGTACTTTCTCCAACAAAACAAGAGAGAAAAAATAAGAGAAGACTAAACCAATTAATTGGGTCGTTGACAAAATAATTGAACAATCAATCATATGCATCTTTCTTCACGAACTTGAATATATAAAAATGGACACTGGATCGTTGACATTTGATGCACGTTCTTGCACGTTTCGTGATTGTTTGGCGCAGACATGCTTCCGTGATTACTGAGATAAAAGCAAGAACAATAAAAATAAAGAAGATGGTAAATCCATTTGCTATATAAAGGCATGCACAGGTAATGTAGAATGACAACACAAAACAAAATCAACGCAGTGAAGCGTTGGACAAGCAATCAAAAATAAGAATGGTATCTTCTCCCGGGATGGGGCGCTCAGCCCATCTTGTTTATGCTCTTGGTTTTGCTATCATGGCAACAATGGTTGCTGCTTCTTATGAGCCTTACATGTATAGTTCTCCCCCACCACCAGTTTACGATTCTCCAGCACCAAAGGTTGACTATAAGTCTCCACCACCTCCTTACGTTTACAGTTCTCCACCTCCACCATCATATTCACCATCACCCAAGGTAGATTACAAATCTCCTCCACCGCCTTACGTCTACAGTTCTCCACCCCCACCTCCATACGTTTACAGTTCACCACCACCACCACCATACTATTCACCTTCTCCTAAAGTTGAGTATAAATCACCGCCACCTCCTTACGTTTATAGTTCACCACCCCCACCCACATATTCACCATCACCAAAGGTAGATTACAAATCTCCTCCACCGCCTTACGTCTATAGTTCTCCACCCCCACCCCCATATGTTTATAGCTCTCCACCACCACCACCATACTATTCACCTTCTCCTAAAGTTGACTACAAATCACCACCACCCCCTTACGTTTATAGTTCCCCACCACCACCATACTACTCACCTTCACCTAAAGTAGATTACAAGTCTCCACCACCACTATATGTTTACAGTTCTCCACCCCCACCATACTACTCGCCTTCTCCAAAACCTGCATATAAATCTCCACCACCACAATACGTCTACAACTCTCCACCGCCACCATACTACTCTCCAGCTCCTAAAGTATCATACAAATCCCCACCACCACCATACGTCTATAGCTCCCCACCACCACCATACTACTCCCCTACTCCTAAGCCCACATACAAATCTCCACCACCACCATACGTCTACAGCTCCCCACCACCACCATACTACTCTCCAGCTCCTAAGGTCGTATACAAATCCCCACCACCACCATACGTGTACAACTCCCCACCACCACCATACTACTCTCCAGCTCCTAAGGTTACATACAAATCCCCACCACCACCATACGTGTACAGCTCTCCACCGCCACCATACTACTCCCCAGCTCCTAAGCCCGCGTACAAATCTCCACCACCACCATACGTCTATAGTTCCCCACCGCCACCATATTATTCTCCAGCTCCCAAGCCCGCATACAAATCTCCACCACCACCATACGTCTACAGCTCTCCACCACCACCATACTACTCTCCAGCTCCTAAGGTGGCATACAAATCTCCACCACCACCATACGTCTCTCCAGCTCCTAAGGTGGCATACAAATCTCCACCACCACCATACGTCTACAGTTCTCCACCACCACCATACTACTCCCCAACTCCTAAGGTCGCATACAAATCCCCACCGCCACCATATGTCTACAGCTCCCCACCACCACCATACTACTCTCCAGCTCCTAAGATTGCATACAAATCTCCACCACCACCATACGTCTACAACTCCTCACCACCACCTTATTACTCGCCTTCTCCAAAGGTTGAGTACAAATCTCCTCCACCTCCATATGTTTACAACTCTCCACCTCCACCATCATACTCTCCATCTCCAAAGGTTGAGTACAAATCTCCTCCACCACCATCATACAGTCCTTCTCCAAAGGCTGAATACAAATCTCCTCCCCCACCCGCATATTACTAAATTGTTATGAACTCATAAATAAGATATCAACTCTCATTTGATGTCCAGTCTTTTGTATTCCTCTTGGACTAGTCTCTTTTATTTGATGTGAAATAAATTCTTTTGTAATTGAAATTTCATTTGGATTTATGTTTGTTTTTATTTCTATTCTGTAAGAGTTGTGTCAGTCTTGATATGTATATGTTACAATTCTATATGTTGTTCATTTATCTAAAGGATACGAATTTTTACCTATTTAAACAAACAAATAAAACTACACAAATTAAAAAATCAGATATTAATTTGAATACAAATATTATTATTTGGAAAACCTCATGTTAGTCTAATGTTAATTAAGATGATATAATATAATATTTAAGTCAGGGTAGGTGGTTCTTAACTTCATATACTAGAGGAAGAACCAAACAAGGCTCGAAACGTTTGTGATGTCTGATTTAGGTATGTTCATTTAGCCATTTTTTGAGAGAGAACAATGACCTAACACTATAACACATTTTGAGATGCAAAATAAAATTCTTCCGAAAGCTCTTTAAATACTTTAACCAAAATTGGTCAATGTGACCAGTACTCGGGAGTTGGAGTTTCGGTGAGTAGTTATGTGGGGGTTAATGCTGTGACACTTAGTTGAAACGATCATCTAGTCAATTTCTTCATATATAGCATCGAGAAGACTTTGAATATATGCACTTTGCATGTAGTCAGTTTTATGCATATAGACATCTTATTTCAATACCCACAAAGAATTTGAATTTAAGAGGTCTCTATGTTTCTTCTAAGTGTGTTAGTATCATCTTCTTCTGTTGCTTCTGTAATTCCATCTTTCCTACTTCTGTTTCAAATTAAATATATGAATAAGCTTCCAAAGAGCACTCTTTTATTTCCAACCTCATTGATACAAATTAAAGAGAAGACATAACACTATTGAAACTTTCTTAGCTTATACACATATATAAGGCTACATACACTTAAGCTAACCCCTCAAGAGATGGGATAAACAACGACCTTCCCTGTGGCATGGTTCGTTTCTAAGTATGTAAAAGCCTCAGCAACGCGTGAGAATGGGAACGGTCCTTTGGGATCAACTACAGGCTTCACCTTCCCACTCTCAATGTATGGGTTTAGTTTCTTTAAAACTTCACCGTTAGATGTCACAACGAATCTAAAACCAGGCGGCGTGACAGCTCCGGTTAAAGCCACAACTTTCCCTCCTTCCTTAATCACCTTCACTGCCTTGTCACACATCCCTTTAGACAACACAAAAGATGATTTAGTTTTAAACGTATTGTTCCAAGAAACTAGAATGGTGTTCTGTTTTGTTTGTTTACCAATGGCGTCAAAGACAACATCGTATTTGTCAGGCAAGTCTTCTATGTTCTCCTTTGTGTAATCAATGGCTAAATCAGCACCTAAGCTTTTCACTAGCTCCAGCTTCCCTGTACTCGCTGTTGCAGCCACTTTCGAAGCTCCATACACGTGCTTCGCCAACTGTATCGAATACTAATATTAGGAACCAATCAACAACCATCAAACTCTTATTTCTTAGATCACAAGGAACCAATGACGTTAACCTGAATCACAAGGCTCCCTACTCCTCCGGCACCATTAAGAACAAGAATTGACTTCCCGGCAGAGAATTCAGTCCTAACCAGACCTTCATCAGCGGTTTCCATCGCCAACGGAAGCCCCGCTGCTTGCACGAAATCGATGTTTTTAGGTTTTAGCCCCAATAGCTTCTCTTCCACGGCCGTGTACTCTGCTAAAGAACCGAATTGCTTAGGACCTTCTAATGCTTTCTCGCTCACGTTTGCGTAAACTTCGTCTCCTACTTTGAAATCTTTCACCGCACTCCCAACCTTCACCACTACTCCGGCAACGTCGTATCCCGGAACAGTCTGCTCCGACGAAAGATTCAATTGTTAAAGAATCCGAAACCTTCAACGAGAGAAAGAGGAACTGAATTTGAATTTTACCGGGAGAGGCGAATCGGTGGCTTTAAACTTCCCTTGCCGTCTCTTAGCGTCAACGGGATTAAGACCCGCCGCAACAACCTTAATCAGAACCTGATCTTCATTAATCTCCGGCACAGTAATGTTACTCTCAAGCTTCATAACCTCAACTCCTCCGTACTCACCATACACCCACGCTTTCATCTCTTTCGGAATCGACGCATCCGCCGCGACATTGACCGCCGCTGAAGTGCTCTGAGAGCTCGCCGAGATTTTCAAGAACTTCTTGCTCACTGTTTGCAAGCCGGATCCGAATCTAACTCCGTTTAATCGAATAACCGGCGACTTCAATGTAAGAGAACTATGTTGATGAAGAGACGTCGCACGGCGGAGCACGGGAGTTGTAGTGGCGGTGGTTGTAGCAAGCGCGGTGTTCATTTTATTTTTCAGTGTGCCACTAATTTTTTTCCTCTAAAACGGCTTATCTCTTTCGCTTTCCTCTGTTTTAAAACACTCTGTTTCGTGCCTTTCTCTGATTGGTCGTTATTTTTTTTTCTTGTGGTTCTCGTTTAGAGCTGCTGATTTGTGATTCATCTTTTGTTTCATGTCTTCTCGAACAATCTACACTAATGGGCCTAAATTTTAATAAGTGTTTATGAATAGGCCCAATAGTAGTATCAACATCATTCATCCAGGCACGATGAGATAGAATAGTAGAACCATAGAAACCGCGCACAACGAAGCACGATCTGGACACGTGGTTAATTTTGATTGGATCACTTGTCGAGCTTATAGATCCACCGTTCATTTCCCCGGAACTGGAAAAAAAGAGAAAGCTTTCTCTCCGAGCTCGGCTGTTTTTTAAGAAAACGTCAAAATCAGATCTTTCGTTCGTCTCCTCCAGTTTCTCCACCTTCGATTATCCCAAAAGGTAAGCTCCGAATCATGAATAGAAACCCTAATTCTCTGAGAATTTGTTCGTTCTTATTTTTATATAAAATTTGAATCTTTTCCACTCGTAACTATGTTTTGTCTGGACTGCCCAGCTTCGATTCTGTTTATTGTAAATTATTGCATGTACTGTGTTTAATGTTTGAATTCGATTTAAGCTTTGTTTGCGTATGAACAATCACAAATTTGAAACTTTTTGTCCTTGTTAAGATTATATGGTATGTAAATGAATTAACGTGATCTCCTTTATCGGCAAATTGTGAACTTTGTGTTGTTTGTTAAGATTATATGGTATCAATAATCAAAAGCTAATTGAATTTAGAAATATTGGTATATATGAGAATGTGCCTTCATTGATCTGTTTTGTGTCCTGTTTGCTCAATATATGATCTAAATCTGTATAATCCAATTTGATCATTTGGATTGGTTAAAAAAGTCGTGGTTTTGTGTTTTGCAGGCTCTCTTGTTATTGGAGAAATGGCAGATACCACCAAAGCCGAGTTGAAAAAGCCAGTTTTCACAAAGGTTGATCAGCTTCGTCCTGGGACTAGTGGACACAATGTCACTGTGAAGATCGTGAGCACGAAGGTGGTGTTACAGAAAGGCCGTGCTGAAGGTCCTCAGGCTCGCCAGTTGCGGATTTCTGAATGCATTGTTGGAGACGAGACAGGAGTTGTCGTCTTTACCGCAAGAAATGACCAAGGTACTTCACTTATTTCATTCAATCTATCAATGAAATTAGTATAGAATATAGAATGCCATGACTCTCTTGTGTCAAAGTTTTGATCCAATGGCTAGTGAATGATAGGATTTTGACATGTTATGTTTGATTTGGTTTATGTGTGTAGTGGACCTAATGAAAGAAGGATCCACTGTAACTCTACGCAATGCCAAAATCGACATGTATAAAGGATCAATGAGGCTAGCTGTAGACAAGTGGGGTCGCGTTGAAGTCACAGAGCCTGCGAGTTTCAAAGTGAAAGAAGACACCAACATGTCCCTCATCGAGTATGAGCTCGTCAACGTCGTTGAATAAGCAAGCAAGACACAATCCTAAAAACACACCTAGAGAGACAACTCAATAATACACCAGTCAATTGTAACCGTTAATGTTGGCATAAAGAAAGAGTGAAACATGATATCCTGCATTAAGCTATGTAAGAGTGATGGCTCCTCTAAAAGTGAATGCAGAGCTTTGGCTTTAGGTTACGACTTTGTGACACCTTTTTGTTTTGTAATGTCATCGTAACTGTGAAAGGCTTTTGGCTAACATTGTTACTCTCTTTATCCTTTGCCTCGTGTCAAAAATGCATATTCCTATTGAAAGTAAACAGAAACTGCAAGTTCTCTATAGTCTTCATAGATCAACCCCCATAATGATTTATTTCCATTTTGAGTGATATGATATAAAAGTAGGAAGTTTAACCAAAGTGCAACTAGACATGGGGGGATTTGAATCACTTTGGTCAGTGATGGGACTTGGACTTCGTTGGCTGGAGCGTCATCGTTGCATCATGACTGATGGCTTCTTGGTTTTCTTTGTCTTACGTTTTTTTTAATCTTCTCACATTTTATATGAATTTGTCGTCGTCACGTATCGGTTATGAAACTTGATATAAGAAATGAACAATAATATGAGATACTCATAGTTAGTAAAGAAAAAGTTTCTGCCAACCAAAAAGTAATGTGTCTTTCATGATTGTTAAGTGGGCAATGTTTAGTGCGTTTAATCGTTTTGGAGTTGTGTTTTCCTTATCCAATTGTTTTGGACTAATACGTACGTGATTAAGAGATATCAATGGAGAAATTGTGACATATTTTTATTTTGGTTTGTAAATAGTAGTGTTAATGCATTACTATCAATATTAAAATCCGCATAACGTATGACAGATTGAAATCAAGTTGGTGCATATTCGATAACTCATTGTTTTCTTTTCAAGTATTATAGACTACTAAATTAACCATGTTCATAAATTTCTAATTATGACTAATGCGTGGACCACTTAAGGTGATTGAGCTCTTAAGTTTTTTATTTTTACTTTTAGAAAATTGGACAGTGAACGCTCATCTTTTTTAGTATAAACTTACTATGATTAAGTGTGAATTTATTATATGAATTGTGTAATAACTACACTGAATATATGAAAGGTTAGTCTAACATTGTCTACGGATGTGTTGTTGTTTGTCACAATCGGTAGGATACATGTTGTTGACAAACCGTAAACAAAATATCTGATTTTTCTAATCAATGTCATAGTTATTCAAATTCTATACACTATTAAAAATTTACATTTAAACATTGGTTCGAACTTGAAACTTTATATATATATATACACACACACATAGATATGCATCAACAACTCACCAACATTTACTCTGCCCCGATCGAATGATTCCTCTCTCTCTCGAAAAAAAAAAAACAATGCTCAATCAATTTGTTCTTCTCCTACCATTCCTCTTGTCGTGTCTCTTCCATGTAAGTCAAAACTCAACTCCTCAATTGTCTGATTTCTCTAAAACTGATGATTCGTTACAAGATTTGTTTCCATTTTTATTTCACTTTTTGATCATTTTAACAATTATTGTAACTTACACAATGTAGGTAGTTATGGTGGCCGGAAGAGGAAGGTTAGTTAACGGCGGGTTTACGCCGGAGACGAATCCGTTCACACCAAAAGCGTCTTTAGTACGTTACTGGAACAAACAGATCCAAAACCAATCACCAGGCTCAGCCTTTCTCCTCTCCAAAGCTTCACCTCTAACCGCCGTAGCCTCCGCCACTTTCGCCAAACTCGCCTCCCAAAACTCGCTTCCCGATCGCCTCCCTGACTTCTGCTCCGCCGCTAACCTCTTCTGTTTCCCCGATTTAGGACCAACCCTAGAGAAGCACAGCGACGACGTTAAGTTCTCTGTTTACGACCAACGAAACTTCACCAACTACGGGAGTCACCCCGGTGGCGCCGACTCGTTTGAGAAATATTCACAAGACGGCAACGTAGTAACCGACTCTTTCCGTCGGTACAGCCGCGACGCCGCCGGTCACGACGATACTTTCACAGGCTACGCAGATAACAGCAACGTCGTCGATGAAAGCTTCAATACCTACGGAACCTCAGCCACTGGTGGCTCCGACGAGTTTAAAAGCTATCAGTCCGAAGTCAACAATCCAACTAGTCGTTTCACGGCGTATTCCGACAACGGAAACGGTCGTACACAGACGTTCAAGACATACGCTCACGACGGCAACGCCGGATCGGGTCAATCTTTCACCAGTTACGGCAAAAACGGTAACGGAGCTCCGAACGAGTTCGCTTCCTACGGCGTCTCTTCCAATGTAATCGGATCAGATTTCTCCAACTACGGCGAGAACGCTAACTCAGCCAATGACACTTTTAAAGGCTACGGAGGCGACGGAAACGTTCCTCGGAATAACTTTAAAAACTACGGTGCATCAGGGAACGCTGCCGTTGACACGTTCTTGAATTATAGAGACAAGGCAAACGCTGGGGACGATACGTTCTCGTCGTATGCCAAGAAGTCGAACTCACAGAAGGTTGATTTCGTGAATTATGGTAAATCTTTTAATCCCGGTTCGGAAACGTTCACCGGTTATGGTAAAGGAGCTGAGGGAAACAAGATTGGTTTCAAGACGTATACTAAGAACTCAACGTTCAAGAGTTATGCGAAAACAGGCGTTGAATTCGCGAAATATAACCAGAGTAGACTCCGGGATGGTAAAACTGTTAATAGGTGGGTGGAGCCTGGCAAGTTCTTTAGAGAATCGATGCTTAAAGAAGGTACATTGATTTGGATGCCTGATGTTAAAGATAAAATGCCGAAAAGGTCGTTTCTGCCCCGTAGCATTGTCTCGAAGTTACCGTTTTCCACATCGAAAATCGCGGAAATCAAGCGTGTTTTCCACGCTAGGGATAACTCTACGATGGAAGGGATAATTACTAATGCGCTAACCGAATGCGAGAGATCGCCTACGATCGGCGAGACGAAGCGATGTGTTGGATCAGCCGAAGATATGATCGATTTCGCGACATCGGTGCTTGGTCGAAGCGTGGTAGTCCGAACGACAGAGAGTGTAGCCGGATCAAAGGAAAAGGTCATGATCGGGAAAGTCAAAGGAATCAACGGTGGAAAAGTGACAAAGGCAGTGTCGTGCCATCAGAGTTTGTACCCTTACTTACTATACTACTGTCACTCCGTGCCTAAAGTCCGGGTTTACGAGTCGGATATTTTAGACCTCAAGAGCAAAGCCAAGATCAACCATGGTATTGCTATATGTCACATTGACACTTCAGCTTGGGGTGCGAACCATGGAGCTTTCGTGTCGCTTAGATCCAGCCCGGGTCAAATCGAGGTCTGCCATTGGATCTTTGAGAATGATATGAATTGGGCCATCGCTGATTAACCAACATATCGTAGCAAAATTAATAATGAATGTTAATTTTTTTGTATCTTTATATTTCTGTAACGATACAAACTCGCTATGTTCCTCCGATTCTGTTAAATAAATATATATTGAAGTGAAGTTACCTACGCAATTTAATTACTTGTGGGGTTTTTTTTTTTTTAAGTTCGTTTACAATGAATTCAAGTGGATGGATCATCAAAATAAACAAATGCAAAATCATAAATTAATAACAATTGATTACATTGTTAATATGAATATAAGTTGTAATTCTAGATGATTCGTTAATTAAGGACCATCCAATTTTAAAATTTTATAATGAATCAACATCGAATACAAACAGAGAGAACTAAAAACCAACACAATAACGATAAAAGGGAAGGAGTCACGAGGGTGGGGTTGTTTAAAAGGGAACAATGCGACTCTCTTATTGAAACTTTATGAATGTTAAACATCCCAACATATTTGTTATGCAAAGTGAAACAGACACATTTGGATTTTGTTGAAATGATCAATGAGCCGGCCGACGATATTCACATCTCATTTTTATGTTCCATGATATTATTGTTTGCATGGTTTACCAAAAAGCCACTGTTTAGTTCAGTGGCAAACGCGTTTTAGTTCGTAAACCGCATATCTAAGCGATACCTTAGGAAATCAAGATACACTTTGATGTTTCTTTGTTTGGAAGTGTAAGACTAACCTTACTGAAACATAGTTCCAACATTAGGGAGATGTTATTGATATACGAGAAAAAACTCAATGAAGTAAAGGAGAAGTGATGTAATGGAATATGGGGAAGAACAAAGCTTATTGAATGAAGGTTGACTCAACTCAACCATCATTTTTAGTGAGATTGTTTTTGGGGACAAACAACAAGTTATGTAGCCTATAAAGACATGTAGCTTACTAGTGACTAGCAAGGTCCTCCTCCTCTCCAATTTGACTTGTAGTCATTTACATCATTCTTCTTTGTTACTTTTTAAGTAATGGATGTGACTACATCTTTAAGATGATGGGGTGCTATAAACTATATGAATGTGCAAAACCACCACTTCAATTTCTATCATAGACTGAAATGTTTTTGAATTTAATTCATGATAGATTGAGTATGTAATATTTAATAAAAAATTCGTAAACATTTCCCATATGAAAAAAGAATTTCACTCAGCATCAGCTTTTGCAGTATAAGATAGCCATGTTATCGGATGGTCAAAAGCTGTAATAAAAAAGCTCATAAAAGAGCAACCAAATTTATAGCATAAGTAGCATTGCCAGAATAAGAGAACAACATCCCAAAACCAAATTAAAATATTTGAAAACTCAAAAATACTAGTATCCAAGTGGTTTTTATTTTGCAGGAATCAAAAACCTACTCCTCCTACCTTCACCGGTTCCATCTGATCACTCCGCATGTTTGCCTCTGGGAGTAAAGCTCTCTTCCAGGGCCGCTTCTTGGGACTCTAAGGACAGAAGGGTCTCTATTGCTAGGGTCATAAAGGTCTCCACGGTTGTTGCAAGGGACTCCTCTTATATTGCTAGGGTCATAAAGGTCTCCACGGTTGTTGCAAGGGACTCCTCTTATATTGCTAGGGTCATAAAGGTCTCCACGGTTGTTGCAAGGGACTCCTCTTATATTGCTTCTTCTTGTGGGAACTTTGCTTCTTGGACATCTGTCAAGGATTTCTCTTTGTTGGAGAATGAGGTGTTTCTTTTGCCTCCAAAACTCAGCAAATCTACGCTTCCAATCAATCCTACCTGTTAATGTCCAAATATGATTCTTAGCTTCTTCCAAGCATTTCTGTTTCCACAAATCATTGTCTGATGCCACACCCCGCAGCTCTGTACAAACGCAAGCCATATGCCCAATACTCACACCAGGAAGCGACTCTAATATCTTCAGAGTTAGCTCTGGTGGTAGGCTAAGCAAACTTGGCGGAGGATCCAAGCCAGTCTTTTCACAAAGACGAGTCAACAACGGGATAACAACATCGTCTTTAACCATTCTCCAGAACATAAACACTTGGCGGTAGTGGATCGAAGAGCTTTCTTTCTCAAACTTCAAAGTATCCACAACCAAGTCGATAACGGGCACGAACCTACGCTTAGCAAGACTAGTCATGTACACTCTCTCACCAGTCCCACCTAGTGTTCCGTAAACTACAACCCTAGGGCCTATGTTGTGAAACCGCAAAGTAACAGACTCGAGTTTATTGTTATCCTTACGGCTAATAAGCTCAGGCAGAGAATACCTAAGAGAAACAGAGAGTAACTTCTTTGAAAAGCTAAACCTATCATTAGGACCATGATCCAACAGCAAGAAACCAGATTCTAGCATAACAGCATGAACTGACAAAACCAAAATCGTCAGGTCACTGTCGTCACCAGATTTCTCAAGCAATATCTTTTTCAAAAAGAATGTTATACTAAACCTTTTGCTTACTGCCGGAGCGATCTTAACATCCATCGGCTCTGGACCTTCCGCTGGATATGGTAACAGATGAACTGAGGTAGGCGCCATGGGATTGATACGTAGCCGGAGATCGTTGAGAGTGACTGTATCAGCCTATATAAGGTTTAGGGTTACCCTAGTCTACTGTAGTCTCTACCGTCCCTGCGTTCTCGGACTCTGTTATGATCTTCCGTATATTTTAGAGAAAAAGGCGCTTACTTATGTAGTTGGCTTTTGGTGGATATTCTCATTCTCATGTCTAAGCGATATATATGCCGATACCATATCTTAACTGAACAAAGCAGAATCTGTTTTCAGTTGGTTCGGCTAGAATCATTTCAATCTTAACATCCTAGATTCCTAGTTACGTTGGACATGTTTCTTTGCCGAAGTGTAAGACTGAGCTTTAGTTAAGTAAAGAGATGTGATGTGATTGGAATATGGGAAACACCGAAGCTTATTTAATGAAGATTCACTGAACCATCGTTTTTATGAGATTTCTTCTTTTTGGTGACTAACAAGTTGTGCAAGTCTGTAAAGACATGTAGCTTATTTTTTTTTTGGGTCAAGAAGACATGTAGCTTATTGCAACATCACAATCAGCTTGCAAATATGAAATCTGAGAGCAATGATGACAATATATAGGAAGTAATGTTTCTTTATAAAACAAGAAGCCATGTTATACTGTACTTATACTTGTAAAAAAAACTCATAAAAGAGCAACCATAGCATAAATATGCAAAAAGAAGAGAACATCATTTAAAACCAAAGAAACTTTTCAAGTATCGAACATATTAGTTTCCTGCCCATTTATTTGCTGATATCGGAAAAGCCATATACAACACCTATTTCTCCTACCTTCAACAGATTCACACCAGTTCCATTTTCTCAGCAGGATGTTTGCTAGTTAATTCCTCCATGGTTGCATCTGGGAGTAAAGCGCTGACCCCAAGTTCTTCCACCAAGCCCACGTGCTGGTTGTCCTGGGTGAATACCTATGGGTCCATGCAAGTGATCCCCATTAAACCATGTGAAAGGGGGGTCTCCAATAATCCAAGGGAATCGCATGGGGCTTCTTCCCGTGGAAACGTTCCTTCTTGCATGATGTGTCTGCCTCCAAGTAGCAGCAAGCTGGTTATGCCTCCAAAAATCAGCAAATCTTGCCTTCCAATTAACCAAATCACCCACTTCTGTCCCCAGGAAACTCTTAGCTTCTTCCAAGCATTTCTGTTTCCACAAGTCATTGTCCGAAGCTAGATACCGCATCTCTGTACAAACACAAGCCATCTTTGCAATACTCACGCCAGGAAGCGACTCTAGTATCTTCAGTTTTAGCTCTGTTGGTAAGCGCATCAAGCATGGTGGGGGTTCCAAGCCAGCTTTATCGCAAATACCAATCAACAACGGGATAACAAGACCATCTTTTACCGAACTCCAGAACATGAACACTTCACGGTAGATGCTCGAAGACCCTTCTTTGTCAGACTTCAACGTATCCATAACCAAATCAATAACGGGCACAAACCTACGCTTATCAAGATTCATGTGCACTCTCACACTAGACCCACCTACAGTTCCATAAACTACAACCCAAGGGCCTAAATTCTGAAACTTCACAGTAACTGACTCGATTGTATTGGCATCCTTAGACTTAATTAGCTCAGGTAGAGTGTACTTTAAGGATGCCGTAAGTAACATCTCCGAAAAGCTAAACTTATCAGACCCGGAATCGAAAAGCACAAATCCAGATTCTAACATAACAGCATGAACCGACGAAGCCAAAGTAGTCAACTCACTGGTATCACCAGATTTCTCAAGCAATATCTTTCTCAAGAAGAATGGTTCACTTAACCTTTTGCTTTCAGCGGCAGGGAGCTCCATGTCAAGCTGCTCCACATCCATCGGCTCTGGACCCTCCATACCCGAATTTTCCCCCTTGGATCCTTCTGCTGGATCTTCTACGATGAAATTCGGATTAGGTTTCGCTTGATCGGGGACAACATCAACCTCTCCGTACCCCATACCCATCGAATCGTGAACAGCCGCCTGATTACTCTCCGATTGAGAAGCTCCCGATTCACAATTCGAAGATTCCCCAACCTGAACCGATGAAGTAAAAGCAGATTGATCGAGAGAGTAGTAGATAAGGTCACCGGATGTTACACCAAGAGATCGGAGCGTATCCTCCGGCGAAGATGCGAGGAGCTCGTCTTTACGATTAAGCGATAGATGAACGGAGGAAGGCTCTGTGGGATTGATCCGTCGCTGGAGATCATGGAGTGTGCCTGTATCGGCCAATTCAAGCTTTAAGGTTTCTCTCGTCTCGTGAAGTCTCAACCGTAACTTCATTGTCGGGCTCTGTTTATGAACTTGTGAATTGTGATCTTCTTCGACAAGAAAAACTGAAAAAGAGATAATATAACTTTCACCTGCAAAATGAGAATTGTCGCGTATTGAAGAAGGCGGTTACCAATTATTGGGCTTCTTCGGCCCATAAATAACTTCTTAAATTATAATATGGGCTTATGATGGGTACCGAATATTATTACTAGGCCGAACCAAAGAAAACAAAACAAAAAAACTAAAGTTAAATTATAATATTATTTTTGAAGTTTGCTTTTGGCTGTTGGTGTTGATTGGTTCCAAAGTTCCAACTAAGCTATGTTTTGGACTCTGTTGTTTGGCAACTTCTGTTGGGGTTTGGTCAACTTAGCTAAAGACAATTTTTGTTCCATAGATTTTTGGTTTCTTTATAAATGGCAACAATTTTGAAAAATGGATTTATAAATACTGACTACATGACTTACCTACCATTTTTTTTTTTAAGTGAGTTGGCGAATCCATAAGACAAACATCTACAATCAAACCATATTTTTGCAGATTTTTGACTGATACGAAATTACTAATAACGTAATAAAATGTTTTAAATATAGTTGACTAATGGATATGGTGGATTAGCGGAAAAATATATGGTTTATTGAGAGTTTTCAATGTATAAAATGTTACTTAGTGACCCTTCTAATTAGGAAACAGAAGAACCAGTCAAACTCACTGCAAACGAAAAGTCAAGAATTATATGTATTGTCAAACCCAAATGGTAATTAAGATGGTCTAATCATGACTATTATTGGATAAGCGTACGCTGCAACCTATATAAAACAAACAAGAAGATCCCTCAGATTAAAGTATCTATATTAACATTTTTGTAGCAACTTATGAAAAAAATCTTGTAGTTCAATAGTATTTACAGAGAATGCCACTGCCATTAATTTTTTTTCCTTTTGAAAAAAAAATTGATTCCACTATTAGAAAAATATATATTCAAAACCTATTCCCTTAAATCTCTCACAGCTTATCCGAATTAGTTACTGAATTAAATCAAAATAATCAAAATAGTTAATGATTTTGCATTAATAATTTAATGCTCAAAATAAAAATGGCAGCCTCATTTATTTCATTTAACAGTTTTGAAAACATTAAATTGATAGAACCTATTATTCCTACATGCAATTAGTTCTCTAAAATCAGCTATTTAGATATTTTTTTAGGTTACCAAATTAATCCATTATCATATTTAATTTAAATAGCTTAATACTCTATGCAATCATTTAATAAAATTAATACATATATATATATATACACTATTATTTATAATTATATTTGAAACTATCGATAATCAATTTCAAATTTTCAAAAAGGTAAAAAACATTTTTTGGATGAAATATTATAAAACGATAAAAAGTTTATAATAGGTATAATCACTGATTTAACTAATATATAAAATCGAAAATAATTGATACATAAAATCTTATTTAAATGGAAAATCTTAATCTACTATAATATTTTTGTAACACTTTTTGCAAAAAAAAATACAATCTACTTTAATATTTTTGCAATACGTTTTGGAAAAAATACTATAGCTAACATTTATTACTCTTGATGCATTTAATATTTTGTAAGAAATAATGCAAAAAATATTTAATTAATTTCTCTAATAATTTATAACAAACAATATTTAATATGTTCCAATATTTAATATCTCTAATAATTAGACAATGATTCGGAACCATTAAATATAAGACTAATATATTTCCAATTACGATGAACAAAAAACTTTATTTCTCAGGCGTCCAAATTTAAAAGTTTTATTCGGTATAATCAGGTATTTTATTTGAGGAAATTTTAATATTTAAGTTTTTAAAAGAGGGTTGTATGTCCTCGCACATCGTTCTTATTGAATAAGATATACGTTTGATTTGCAAATGATTATTAGTTGTTATGCGAAATACCGATGAAAACAATTATTACAAAACAGATTGTATGACGGGGTTTGTTATATACTCTTGATATTAAAACAAATTGTGTTTGTTATAGAAATAACATTTATACACGGGTTGTATGACGAGTTATGTGACGGGTTATAAGACGGGACGAGTTTAAATTTTATACCTTAAAACAGGTTTTAACTTCATTATACTATTTTTAATTATATTAATATAAAACATATTGAATCACACTAATTTAATTAAGTTTGATATTATGTAATTTTAATAATTTTAAAATAAAAATAACAGCATATCAGAAATATTAAATTTAAAAATAAATAAAAACACTTTGCCCCGCGGTGTACCGCGGGTTCAAATCTAGTAATTATACAATTACGAATACTAATTACATAGACCCACCGGCCACCACCAAAATTCGACCGTTGCTCACAACGTTCCAAGAAAAAAAGAAAAGAAAAAAATCCCCAATTTATTTCTTCCTTATTCAAACAAAGTTGCAATTTTTGTTTTCTTTCCATTTTACCGTTGGCTAAATGTGAAAAACCCTAAATTGTTCAATCTTTGCGATCTATACCCATTTCTTGAATTTCTGGTTTGAATCACAAAGTTTCGATCTTGAAACTCCGACAAAAATGGCGGCTTTAGCACCAGGGATCCTTCAAAAGCTACTCGACGGTATGAAAACCGGAGTTAAACCGACCGGAGAACACAGAAGCTCGTTATTACAGGTCACGGATATTGTCCCCGTCGATCTTGACGAGAAGAATCTATTACCCAAACAAGGCTTCTTCATTAAAGTCTCTGATTCTTCTCATTCGATCTACGTTAGCCTTCCTTCGGATCAAGACGATGTAGTTCTCAGCAACAAAATGCAGTTGGGTCAGTTTATCTACGTTGATCGGCTCGATCCTGGGACGCCTGTTCCGATAATCAAAGGCGCAAGGCCGATTCCGGGACGGCATCCTCTGCTCGGAACTCCTGAGCCGTTGATGAGTACTAGAGGGAAGGTTGAGAAAGAGTCTGGTACGAGACCGAGACGTGGTTCTTGGGGTCAAAATGGTGACGTTTCGTCTCCGTTTGTGTTAAAGCCTGCGCCTTTGGATTTTGATCAGTGTACGCCGGCGAAACATAGGCTTGCAACGGGGAGATTCACAGCGGCGTCTCCGGTGGTTATGACAAGAGGGAGATCACCAGGTGGAGTTAGGTCCTCTTATGGTGGAGGGCTTTTGTCGAAAATGACGGATCTTAAAGGAGAGAGTCCTGCTGTAATGATGAGGAAGAGCTGTGTTGTTCCGCCAACTTCAAAGTTTCCGAGAAGCAGAAGTGTTTGCGACAGAGAAATGTTGGCCAAGAACTCTGTTTCTTCTGCTCTGCTTAGTCCTTTTAAATCCTCTGTAGGTACATTTTGCTCTGTGTTTTCTCTATTGGTTAAACTCTTAAGCATAAAGGGTAGTTGTGGACAGAGATAACAATGGCTTAGTTCTTAATTTTGCAGGCAAAGAAAAGCGATTCACCACCTCCGAGTATGCGTACTAGAAGAGCAACTGCAGCTGCTTTGCTGGAAGATGAGAGAGAGGCTCCGAAAACTACCTCTAAGATGCTTTCTCCAAAGTACAGTAAGTTGGAAAAACCAGAGAAGGGTTTGAGTCTACCAGGAAGACTTAGCACACTCAGCAAGGTTTGTATAAATTTAGTTTCAATAAATTACAGTTTTTTTAAGAATGGTTTGGTGATACTAAGAGATATCTTTGTATCTGAGCAGGAAGCTATGCAGCAGCGAGAGACGGCTCAGAAGATAGCTCTTCAGGCATTGAGAGAAGCTACAGCCACAGAAACAGTCGTTCGTCATCTCAAGTATACATCTGAAAATTTAAGTATTTTTCATTGTATGGTTAATGTGTTTCGAGTCTGAAATGTGATAAAGTTGTTGTGAATCTTTTTGAACAGAACATTTGCCAATCTAAGCAAATCAGCAAAAGCTGATTGTCCAGCTGCGTGCTTCGACAAGTTCTTGGAGTTTCACAGCCAGATATCTGAAACCATGAATGAAATTGCGTCCAATGAAGCAAATGCTTCATCTGCTACAACAGAGAACAAATCCGAGAATGGATCGTCGTTGATACTACACGAAATCCAGCATAACTCTAATGATCAGGAGAAAACCACAGCAAAGAGAAGAATTGTTTTAAAGCAGCAGCAAAATCACAAGCAGTTGAGATCAAGCGATGAGAACAAGAACCCAGCAGCTCCTTCTTCCGGGTTAGGAAACACGGCTAGGTTGGTTAAAGAGGTAGAGAAAGAAGCTGCAAACTGGTTCATGGAGTTTATAGAAAAAGCTTTGGAGAAAGGGATGAAGAAGTGTAAAGGCTCAGGTGATGCAGATGTTAAGAAGGTTCCACAGTCTCTGATTCTCAAAGTTGTAAACTGGGTGGAAGCAGAACAGTCTGCTGATAACACGAAACGACCAGTTCATCCAAAGGCATCACAAATCACTAGAAAGCTCAGAATCAAACTGAAGAATCCTTGAACCATAAAATATCTAGATTTTTATGTTGTTGCCACTTCTACTCCTACTGTGAAAAGGCTCTCAGTTTCCACTGCTTACTTATAGAGAGATCATTCGTGAATTCTATTGTATTAGTCAAGTTCATATACACATCAATGAAACTAATAAGAGTTTGGTTTTTATAAATCACACATTTTTGTAGCTTTATTTATTAAATGTGTTGAAGATAAATTACTCTCAAAATCTAGAAAACCTAGATACAGGACACTTGCAGGTTTTCCAAAGCAAAAGTGCAAATCAAGAATGAACCAACATCAAGAAATAAGCATAAGTTCAGCTAAATTAAGGATGAGATACCCTGTTTGGTTTAGAGCCAGGCCGGGTTCTTGAGAGATGTGACAACAGCCTTAACTTGTAGGTAATGGCTAAGACTGTAAAGACCCTTCTCTCTTCCAATGCCACTCATCTTATACCCTCCAAATGGAATTGTAGCATCAAGTACATCAAAACAGTTAATCCAAACGGTACCAACCCTCAGCGCTCGCATCAGTCTGTTCGCTGTGTCCAGATTCTGTGTGAACACTCCTGCAGCTAAACCGTACTTGGAGTTGTTTGCCCTTGCAATCACCTCATCAAGATCCCTAAGAAACATTAAAAGCCATCAGTAAATATTGTCAACGAAGGGGAAACATTTGGTTTAGCATTAGATTTGTACTTGAACTTCAATATGGTTTGAACTGGTCCAAAAATCTCGTCTGTGGCTATGAGCATGTCATCCTGCCAAATTTAATATGGTCCATACAACTTAGAATTCTCAAGAAACCGTGATGACAATGGAGTTTTGTTTAAGGTAATACTTTGTTTACTTACTTTCACGTCTGAGAAGACGGTGGGTTGAATGTAGTAACCCTTAGAACCAAAACGATCACCTCCAGCTTGTAATGTGGCTCCAGCATCAACTCCATGTTTGATGTACTTCAGGATTTTATTGAATTGCTCTGAGTCAATCTGTTTTTTTTCAAAACAAGTTTAGGAATTTTTAAATGCTGTTCTGTTTTTCACCAAGAACATGGTTAGGTGACGGTTTCTAGATGTTGTAATGTGTACCTGGGGACCTTGCTCAATGCCTGACTTGAAGGGATCTCCAACAGCGCGTTTTACAGCACGCGCTTTAGCTTTCTCTACAAACTCATCATACACGCGTTCATGTACAAATGTACGCGAGCCAGCACAGCAGCATTGTCCCTACAAGTTAAGCAGAACAGATTCAGGTTATACTTAAGACTTTGAATCATATAATTCAGACATTGAGGTGTTCAAGTGATGTTACCTGGTTAAAGAACAAAGCGAAATGTGCAAGCTCAACGGCCTGATCCACATCAGCATCTTCACATACTATGAATGGTGACTTGCCTCCAAGCTCAAGAGTCACTGACTTAAGGTTGCTTTTTGAGGCCAAATCAAGAATAATCTTCCCAACGTCAGTAGAACCGGTGAAAGCAACCTGTAGCGTGCAGAAGATTAATCAGAAGTCTATAGATGGCAAACCTTTGAACTAATTAGAACTTCTCGATCTCATGGTCATGAGTGTAGCTTTTCAGCAACAAAATGTTACTAAACTGCCTGGTATGTATTCTTATATATGCTTGCAGAAACTGTTCCAAGAAACTAGGAAAAAATCTGCGGAACATGACATATAACAGTTGCAGAACACGGTGAAATAAGAAGAAGTTTTCAAGTTTCGTCTTTTAAACCTTATCAACGTCCATGTGACTAGCTAAGGCTGCACCAGCTGTAGCACCAAATCCAGAAACTATATTCACAACTCCATCAGGAAGTCCAGCCTGTCATAAGATATCAGTTACTTAAGCAAAACATAACATATGTTAAAGAAAGCAGATAAGCCAAAAAAGCCTTTAAGCTGTCATCAAGTAGATAGATGATAGCAAACACAAGAGCACATTGTTACCTCATGAAGTAGTCTTGAAACAAGGAGAGCAGATAGAGGAGTTTGCTCAGCCGTCTTGAGAACAAGAGTGTTTCCGCAAGCTAAAGCTGGTCCAAGTTTCCAAGAAAGCATGAGAAGAGGGAAGTTCCATGGGATGATCTGTCCAGCAACTCCTATGGGCTCATGCAAAGTCTGCACATGGTATGGACCATCTCCTGGAACCGTCATTCCATGGATCTTGTCTGCCCAACCTGGGAAACTCATCCAAAGAGAAAGCACAAATCATGAGTAGAAAAAATCTCAAAGTACACAATAAAAATGCATCAGTGGTTTCACTCACCAGCATAGTAACGGAACACCCTAGCAAGCATTGGCACTTCAATTTTAGCAGCTTGTTCAAAAGGTTTCCCATTATCCCAAGTCTCAAGAGCAGCAATCTCATCGTTATGTTTCTCGATCAAGTCAGCGAAACGAAACAGTATCTTTGATCTCTCCTGAAGAAATTTAAACCAAGCTAAGAGAGTCATTTTTCAAAAACACACAAAGATAGGAAAAAAAAAACAAAACAAGTTGTATTTACATAAGCTGTCATTCTAGGCCATGGTCCTTCATCAAAGGCCTTTCTTGCAGCTGCAACCGCACGGTTCACGTCTTCAACATCACCTTCAGCCACCTGAGCAATCACTTCACCATTCCTTGGATCCAGAGTAGGGAAAGTTTTTCCTGTAAATATTTTAAACAATAATAGTTTCAATATTTACAAGCTTTAGAGATATTGACAAGGCTATCAAAACATGTTCTTACCTGAGGCTGCATCAACGAATTTTCCTCCGATCAAGAGCTGTGTGTGTTCAACTTTCACAGGTGGAGTAATAGTGTTTTCAACAGCATGGTTACTGTATCTCTGCACTCCTCTGTTCATACCTAAAGTAACAAACAAAACAAGAATCTATCAATTCGATCAAGAAGTAACCAGAAATATAACAATGACCGATCTGCAAATAACAAGTGATACAGAATCTAAAAAAACTTGGAGATTACGATCCCATCAGATATATATATGTATGTACCTCTAAGAGATAACAGAGAAGAAGACGAGGGCATGAAGGAGCGAGCAAGCAACGATGAAACTCTTCTTGACGCCATTGCTTATTACTTTTTGTTTCTTTCACAAATCACAATGATGCTCTCTCTTGTATATTGGTGAGAGCTCTGCTTGTTGTGACTTATAGGAGGAGTAATGATTTCACATTTAACAAACATAGAAAAGAACCAATTTTAGATAACATTTCATTTTTCCACGTGTGTATGTAATATGTATCTATGGACATGTCGACGCATGGGTCAAATCAAAATACTAATAATATATATAATATCATTTTAATATTATTTCTTTGGTATATATAAGCGAAAAATCTTTGCTACTTTCTCCCATTAATTTTGAAGAGATAGATTTGAGTGGTTCACCTACCACACTTGTGATTATTTTAGTTATTATATCGTTAATATCATCATTAGGATGGTCCATAAACGTGTGTTGGCAGCTAAAGATTAAGATTACGTTATTAATCAGCTTAGTAGATTCTTTATAATGTTTGAAACATTCATGATTCGTAATTACTACTCACTTAGCGGAAAGTCCCAGTTTAACGAATAGTTTACTACCACATGCTATCAAATAAAATCGGCAGAGATCACTGTGCGTTGGACCCGGTGTTCTAGAGAGCTTCCAACCACTTTTAGCCATAAGTTTTCTTTTATTTTCCTTTTACTATGTAGTACTTGTTCATATTCAGGTATAAACACTTGGTAATTGGCAGTTTTAATTAGAGTTCTTAATTTGTTGAAATATAAATGATATATTTTGGACAGTTTATACCAAAGTTGGCTAAAACTAAGTTCACATATAAAACCTTAGAATTGTTATTCAAAACATTAGAAATGCCACACATTGATCATATTTTGCATAGTCCACTAGATACGTACACGATTCTATTTTGCTTACATATATAAAATCATTTTAAAGTTATCATGTACTAAGTTGTCTTTTATAGTAGTAAGATAGTGTTGTGTCATCTAGCCTTGGGCACGAAGCGAATATTCGAAAAATTTGTGATATTTGTTATTTGCTTCGCCTCGACCGAATAGTTGATTTTGCTATTTGCTTCGATTCGTGAATTTTCGAGTATTCGGAACTTCGAATATTCGAATATTTTCGTAATATTTGCGAATTACTTGCTTCGCTTCGCTTCGACCCATCTAATTTTTATTTTAAAACTAAAAACATATAGTACATAAATATAAAATGCAAAATATGAGATATTAGATGTTCTTGTTTGATATGTTTTCAAAATAAGTAGAAAATGTAACCACAGTCCATAGAATTCTCACATTTTATTTTTAATATTGGTTTTTCTAATAAATGTTTATTTGCTTAAGAACAACATTTAACAAAAAAACCAACGGACCAAAATATAATAATTTGAATAATAGGCATATAAGATATATACCCAAATCTATAAATACACATATTATATATATATATATATATATATATATTATATAATGATTAAATTTATACATCTATATAAATATACGAAGCGAAGCGGATATTCGGCACTAAGAAAATCAATATTTGTTATTTGCTTCGGTTTTTACGAATACTACATTTTCACATTTGCTTCGGTTCAATATCTTATAAATATTTGAATTTTTCGAATCGAATCGAAACGAATATCGAAGCGAAGCGAATCTAACGAATATTTTGTCCAGGGTTCTCATCAACTTTTGTTTTCTCCATGCGATTCCTTGTCTTGTGTGTTCGTGTATAAGGTTTGGCAGGCTCCATCTAGAACCATATATAAATAAATGGACCGTCCGATTGAAATACCTAACAAGTAACAACGAGAAGAAGGAGCGAAGAACTATGAACAAAACGTATGAAACTGAAACAGCATTATCAATGTTCGGTTTCTACCAAATATTATGTAAGTAGCTAATTTCTTCTAATCCTAGGGGCAGCTAGCTAAGGCTGATCCAAAATTCCTTATACTGGGCCTAATATAATAGTGGGCTCAACCTCGTGATCCAGTTCTCTCTTATGTCAGTATACGCTTTGTGGTATAGTAATAGTGTTCTTCATATAACCAAATTTTCTAATACACCAACTTGTTTCCGAAATGGCAAATACACTACTCTTCAGCTACATCAATCAAGAACTTTAAACTGAGTTGTTGAACACATAAACATCTTCAGATCTTCTAACTTATATAAGATTTTTTTTGCAAAAACCGAGGTATGTTGGTCTTACGCTCCACGGTTAAAGTCAGAGATACGTATGAGAAATTTTGCACGTGAGGTAGCAGCAGCTAGCGCGTAGAGTTAAAAACGTCCTTACAAAAGTCAAGAGAGACACGAATAAAGAAAGAAAAATAGAACATACATAAAAAGCCAAATAGCTAAAAAGGAAACGATATATTCGAGGCAAAAATTAAAGTTTTTCATTATCATCACATAATTATTTCCCAATTTCGTTACGTTGAATAAAATAATTAAATAAAAATGATATTTTCAGTGATAGGGAGAATATCAAAATCTTCTGCTTCTTATATCTTCCGTTTCACTTCACACCAAAATCACAACCCCACCAAAACCCTAATTCCTCTCTCTCATTTCTCAACCATGGATGCTAAAGAATCCTCCGCCACCGATTTGAAGAGACCTAGAGAGGAGGATGATAATGGCTCCCCCGCCGCAGCCGTCGCTTCCATGGAGACAGAGAACGGAGATCAGACAAAGGAGCCTGCTTGTTTCTCCACTGTCATTCCTGGGTGGTTCTCTGAAATGAGTCCCATGTGGCCAGGTCTTTTCCTTTTTACTAAATTCTTGGTCTTTCCAAAAATCTAAGCTTTTGTGTGTGTGTTTTTTTAAAAAACTTATTTACAAATGTTTGCAGGTGAGGCACACTCTTTGAAGGTTGAGAAAGTTTTGTTTCAGGGCAAATCAGATTACCAGGATGTGATTGTTTTCCAGGTAACCCAAATAATAAATAAACTTTATATTTCTCTGTTTTATATCTTTTATCAACTATCATTTTGATTGTGAGCTTTTTGGTTTTCTTAGTCTGCAACATATGGAAAAGTTTTGGTTTTGGATGGAGTCATCCAACTTACGGAAAGAGATGAATGCGCTTATCAAGAAATGATCACTCACCTTCCATTGTGCTCTATCCCTAATCCTAAGAAGGTATAGTTCAATCCTCTTGGAACATTTCTAACTCAATTGCTTTAGCCAAATTAGTAACCTTTATTGCGGTTTGGGTGGTCACTTTGTAATCAAAAGTCTATTGCTTTGGTATGTAATGAAAGGTTCTTTTTTTTAAGTCGACATGTTTCTTCTCCGGTAAAGTAGGATGACTAAATCATTACTTATAGAGAAATAGAGCAACCAGAGTTCCTTTTATCAGATGTGAATATAGAAACTTATTGAGCTGGCGTAATTGATTGGAATGTCCACTAGAGAAAAAGGTAGATAGATGATCAATGCTATTTTGCTTTTTAGATGTACAAACAACTTTGATGGCCTCCTGATAGAAAAAGGTTACATTGTCCCACGTTCTCATCTGGCAGAGTTAGAGAACTCTAGTGAACTTTATTGTGTAATCATAAATATGATAGAAACTCTTATAGGTGGCTTTTATGATTATTCTCTAGCTTCTTATTGGGGATTTGTTTTGAGAAAAAGGTTGATAATCAAAGCTTCTTGTATTTCAATTGATTTTGCTCCCGAATATTAGAATTGTGTAATCTAAGTATATTGGGTTATGGTAAAGTGGAGCATCTGAAAATGCTGTTCTTTTTTTTTTTTGCTTTTAGCCAGTAAAGCTTTAAGCCAGAGTGTATCTGATCAATGCCTTTCTAGTTCTTCCATAGGTCTTGGTCATTGGAGGAGGAGATGGTGGTGTCCTACGGGAAGTTGCACGTCATCCTTCTGTTGAGCACATTGACATGTGTGAAATTGATAAAATGGTGGTCGACGTGAGTGGTCACTTACTTTTCACCTTTCCTGCATCTCTATTTCGATTAATGCCTTAAACATTTGTATCCAAATTTTAATGTGTTCCACCTACCGGTAATTTTGCAGGTGTCTAAACAATTTTTCCCTGATGTAGCAATTGGATATGAGGATCCTCGCGTGAACCTCGTTATTGGCGATGGTACGATACTGCTGTGTTTTACCTCTATCTCTGAAACGCTACGTAGTTATGCTGAAATCAATATTCAAACTGATTAATTGGTGAATTATTGCAGGTGTTGCTTTCTTGAAGAATGCTGCTGAAGGATCATATGATGCTGTTATTGTTGACTCATCAGATCCTATCGGTAACTACTACAGTCACATGTCATCATCAATCATATTAACCCTTGCAGTTTATTTGAACAAAGCTAAAAGAAGCAGGCTTTAACTATGATTTCACTTGCTGATGTATGTCAGGTCCTGCAAAGGAGTTGTTCGAGAAACCCTTCTTCCAATCCGTGGCTAGAGCTCTTCGTCCTGGTGGAGTTGTGTGTACTCAGGCTGAAAGCTTGTGGCTTCACATGGACATCATTGAAGACATTGTTTCCAACTGCCGCGAGATCTTCAAGGGTTCTGTGAATTATGCGTGGACCAGTGTTCCAACATACCCCAGGCATGTTTAATGAACTTTAACTTTTAGTCTCTCACACTTTTCTTGATTATAACTCGACCTGAACGTGTATCATTTTTAATGCTTATTTTTGCAGTGGGGTTATTGGATTTATGCTCTGTTCAACCGAGGGACCTGATGTTGACTTCAAACACCCACTGAACCCAATTGATGAGAGCTCCAGCAAATCAAATTTACCCTTGAAGTTTTACAATGCTGAGGTAAGAAAATAAACCTCTCGGTATACCATTTCATGCCGTCTAGACACTTATGCCACATTTCTTAGCTTATGCTCTCAATTCTTTGGGTTTCAGATTCATTCTGCTGCGTTCTGCTTGCCTTCTTTCGCCAAGAAGGTAATTGATTCGAAAGCCAATTGAAAAGGGAAAGAAAACGAAATCCGGAGGATCCTTGAATTTATCAAAATAAAAGTTTTTTTTACTGTTTTTAGAATGTTACTGTGTTTGAGGGATGTTTCTGTAACACACTGCAAGAGCTGCAAAAGCGACAGTCTCGGGTTTAGCATAGTTGCATTACACATTACATAGTAGCAAAATCCAGTTTACAACATGTGTTCTTGCTTTTGCCGTGAAGCTGGAAAATTATTAAGTTTTCACCCATTTTACCATTATAAACATTGATTTGATCTCAGCCAAACTCTCTCAAGTAGCAGGAGGTTTAGCTTGTTCTACATCACGCTTCTTCCTCAAAACTCTAGTTTTACAATCATAGTAACAAGCAAGACAAGTCAACCATTTAAGCACATTCCCAACACAAATCAAACCCACATAGACGCCAGTATACAACACTCCATTTCCACTCGAACTCTCACTGCATTTGGAGTATAGACATGGCATCCTCATCGCCAGAGCGAAGACCAAGAACATCAACATCAACCAGAGGTCACGTTTCTCATGCCCTTTTCTATACCAAGCTGAAAGAGACATAGCATCACTTCCATAGATGCCAAGACCATCTTCGTCGTCTTCTAAAACCGAAACAACCAAACCCATGTTCCACCCCGCGCTCCACTTGCTGAACTTAGCGGTCAGAAATATAAAGAAAGCACATTGAAATAGAAGAGTCAGAATCACTATCACGTCGGATAGCCCCGTTGGTTGGTAGTGGAACCTTACGTATACTCTTGAGAGATGAGGAATGTATAAGTAGTTTTTTGAACCAGAAAGAAGCTGAAGAAAAAAGAACAAGAAAAAGAAAACAAGAACAGAGGTTGACCAAAGGAGGACATAAAGAGATGTGATCAATAAACCTTCTACTCTGTTCTGACATACTTTGAGAGATCTTCGTAACAAATGAAGGATCCCCAACGGTTCTTCCTCAGACGTGTAAACAATAGAAGATGCTGCAACGATCGTGCTGGTGGTAAAAAGGTCAAGAATGGAGTAGGGAAAGAAGTAGAGCAGAATAGTCTGGACCAGCCAAGGAATCAGATCATTTTTTTTTTCTGATATGATAATTAGATCATTCTCCGACAAGTCCTCCCTAAAAGTGAGTAGTTTGAAGAGGAACTGGGAAGCGTAAGCGAAGGTGGTTTGGAGGGAGAGCTCGAAGAAGATCAAGAAACAAAACAGTGGGAGAGAACATAAGCAGATGAAGAGAAAGAGATTGATGTTACAGAAGAGTAGCTTTGCAGCTCGTTTTAGTAGTTCGATGACACTTGGCTTCTCCTCGCTCTTCGTCTCCATTTCTCGATCTCTTTCTCAGAATATGACGAAGACAAGTCACAGATCTGTATGTTTAGTAGAACATGTAATTGTTAATAGTCTTTGGAGTAATTTAATAGTGGTCCTTCATTGACGTTGACTTCTTGACTTCTTTACAAGTCACCGTATGTAATGTTTGACTAGATGAGTTGTATCAGTGGACAAGTCTTTAAAATTAAATTATGTGGAAATGAGCGAAAACATCGACCAAAGTATTGGAGATAAATGTTGAAGTCCAACTTAAAATCTCATAACACACAACAATAGATTGAAATGGATATGCCTAGAGAAGATGGCAATGCAATTGGTCATACAGAAATTGTTATTTAAGATTCGAGTTTTGGTTTGATCTCAGGCTGTGCAACAAGAGCCTTAGCTTTTGACCCAATCTCCAAGTCACCTTTCTTCACCAAAAACCGAGTTCTACAATCTTCATAAAACACTAGACAAGCCACCCATTTGATCACATTCCCAACACAGATCAAACCCACATAGAAACTCGTGTACAACACTCTAACTCCATTCGAACTCTCAGTGCATTTGAAGCAAAAACATGGCATCCTCATTGCCATAGCGAAGACCAAGAACACCAGCATCACTCGGAGACCACGCTCCTCATGTCCTTTTCCATAGTAAGCAGACAGAGTCAGTGCATCAGGTCCATAGATGGCTTGACCATCTTCTCCTTCCTCTAACACCGAAACAACCAAACCCATGTTCCATCCTGAGGTCCACGTACTAAACTTTGCCAACAAAAATAGAAAGAGAGCAACGTGAAACATAGCCAAGACTGCATCAAACAACATCTTTACCGGATCGTTGAAGCTGCTGTAATAGCCTCCGCCATATTCATAATAGTAGTATGAGTAGTTGCGAAATCCAATAAGGGAAATTATGTAGAAATAGTTTGTTGCCACAAAGAAGAAACCACAGAAAACAGGGGTTGACATGAGAAGGACGTATAGAGAGGTGATCAAGCAACCTTCAATTCTGTTTTGACATAACTCTAAGGTTCTCCGAACAAGTCTACCAAACTTTAACGGTTCCTCTCCCGACATGTGTACAATCCAAGATGCGGAGACTACTGTGCTGGTGGTGAGGAGGTCTAGGAGGCTGTACGGGAACAAGTAGAGTAGAAATGTCTGGATAAGCAACGGAATCAGATTCTCTGACAAGGCATCATCTTGACGAACGTCATAGTAACTCCAGTTATCGAGTTGGCCAACGAGGTATTGAGAAGCAAGCGAGACAGTGCTTTGGAGGGAGAGCTCGAAGAAGATCAAGAAACAAAAGAGAGGGAGAGAACAAAGGAAGAGGAAGATAACAAGATTGATGTTACCGCATAGAAGCTTTGTTGCTCGTTTGAGTATGTTGATGTAATCTAGATCCTCCTCCATCTTCATCTCCTTTTTCAGTATCACTATTCACTAAACAAGTAAGGAGATTGCAGATCTACCATTTGTTATTCATACATATGTAGTTGTCCTCCGTTGACGTTGCCGTTGATAGTCTTCAATCCACAAATTTGATTTCAGACCCGGCTACATAGGACTTTAATGTAAAGTTGGATACAAGTAAGTTTTTGAACCATGTTGCCTTAAATTCCAATTTAGAAAAGTATTCAAATGAAAGGATATTGCGGTCAAAGAGCAGATTAAAAGAAAAGGCAAAGAGTATGTATGTCTATGGAGAAGAAAAGCGCAAGTGGGAAACCAAATTATGATCTCAAAAGACTAAGCTGACACCTTTTTACAAGCAATACAAAGAGCATCCACAAAAGAGTTAAATGTAAGTGTGTGATCCACCAACAGATGTGTGACAAAGATGACGAAACTAATGCGACCAAAAAAAAATGAGCAGAGAACCCAAATGGGGATAGAGCAGCTGAAAGCGAGGAAGGGGAAAGGGGCGGGGTGAAGAAACAGCTTCGTCTTTCTCATTTGAAGCTTGTTTGCAGATTGGGGTAAGAGTAAGTGAGTAAAGAATAGAGCAATCTAAAAGTCATCCAATGCAAACTTAGCTGATGATGGTCGAGTTGACAACGCAGATTCATGACAAAGCTAAGTTGTGGGAGAGAGTAAGATGCAGCCCAGCTGCCATACCTCACAAAGGAAAAAGAGTGAATGGTTGAGCCTTTTAGATATGTCACACATATTATAGTAAGGAATGTGCATTCAACAAGACACAAAAACATTTATGGATACGAAATGACCTCAAATGTAGGGGTTCAAGCACGCTGAGTGAAGACAGCAAGGCTTTCAACGCTACTGAGTGTTAAAGAGAATAAGTCAAGAGGGCTGTTGGAAAACAGCTTGAAGGAGAATTCACCAAATCCAATTGTCTAATAAAACACGAGAACACCATGACATGTCCAAGCTCAAACCAATCCTAGAAGAACTAATAGCATAGCAGATATATAGATCTAATCCTAAAAGGCGCCACATATAGCCAGATATAGCATCATACTGGTTTACACCCTGCAAAAAGTGCAAAGAATCTTATATCAGAATACTTCAAATGTTATTCAAATTTTGAATGGGAATGTGGAAGTTGAATCATGCAGTTAACCTATACTATCAAAACGATAAAAGAAGTATTACCCATTGGCATATGGTGAACGTCGACCATAAGGTGAGTCTCGGCGGCGAGGAGAATCACGGCGTGTACCACGATAAGGAGGGGATCTGCTGTAGCTCCGCCCACGACGAGGTGGAGTAACACTGCGACGCCTTGGAGGAGATCTTCTTCCACGTGGGCTTATACTCCTGAACAAAATCAATCCCCAGGAACAAAAATGTATGTAATAAGTGATTATAGCATCAAGAAAGTTACTATTAACACTAAACAACTCATCCCCTAATATCTAATTCCAAAATCCAATAAATGCAATTTCAATGAAAATGTTAACAATCCACTAAGATTCAGGACATGTTTGTTTACACTTGAAAACAAGACTCCAACCACAATGGACAAGATGAAATAATATCTCATCTAAATTCAATCGCTATATGACATAAGCAGCTACATAAGAATGTTTCAGTTGGACTCACCTGCGTGCATACCCATAATCTGGACTCCTACGACGACGAGGACTAGGACTTCTACGCCTCCCAGAGCCTCGACCGCGGCGACACTCCCGTGCAAAGTGTCCAAGTTCACCACACTCATAGCACTTGGAGTCCTCAATCCCACCACGACGGCCACCAGCTCCCCGACCTCCCTTGTCTTTGTGAGAAAGCTCCACACGCCACCCATTCTTTCCTGAGGAATATATGCCTCAATAGTTACAATGTGCAGACACACTTTACATGACAATTGAAGGCAACAAGATGAAACATATGAAATTAGGATAATTCAGAAAGTATAATGAGAAGAACACTGACTATCCAATGTCCTGATCGCATCCAAAGCATCCCTTTCGTCATCGAACTCGAGGAAAGCGTAGCCTGGAGGCCTACGAGCTACCCAAACACTGTGATTTTTAAGATCAAGAGTCAAAATTTCGTAAGGCCAGAAACAAAATTGACTATTGAAAAAGTATACAGCTAAGAGATAGCAATTACTTGCGAAGAACACCAAAGACCCTGAATTCATCTTCGAGCTCCCTTTCAGTAACCTTCGGGTCCAAATTCCCGACATAAACCCTAGTCATGTCGTGAAATCACACAAATCTGAACCCAACGAGACAACCTAGGAGAAAAGGAAAAAAAAAAAACAAGTTAACAGTTTCAGCAAGTGACTCTTAGGATCACGGATACGAAATCTAGCGACTTGAAGAGGAAATTGAAAAAACGTGAATCGAAATTGTATAGCTACAGGGAGAGCAGAACAGTTACAGCAAGTAGTAAACAGGGTACCTGAGATTTTTCTAGGTCTTGAGAGGAAGAGGCGGGGGATGTTTTTAGGGTTCAGGACTCAGACAACGGCGAGGAAAGAGAGAGCACGGAGTTAAAAGAAGTTATTATTCCCCAATTATTAATTTCTTCACAATTTTTTATTTTAAACAAAAATAAAATATACTAAATTTCTATTTGGTAAATATTTTTCATAACAACTCTACTACTATATATTTTTTCTTCTTTTTTGATAAATAACTAGTCATTTAAATTTAAAAGTTTTATCGATCACATAAATTTGGTTGAAGAAAATAAGAAAATGTAAGTTTCGTTTAGTTGACAATTTGACGTTAAGTACAAATGTTAAATCAATGCAAACTTGTTTTAGGTTCGGGCATGTTTTGAGAGTTTGATTATATATGGTATGAACAAAACCAAACTGTAATTGTAATTATGGTTTAAGTTTATAGAAGAGAGTTTGAACTTTGAACAAAATACTATTAAAATGTTATATATACCATGACCATTAATTAAAAGAGAGACTTGAAGTTGAAACTAGTAGGACTCTTTCATTAATCCCTAAACAAAGAAACTACATATAAAAAATGGGATTTCATTGCGTTAAAAATGGGATTAAAGTTAACTTTGAGGTGATCTTGGGTTGGAAAGATGGATGGGTCTAGTGATCCAAACAATTTGGGTAAGATTGAAAAAGGTGCTATATAGATCAATGCCCAATGGCCCATGTAAGTTGGTTCTTGGACTCTGTCTCCTATTTGCTTTCTTTTTCTAGCTAAAAAAAATGATTGATTTTGTAAAAGTCTTCTTCTGAACGTGTTGTCACCATAGCACTGGTTCAAAAAAATGTGAATCGACGTAAATGGAATAAGACTAGTTACGATAAAAATAGCAAATAGTTACATCGAAAGACACACTTTATTATATGAGAGAGAGAGAGAGCCTTATCCATTGGGGAAACATTCTGAACCCCATTAACGATGAATGATAGTAATTGATAAGTCATTCCAGGTCCCAGGCCTCTCTCTCTCTCTCTCTAAGACTGAGCCTGATGACGTGTCTAATTCTCATTCGCTTATTTACAACCCCACGTGCTTCTCCCTTTACAATTCTTCTCATATTACAGCTTTGGTTTACACGTGTCGCTATACCCAAGCCGCTTGTCTTGTTCTCCCAATGAGACTTTAAGATTGTTTTGGATGTTTTTTTTTGCCTAATAACTAAATTATATGTGGCGACAACAAAAAAAAACTAAATTATATGACTCTAAAGATGGGCGACTTGTCCAAGTCTAATTTTCAAGTAAATTATATTTTTGTTTGAACTATTTTATGTTATCATATTAAAAACAAAATTGGCAGAAAGGAAGATTTAGAAAGTGTTTAAAAGCAAGAGCAAAATTTTAAAGACTTCTATAAATAATCAAAAGAAGTTTTTATATATTGATGGGTTTAAATTTTTGTAGTAATTATCTTTGCTTGATCCATGTTTGGTTATAATTTGGAAAAACTTCATTTTAGGTTTCAGAGTTAAATCATATTAAAACATTAATACATATAATTGGAAATTACCGTTATAAATATTCGAGTTTTTATATCGCAAAATATATTTGTAATAGTTTCTATCATACCTTAAAACTGAACATACCATTTTCTGAAAGTCGGATAAACAAATTGAATAGGATAAGTGGTTGAAGACAAATAACAAAGTATTTGTTACCCGGTCATACTCTAAATTGGTCTTATACTCTTATCGAGTGGATGAGGAGAAAAAGTAGGTGTCATAAACTTGTTTTATTTTACATAAAAGTGGAGAAAAGTATCAACAAAGCAGAAGAAATGAAAAAAAAAAAGAAAGTGTCTATCTGAATCAGATCCAATCAAACCACACCCAAATAATCCTCGTTGGCTTCCTAAACAACGTGAAAACAGAACACGACTTAGATGTCAACGTTTATTACAATTCCAAACCATTAAGAACCAAATTAATGTGGGATATTATCGTCAATCAACACGTTGGTTAGTGACAATCCTTAATGCTGCTTTTGTCCCTTGGGGAGTTTGAGAAGCCACCCTCAAAATACAGATTACGATAATGTGTGCAATTACATGTTTCTTTAATTACTATCTTTTGTTTGGTCAAGTTTATAAATTTTAATAATGGCTTCCTTCTTCTTTAACTATAATAAAATTTTACTATATCTATATATCTAATATGTACATGCATGTTGCATTCCCCGATAATGTTTGTTCCATTTTCATGTCTCTATCTAAGACTTTTTAAGTAAGACAAAAAGATTACTCTTATTATTGTGATCTTTTCTTTAGTAAGATAAATTAAGAGGATTGATTCAATTCATCTCATCTATATAGTATATATGGATATAGTCTTCAAGAACGTGTATAGAAGTTATTTTCTTTTTGGGTTTTTGACTTTTGGATTATGATTATTGTTTTCTAAAACGTTACATGCACTTTCTAGTGCCGTGACTAGCTACTCTTTAGAGTTATTTTTTCTTTCATATCTTACCATATCATGTATTGCATATATTTCTCACACGAATTAATGAAATGTTTTTCTTGCTTGTATAATTTTTTTGAGCATGCTGCATGCATAGTTACAAAAATGTATTTATATATAGTGCATTTAGTTAAGTACAATTTGCGTATTAATTATATTGTGAAAATATAATGATTTGGTACCGGGGATTAGGTTTTGCTTAGAGTCATGTTTACGGCAACTAGGATTACATCAAGATGGATTTGCTCTATGTGATTATGTTTGGATAAACTCGTAAACGATAGCTCAAATATAAAACTAACCAAAACATTTTTATATAAAAAGTAGACCCGTACCAATATATACGACCTAGGCAGTAGTAGTAGTAGGTTTGATAAGATCTCTTAATCGTATTAATTAACATACGCAATTACCTTCGGATTAGATTAAGGATTTTATTATTATTTTATCTTGGTTTCAGCCTAAAGAGAAAATGGTCCACCACATTATCTAGTCATCATCATCTCATCTACCAAACAAACCTTTTTAAAAAATAAGAGGATTAAGGGTAATATTGTCATTTACTTCAACCTCCTTTATTATTATTTTATTGCCAAAATTAGAAAAATAGATCGTTAGAAAACGTGTATATGTTCATTTGGTATTTATGTTTATCGGTTTTTTTTTTATTTTCTTTGTCTCGCATTTATTTTATTTTTCATTTTCGATGATGCTCTCTCTCTATCCAAACTCTCTATAGCGAATGTCCCCAACGAGTCTCGAGTCCTTATCGTGAACTTTTTTTTGTAGTTCTCATCGGTTCCACGAAAGAAGACAATTTCAAAGTTTCCGTTTTTAAGCTTTTTCTCGCCGGCGATTTAGTGGTTTTTGGAGAAGGTGAGTAGCAAAAGTGTGGTTTTATTTTTTATTTTTGTGTGTGTCTGTTGGATTTTTGTGGAAAAGTTTTTGATTTTCGTTGAGTTTTCAACTGTTTCATTCATGGGTTCAGATTTAAATTGGTGTGAAAAAACGTGTTCTTGTCCTGTTTTGATGTGTTTGTTTTTGGGATCGATATGTGGTAAGAATCTCAATTTTGGGTTTTGATTTGGTCTCAGATGATTAGTTTGTGTAGCTTAATAATCCATTTCTGCACTTTCAGATTCATTCACTCGTTTTTTTTGTTTGGTTTCTGAATCATCTTTTTGCTCGCATTGTTAGTTTTTGTTTGATCATTGTTTCATCAGTTTTGGTTATGTCGAAGTTGATTTCAGTGAAATGGGTTTGTTCCTTTTTCAGATATTTGACGCTTGCAAGTGTTTAGACGCGTGTTGGCTTTGTCAAAATCAATACTTTTGCTCTTGCTTCTTCTCTCTATGGTGTCAAGATCTTGTGCAAATTTTCTAGATTTAGCATCTTGGGATTTACTGAACTTTCCTCAAACGCAGAGAGCTCTTCCTCGTGTCATGACTGTTCCTGGTATCATCTCTGAGCTGGATGGAGACTACGGGGATGGATCCTCCGATGTTAATTCTTCCAACAGCTCCCATGAGCGGAAGATTATAGTGGCTAACATGTTACCATTACAAGCTAAGAGAGATACAGAAACTGGACAGTGGTGTTTTAGCTGGGATGAAGATTCTCTCCTCTTGCAACTCAGAGATGGGTTTTCTTCGGATACGGAGTTTGTTTATATAGGATCACTTAATGCTGATATTGGTGCGAGTGAACAAGATGAAGTTTCTCAAAAGCTTCTGTTGGATTTCAATTGTGTTCCCACGTTTTTGCCTAAGGAGATGCAAGAAAAGTTCTATCTTGGTTTCTGTAAACATCACCTCTGGCCGCTTTTTCACTATATGCTTCCCATGTTCCCTGACCATGGTGATCGGTTTGACCGGCGTCTCTGGCAAGCATATGTTTCTGCAAACAAGATATTTTCAGACCGGGTGATGGAAGTCATCAATCCTGAGGAAGATTATGTTTGGATTCAGGATTATCATTTGATGGTTCTTCCCACATTCTTGAGGAAAAGATTTAACAGGATCAAGCTTGGGTTTTTCCTTCACAGTCCATTTCCATCGTCAGAAATCTACCGTACTTTGCCAGTCCGGGATGATCTTCTGAGAGGACTGTTGAACTGTGATCTCATTGGTTTCCACACATTTGATTATGCACGCCATTTTTTGTCATGCTGCAGTAGAATGCTTGGCCTTGATTATGAATCTAAGCGTGGGCACATCGGGCTTGATTACTTTGGTCGAACAGTGTATATTAAGATTCTTCCTGTTGGCATCCATATGGGTAGGCTGGAATCGGTTTTGAATCTTCCGTCAACTGCAGCGAAAATGAAAGAGATACAAGAACAGTTTAAAGGGAAAAAGTTGATTCTCGGTATCGACGACATGGACATCTTTAAAGGCATAAGCCTCAAACTTATAGCCATGGAACATCTCTTTGAGACGTATTGGCATATGCGAGGAAAACTTGTCCTGATTCAGATAGTAAACCCAGCACGGGCCTCGGGTAAGGATGTGGAAGAAGCAAAGAGGGAAACATATTCAACTGCAAAAAGGATCAATGAGCGCTATGGTTCTGTTGGTTATCAGCCAGTAATCTTGATTGATCGTCTTGTTCCCCGTTATGAGAAGACTGCTTATTATGCTATGGCAGACTGCTGCTTGGTCAATGCAGTCAGAGACGGCATGAACTTAGTTCCATATAAATATATCATTTGCAGGCAAGGGACACCAGGAATGGATAAGGCCATGGGCATTAGCCATGACTCACCCCGGACAAGCATGCTTGTCGTCTCTGAGTTTATCGGCTGCTCACCTTCATTGAGTGGTGCGATCAGGGTGAACCCATGGGATGTAGATGCTGTTGCAGAAGCGGTAAATTTAGCTCTCACCATGGGTGAGACGGAGAAGAGATTAAGGCACGAGAAGCACTATCACTATGTTAGTACTCATGATGTGGGTTATTGGGCAAAGAGCTTTATGCAGGATCTGGAAAGGGCATGCCGAGAACATTATAACAAACGTTGTTGGGGTATTGGTTTTGGCTTAAGTTTCAGAGTTTTGTCCCTGTCTCCGAGTTTTAGGAAGTTATCTATCGATCACATTGTCTCGACATACAGAACTACAGAGAGAAGGGCAATATTTTTGGACTATGACGGCACTCTCGTTCCTGAGAGCTCCATTATCAAAACCCCTAATGCTGAAGTCCTCTCTGTTCTGAAATCTCTGTGTAGAGATCCTAAAAACACTGTGTTTGTCGTCAGTGGCAGAGGATGGGAGTCTCTGAGCGACTGGCTATCTCCATGTGAAAATCTTGGTATAGCAGCTGAACACGGATACTTCATAAGGTATAAATGCTAATAACAACTGTTTCTTTCAGTTACAATTTTTGAGATGAATTTGAGCAAACTAAGACCCATTCTATATTTGGATTCAGGTGGAGTAGCAAGAAAGAGTGGGAGACTTGTTACTCGTCAGCTGATGCGGAGTGGAAGACAATGGTAGAACCGGTAATGAGATCATACATGGATGCAACCGATGGTTCTACTATAGAGTACAAAGAGAGTGCTTTGGTTTGGCATCATCAAGACGCAGATCCAGACTTTGGATCCTGCCAAGCAAAGGAGCTTCTGGATCATCTAGAGAGCGTACTCGCAAACGAGCCTGTTGTCGTCAAGAGAGGCCAACACATAGTAGAGGTCAAACCACAGGTAACAGCAGAGATCTATTTAATCCTTTTCTTTTACTTACATACAATTACTGCACCTGAGAATCTGTTAGAACTTGTTAGTAAATCAATAGTCGCATGAAGTAGATGCAAAAGCCTCATATATACCTTAATATGTGATTTAATCTGTTCTTTGTATTGATGCAGGGAGTAAGCAAAGGCCTAGCCGTGGAAAAGGTGATACACCGAATGGTAGAGGATGGGAACCCACCGGACATGGTGATGTGTATAGGAGATGACAGATCAGACGAGGACATGTTTGAGAGCATATTGAGCACAGTGACAAACCCGGACCTCCCAATGCCACCAGAGATATTTGCCTGCACGGTGGGAAGAAAACCGAGCAAAGCCAAGTACTTCTTAGACGATGTCTCCGATGTACTAAAGCTCCTAAGGGGATTAGCTGCTGCATCGAGCAGCTCGAAGCCAGAGTATCAACAAGAATCCTCCTCCATGCACACGCAAGTGGCGTTTGAGAGCATCATCTGATAACAAAGACAATGATCACTTCATTTGTCGTGTCTGTGTGAGTAACCATAACCAACATGGGAAAGGGTTGTATATGAAGGTTTAACATGATGGGACTGGTCTGTGTGATTTATTTATTTTCAAAAAAGCTTGGGAGGGTGTTTTCTTCTATCTCTCTCACTGTTGTTTTCTTTTTTTAGAATTGCAGTTTTTATCTCTTTGTATAGAGAAAGTCTTTGGTGGTTTGTAATTTATACGGAGTAACCAAAATGGACAAGTTGGCTTTGTAATTCTTTAAGCACAAGTGACATCATTTACAAAGTAAGCAGACTATGTAATTAATTAATCACCCAAAACCTTAATAGTAATTTTATTAATTGTTGCGCCGACGTTAATGGCATGACAACATGTGTCACTCTTTTATACGCCTCTCTCCGTTTTTTGTTTTTATCTCTCTCTTCTTCAACCTTTCTCCTCCTTCCTTTATTCACAAATTGTTGTCACTACTTCTGTTTCCTGCAACCATAATCTCTACCATTTTTTTTTCTTTTCTTATATTCACATTACTCGCCATTTTTTCTGCTTCTTCTCAGATATGAACTAGGGTTTTTTGTTTTTTCTCCATTCATCTTTCTCACTTTCGCTATTCGTGTCTCTGCTGAACAATCTTAAGTAATGTGTAGGCGTTTTCTGTTTCTGGGTATTCTCATTTTGCTCCTTTCTGGGTTTGTAGCTTCAGCTCCTTCTTCAACTTCACCTGCGAGTTAGTTTCTCACCCTGTTTTCGCGATGACGCTTTTTGAAAAAAAATCTGGTTTTTTTTTCGATCTTTATATAATCTTAACGAGCTTACATTTCATTCTTATTGCAGAGATTGTTAATAGCTTCATCTCGAATCATGGCATTTCCTTATTGAAATGGTTATGGTCTTTCAAAACCACCACTAAAACAGGTTTTGAGCTTTCTTCGTTGATTAAGGTTGTAACAGTGTTTGATGATTCCTGGGTTTTTTATTTCTGGGTTTTTGTTGTTTTAATCAGCGGTTCCTACGAAATCGATGGTGAAATTTGAAAATGGGTATTCAGTGGAGACGGTGTTAGACGGAAGCAAACTCGGAATCGAACCTTATTCTCTCCAGGTCTTACCCAATGGCGAGCTGCTTATCTTGGATTCTCAGAATAGTAACATTTACAAGATCGCCTCTTCATCTCTTTCCCTATGTAAGTGCCACCATCACTATAGTATCAAGCTTTCAATTTTTCAGATACATTCTCTTGGGTTTGTGTCCATTGTTAGTATATGGTACTATTGATTTCGCGTCAGACCTCGTGGATTACAATATTTGCTGATCCTCTAAGGATTTTGAATACGGATGATGAAATCAGGTTTTTTTTTTTTTGGGTGCTTTCTCTGCTTTCACGTGATAAAGAAACTATTTGCTTACCTAATCGTAGTAGCACATGGACTTTAGTATGTACAAGTTTGCTGTATATGGTAATTCAGAGATTTTAAGGTAAAAAAAGGGTTTTGAAAGTCAGGAGATTTTTCTGACGTTTTTCTTTGTTTGACAATTTTGGATGGATTCAATGGAAGTGGTCAATAATACAATCAATGTCTTACTACTCAGCATTTATCATTACACTACACGTTGTATAAATTTGATTGTGGTATTTGTATATTCATAGAAAACCAAGTAGTAGATGGATTTTTGAGCTACAGAGTGTAATTCTTGGAACAATGGCAGATAGCAGACCGAGGCTGGTTACTGGCTCCCCTGAAGGATATCCGGGTCATGTGGATGGGAGATTAAGAGACGCGAGGTTGAACAATCCCAAGGGAATCACGGTGGATGATAGAGGAAATATCTATGTTGCAGACACTGTGAACAATGCTATCAGGAAGATCAGTGAAGCAGGTAATTTTTTGTCAGTTGTTTTCTGGTTTTGCCATTTGGACAAATGTTGGTTGTTTATATATTGAGGTAAGAATTGGTATTAAGAAAGAAAGACAATGCAATGGCAGGAGTCACAACCATTGCTGGAGGGAAAATGGTTCGTGGGGGAGGTCATGTGGATGGTCCGAGTGAAGATGCAAAGTTTTCAAATGATTTTGATGTTGTTTATCTCGGAAGCAGTTGTTCCTTGCTAGTCATTGACCGAGGAAACCAAGCCATCAGAGAGATTCAACTCCATTTTGACGACTGTGCTGATCAGTATGGAAGTGGCTTTCCTCTTGGTAATATCTACATATCAAAATCCTTGGGTTGTTGCCTTTTTCATCCTTCAATCATGTCTATTCCCGTTACTCTTTAAGGTATACCTATGATTCAGTGCTTTAATATTGCAGGGATTGCAGTTCTTGTAGCGGCAGGTTTCTTTGGCTATATGCTGGCTTTGTTGCAACGTAGGCTCAGTTCTATCGTTTCATATCATACTGTGAGTGTACAATCGCATCTAAATATTTTTCTCTTCTGCTCCCCTATGATGGCTACAACCAACCTTTCTGCATGCTGTGTTACTAGGATCAAGAACTATTTGAAGCTGCTCCTGATCAAGGGACTATAAAACCGGTCAGGCCACCTTTGATTCCATCCGGAGATGAGGAAGAAAACCAAGAAGAAAGCTTCATTGGAACATTGCGGATATTCATTTTGAATGCTTGGGTGTTTACTGCGGAGCTGTTCACTGGAATGTTTCCTAGTCTCAGAAAGAAGCAGACAGTCACCTTTAACTTCAACCATCAAGAAACAAAGAATTCTGCTTTTAGCACAACTTCATGGCCAGTTCAAGAGAGCTTTGTTATACAAAACAAAGATGAACCACCTCCAATCGAGTCCAGGAACCCCACTCCCAGAAAAATTTATCCTTTCATGTCCAAAGATGCAACAGAGAAAATGCAACAGCTGCGCCAAAGCCGTGCCTTGTACAGAAGCTTGGATGCCGAATTCCTTCAGGAGCAGCAGCAACAGAAACATCGGCAGCATCATCACAGGCATCACTCAACGATCCCACACACTCTTTATGAGCGCAGCAACGAGAAGACTAATGAGATCGTGTTTGGGCCAGGCCAGGAGCAAGACCACAGGCGTGTGGCAGCAGCAGCTACTGCTAAGTCGACAGAGTCTGGAGAACAGATGAATACTCATCAGAATATTCACTACAGAGCTCACCAATTTGTGAGTTACCCATATGGATACTATTCATAGACATGAGAAGTTACTTAATATGATAGTAGTAGCAATTGGGAATCAGGTATAGCTATTTTGATATTTGTTGAGAAGGCACATAAAGGGATTTGGGTATTTAGATCTCTCTTCTTGTAAGAAAAACACAAAAGTTTATAATCCTTCTTCGGTGGTGTAAAGAAAAAAAGATGAGCACTTCAATAAGAAATTTTTTTTTTGCAACTCCACCAAACTTTGAATGTCAAATATTACATTTACAAAAGATATATATTACATACTTTCTCTGCCATGTGCTTTGAACTGGAAGCTACTCAGCAGATGAAGAACCACGAGCTGCAGCATTCTTTGAAAATCCTTCAACCTGAACCTTTATAATGTCATCTATAGTTCCACGAGGAAGAGACAAACTAGTGTCTGTCTCTTCAGTGTTGGTTTCTTGTTCATCATCAAAGCTTATTAGGTCCTTAAGATCATCAGACGGTTTCAATGAAAGCGGCGGCTTTGGGTCGCTGCAACCTGGACTATCGGGATCAGACACAGAGCTTGAGTTGTCTAAAATAGCTACATTATTGGGTTGACACAAGAAGAAAAGGCTAGAAACCATCGAACTAACTAATCTACTTAGGGCAGAATACATGAGGGAAAGGTGAGATATGATCATCATAACTACTCTACTTAGTACTGAATAAACGGTGGATCCAGCAACTCGGTAACTAACGTAGGAGAAGAAGATCAGAACTTGTTCCCCCAATTTGGTTAGGAGAAGCTTCCATGTCATGATGAACGAGAGGTGGTTCCCTTCTTCCTGTCTATAAAGATTGGTTAAGAGATCTTATATGTTGATTATACACTAAATGTGACAATAGATATAAGAACTTACATGACGAATGATGTAAGGGCGAACAGCAAATCCAATGGCTACCCCGAGAAAGCATGAAAGGACGATCCCCATTGACCAAAGAGAGTATGTCCCTAAATCTGAAATAGAAAAAGAACAATAGTTGAAGTTTAAGCACAATGTATCAGGTGTTCAAAAAAAAGCACAATGTATCAAATATACAAAATGATTACTTATTAACAGACATACTAGAATGAGAGCTTTTGAGACAATCCTCCTCCTTTAGATTTATCTGGCGAACCATTTGGCTTCCATGGTCAGAAACAAGCAAACAACATCTTTGAGGAACAAAAGTTATCTCGAAATCTGGAGAGAAAGTTGCATTCTGTGCAGGTCCATCTCTGTGTCCAAATTCCTGTGAGATCCCTCCAGCAATGGTGGTTACATAACCTACAACGAGCATTAAAGCAAAGGGATAATCAAAACAACTAACTCAAGATTAGGCAGTAACAACATGCACTAGAGCAAAGGGATACAAGAAATGGATGAAAACAAACACCTGAAGAGCTGATCTTGCGTATAGCTTTATTGCTCCTATCAGCAACATACACATTGCCTTTCGCATCGATAGCAAAACCATGGGGTTTGTTGAACCGGCTGTTACCAGCTTTACCATCTAGATGGCCCGAAGTCCCATCGCCAGCAAACCGGTTTATCACACTATCTGCACACAGACACACACACATACTCCAAATGAGCTCAAACTTCAATTGAAAGAAAGGTAACAAAATAATTCGAAAAGTTTCACTTATAGATAGTAAAATTTAGAACTATCCTTTCATACACATACTAGTATTGCGTGGCTTTGGATTATAATTTGCAGACTAGGCAAGCAATCAAAAGTTATAAACCCGAAACATTTACTTATGCATCATCCATGATTTTATTACTCATATACAAAAGACAATGATAATGATCCGATCCATAGATTATACAAAAGAGTGAGTGTCTTTGTGTGTGTTTTATTACCGACGGACACAGGAAAGGAAGTAGTGTAGAAGGAACTGCCGGAAGAATCAAGGACGATCAGATTAGAAGATCCTGGTAAAGCATGAATCGTGTATGGATTCAGACCAGACTTGTGGCCGTCGACCACCGTCGTAACTTCGTACCCATCTTCTAAAACTTTCTTAGCACGCACTGTAACAAAAATAAAATAAAAAAATACAGGAAAATATAAAATCCGAACTTTGGGTTTGGAAATTCAACTGAATTAACAGATTTGAAAGGACATACCTAGATTGAAAACGACGAACAAGAAGAGAGACACGGACAAAAATCCCCAAGCCATGTCGGAATCGAGAAGTGGAAGCGAAAGCGACTGTGTTGTTGTTACTTAATTTTGCGGCATAGCATCTTTAAAGTTTTTAAAGAAGACTTGCCCAAGTACAATGGGATAGGGACAGAAAAATACGATGTCGTTTAGCATAAATGAAAGTCGTTAATTTTAAGTAGTTTCTTTGACCCAAAGGATTTATTAGCCCAAGCTCGGCCCAATAAATGTTTTAGTATTACTCACGAAAACGTCGCCGTTTTCTGGATGTAAATGGAAGTCATGTTATACAACGCATTTAATTTGGTAATTTTGGCTTACGAAGACTGAGAGAAGAAAAAAGAAAAAAAAAATAAGCATCGTCCATCGAGATCCAAATCCTCAGTTTCTTTTTCATCTCTCTTCGTATTCTTTGATCAGCTACTCCGAACTCCGGTAACGGATTTGTACAATCCCGGCGGCGAAATTATCCTGCCAGGCTAAGTTTTCATTTTCTTCAGATTCCTTGTAAAGTTTCCGGTGAGGACCAAAGGTCCAACTCTTTGAACATCCCAAATCATGAATCCCTTTTCTTCTGGTACTCGTCTAAGGTAAATTGGATTCTCTTCTTTTTACCTTTCTCGCTTCTGTTTTAGGTTTTTTAGTGTTTGATCAGCTCATAGATGAATTTTGATAGAACATGTATGAGTGAAAGAAGGATTGAGCTTCATTCATTTGATGATTAAATTCTGATTTAAGGTTTTTTTTTATTAGCCTGTGTCTCGAAAGGATTTTGGTTTTAGGTGTTTCTGATCCTCTAGCTTATTATGTTTCTATTGGGAATTTATAGTGGGAGTTCAATCAGTTTGAATTATTGTATATGATTCTGAAGTTATGGGGAACGTTTGAATGTGATTCAGGGACATGATCCGTGCCATAAGAGCATGCAAAACAGCTGCGGAGGAGCGAGCTGTTGTAAGAAAAGAGTGTGCTGATATCCGAGCATTAATTAATGAAGACGACCCGCACGATAGGCACAGGAACCTTGCGAAACTCATGTTCATACACATGCTGGGTTACCCGACTCACTTTGGGCAGATGGAGTGCTTGAAGCTAATTGCATCTCCTGGTTTTCCAGAGAAGAGGATTGGATATCTTGGCCTAATGTTGCTTCTTGATGAGAGACAAGAAGTGTTGATGCTTGTCACCAATTCGTTAAAACAGTATCCTTACTAGCTCTTAGTATTAATCTTATTACCTAGTCCTAAATTAAACAAATTGATTCTAGGTTGCATTGCTGTGATGGGAATTCAGGAGGGAAATGTTGTAATAGATTTGTGCCAGTTTAACCTTAAGTCACAAGCAGAGATCTTAATCACTCGAACCAGTACGTTGTAGGATTGGCTCTCTGTGCTTTAGGGAACATTTGTTCAGCGGAAATGGCTCGTGATCTTGCGCCAGAAGTTGAAAGATTAATCCAGTTTCGTGACCCTAATATTCGAAAGAAGGTGAAGTGTTTTCTAGTTCATCATCAGTGTCTGCTGGAGTTTAGTCGCTGTTTTTTTTTTGTTCCTTCATTACTTTAACCATTTATTGTTGTATTATATGCAGGCAGCACTTTGCTCTACTAGAATAGTAAGGAAAGTTCCAGATCTTGCTGAAAACTTTGTAAACGCTGCTGCTTCCTTGCTTAAAGAAAAGCATCATGGGGTTCTTATAACAGGAGTTCAACTTTGTTATGAATTATGCTTAATTAATGATGAAGCCTTAGAGTACTTCAGAAAGGTAGGCCAATAATATTATACAGACCACTCTACTTTGCATACAGGAGTGTCGGTGTAATCTAATTGGATATATTGAACATGCATACATGAGCCTGCTATATTACCTTACCTATATGATGTTTTTGTCTACTATATGTGCTAATATGTCTCCTGCAATAACGTCCAATTTCTGTTGTATTCACTTATTAATAGATCACTATGCTAAAATGAAGTTGACAGTCTTTTTGACGAACCCTTTTCTTTGTTTTGTCTCTACAGAAATGTACAGAGGGAGTGATAAAAACTTTGAGGGATATTACTAATAGCGCATATCAGCCTGAGTATGATGTTGCAGGGATCACAGACCCTTTTCTTCACATACGGTTACTCAGACTCCTGCGTGTTTTAGGCCAGGGTGACGCTGATGCTAGTGATTTGATGACTGATATACTTGCCCAGGTTAGTCATAGTTTAGCAAGTGATTGTGGATATGGTTGACCATCTTCATATTTGCTATGTAATTCCTTTTGTTACACATGAACTTTTTTTTTTTTTTTCTCAGTTGCCTACTTGCCTTACATCTTTTTCGGAAAAATGTTGCAGCAAAAAAAGAATGTTGTAATAAAACTATACTTATGTTCTGTGATTCTGTTAAATTATAGCAGAAGGGAGAAAAAAAATTGTTTAGTTGATAGGGATGATGGGCTATCATACTCTTTGGTAGATACAAGACTTCCGGGTAGAATTCTCCCTCTTTTGATGCCAGCTGTGGTTTTCATAGCGAGTTGTATGTGGCCATTTAAGTCTGTAGGTTGTGCCAATCCCTTATGTTACATGCGTTGCTGTGGAAATCTTTTGAGTTCAGAGTCAGGATCTACTGTATGTTACTTTGTTATGCTGAAAGATATCTTTATTCTAGTTGGTTTCATGCTATTGTAGGTGGCAACAAAAACGGAATCAAACAAAAACGCAGGGAATGCCGTACTCTATGAATGTGTTGAAACAATCATGGCCATTGAAGACACCAGTAGCTTGCGTGTGCTGGCTATCAATATCTTGGGAAGATTCTTATCCAACCGCGACAATAACATCAGGTTCAACCTCCTTCACCTCAATCATATCGTATTATATGCTTATAATAGATATATCTTGCTTGTGTTTTCTTCCGTCTGTCATCTTTCTTTGGATTTGCTTAACTCTATGAAGTACACTATGCTTTTGTTACCAGCCAGCGTTTCCTTTTCCAGTCTTAGTTTTGTTTTTCTTTAACATGCTGCATTCCCTTATGGCATTCATTCTTTCGTTTGTCTCAGATATGTTGCATTAAACATGCTGATGAAAGCAATTACCTTTGATGATCAAGCAGTGCAAAGGCACAGAGTTACAATTTTGGAATGTGTTAAGGTATTGTGTTTATTATTACTAGAAAAATATATTAAACAATGTTAACTGCTAAGTAATCGATGTCTTAGAGAAGTAAAAAAATTGCTCATTTGGTTTCTGTTTCCATCAACAATTTAGGACCCAGATGCTTCTATTCGGAAAAGAGCTCTTGAGCTTGTCACTCTTTTGGTGAATGAGAATAATGTCACACAACTGACAAAGGAGCTAATTGATTATTTGGAAATCAGTGACGAAGATTTTAAGGAAGATCTCAGTGCAAAAATTTGTTTTATCGTTGAAAAGTAAGTATTTGTATCTAAGAAAGTGAAGAACTGCTTACTCTGACTCATGTCATGTGGGATTTGGGGGTGAGGAGGAATGGAAGTTTATTGTGAATGTAATTTTTGTTGACTTGTTAACAATTATGATAATGTAGGTTTTCTCCAGAAAAACTATGGTACATTGATCAGATGCTCAAGGTTCTGTGTGAGGTACGAATTCAAATGCGAAACACTTTTTCCTCTGTTTTAACGCGTTACCAGTTTATGGCACTCTTGGAAATTGTTCTTTGAGTTTATATCTGTTAAGCCAATTTCAAAATTCAAAATGCATTTTTTGTATCTGTCGTAACCTAATGTCATCTATTCCATGTTAGTAGGCTGGAAAGTTTGTGAAAGATGATGTGTGGCATGCACTTATTGTTGTCATCAGCAATGCATCAGAGCTACATGGATATACAGTTAGGGCATTATACAAAGCAGTCTTGATATATTCGGAACAGGTAGCTACTTTGTAATGTTAGATTGTGTTTAGTCTTCAATCAGTTGTAACTCTTCCTAATATTGTCTCGTTGAGACTATAACCAGGAGACTCTTGTTCGAGTGGCGGTATGGTGCATTGGGGAATATGGTGATCTGTTGGTTAACAATGTGGGGATGCTTGGTATTGAAGATCCAATAACGGTGAGCATCACAGTGGCAGTCTTAATTCATTATTTTCTCCCTGATTAATATGCAGATGCTTTTGCTTTTGGGATTTTTGGTGGTTTAAAAAAGGGTGTAATGAGTATTTGTCTGCCTTGAACAGGTAACGGAATCTGATGCAGTGGACGTTATCGAGGATGCCATTACTCGCCATAACTCAGATTCGACTACAAAAGCGATGGCATTGGTTGCTCTACTGAAGCTGTCATCCCGCTTTCCTTCTATTTCAGAGTATGTTCAAGTTTGTTCAACTTCATTGTGCTAATCTGTTTTTATCTCAACTTGTTCATCTGATATCTGCACTTATCCGTTTTCAACTCTTTGCAAAATGCATATGCGCACTGAGTATATTAATAATGGATTTTTGGTTGTCTACCAGAACTGTAGCGCGTTACCTTCTGAAAAAGGATTACAAATTTATTATACCCTGTACATCCTGTCCTCAACTCTGATTTAGTAATTAAACATTTCTTTAATTTCAATGGCAGGAGAATTAAAGACATAATTGTGAAGCAGAAAGGAAGCATTCTCCTTGAAATGCAGCAGAGAGCAATTGAATACAATTCTATAGTTGACAGGCATAAAAATATCAGGTGGTTAATGAATTCCCTTGTTCCTCTCTTCCTCGTCTATTTTCTAGAGTAATTGTTCATGTTTGGTCTCCCTCAAGGCTCATGACCAAAGTATGTGTGCATATAGATCTTCTCTGGTTGAGAGAATGCCGGTACTGGATGAGGCTACTTTTAATGTGAGGAGGGCCGGCTCTTTTCCAGCATCAGCTTCAACAGGGGCCAAGCCTTCAGTTAGTCTTCCAAATGGTTTTGAGAAACCTGCTGTTGCTCCTCTTGTGGACTTGCTAGACCTGGATTCTGACGATATCCTGGCTGCACCTAGTTCATCTGGTGCAGATTTCCTTCAGGATCTTCTCGGTGTTGACTTAGGATCATCGTCATCACAATCTGGTTAGTTCTTTGACGTGTCTACAACTGTTGCTTTCTTTTTATGGCGCGCTCACTTTTTCTATGCAACTGTTCCTACTTCCTTACAAGACGATAACTCATATTTGGCCTTTCCTTTTTCTATGCAATGTTTTAGGTGCAACTCAGGGTCCAAAAGCCGGCACAGATCTGTTACTGGATATTCTATCAATTGGAACACCTTCTCCTGCACAAAACAGCGCATCATCTATTGATTTCTTATCAACAGCTGACATTAACAATAATACCTCAAATGCGTTAGACACACTTTCTTCACCAGTTCCACCTCAGATAGCAACGACTGCGTCCACCGGTATGTTTGATTTATTAGATGGTCTTTCTCCAAGCCCATCGAAGGAAGGTAAGGAAAAGTCTTGACCTTAAAAAACTATACAATCAATGAAACTCTTTTACAAAGATCAATAACAAGCTTTCCTCATTATCGCAGCAACCAATGGTCCAGCATATCCATCTATTGTTGCATACGAGAGCAGCTCCTTGAAGATTGAGTTTACTTTCTCAAAGCCACCAGAGAATCCGCAAACGACAAATGTACAGGCTACATTTATTAATTTATCTCCCAATACTTTCACAGATTTCATCTTCCAGGCTGCTGTTCCAAAGGTCATTTTATCTAACTTCTTTTTGCTTTTTTTTCTCCTTTTTTATTCCTCTTTCCCCTAATCAAAAATGGACTATCTGTCTTGACAACTGTCCAGTTTTCAAATTTTCCTTTAATATTCTCTTTCTTTTGGGTAACTTCCAGTTTCTCCAGCTGCACTTGGATCCAGCTAGCAGTAACACACTCCCGGCGAGCGGCAATGGTAACATCACCCAGAATCTAAAAGTCACTAACAGCCAGCATGGGAAGGTATGCACATTCTTTGTTCGCCTTCCTATCTTAATTTGTCTTCAATATTCCATGCTCTGCATTGCTGTATAGCACTTTCATGATCCACAACATAACTGTTCTCACATAAAGATAGGCTGAGCCTGTGGATTCAGAGACTTAGCAGTCAAAGGTTTTTGTTTATGGCAGAAATCCCTTGTGATGCGGATGAGGATTGGGTACAAACTGGATGGAAAAGATGTATTAGAGGAAGGACAAGTCAGCAACTTCCCTCGCGGGTTGTGAACCAATGAATCAGCCATTGTATTTTTAGCATAAGGACTTGAGTGTTTATTTTCATCAACCCAACTGAAAAAGAAAGACAAGTCTTGCCCAAGCCGTTGATGCAGCAAAAGCAGCTTTCTCCTTCCAATTTTTTTCATCCGTTTCCTGAAACAAAATACTTTGGCCTTTGTTTGGGATTTGAGGTTCTTGGGGTTTCGTTTTTGTACAAAAGGTTTCGATGTCTAGAGTCGGAAAGTGATCAAGGAAGCTAAGTTTGACTCTTTTGTGTCTGAGAAATGTGATTCATACCCCATGACGTATCTCAACTACAGTTACAAGCTTGGTCTTGCAAAGGAAGAAAAAGTTTTGGATTTTGGATATTGATAGTTCGCATTTGTTACAAGTCTTGCTTGATAACAACATTTCTCTTGTTTGAAACTAATTCTATTTCTATTTTTCTGGTAGAAACGCCTTGGTACTGACATAAAGACAGACATTCGAACATGTGCTGTATACGGTTTTACCAAATAAATTAATAGATAGATGTTGATTTTGATTTGGTTGGATATGATTTTGACGACAACCTGTGACTAGAGAGATCATCGTGACGTAATTATTTCGAAGACAACTATAGGGATGAGGCATTGTGTGAGATTTCTTCACCTAAACTCACCCCTAAATTACAACTTATGATGGGTCAAATCGTTATTTTTGCGTACAAATAATAATTTCATCCCATTTTTGTACACTCTTCTAAAACATCCCATATAATACAACAATATCACTCTAACATATAGCAATATCACTGATTAGAGGGTTGTAGAACAAATTTTGATTAAACATCCCACCATATCACTCTAACATCATCAAAGAACAAAGTTTATTACCCTCAACACACAAAGAGAGAGGAAGAGAGATTCAGCCACAATTTATACTAGTACTTTAATTAAAATGATATTTTTGTAAAAATCTGAACTAAATATCTACTGATATTCCATATTTTGTTTTTAACATATACCTGAAATTTTAATAGTTGGAAGATATATCCAGGACTTGATAGTTGTTATACATACAATTTTGAAATAAAATATAGAGATAAATGTGAAAGGAATATATATATTATTTCTTTGTCGGTAAAAACTATTTTGAAAATCTGGTTTGTTGAATTAACATATTTGAAAGCATCGTTAAGCCTTAAACAAGTTCAAATCAACATTTTCTCAGTCATATCAAAACTTGACGAAGTAAAACAATTAATCATGGATCTCAAGCTAGAGAAACTCTTGAACGATTCAAAAGAGGGTCATTCTCAGGTTCGCCTCTAGTTAGCTTGGGTTTTAAAATCGTCATCGCTAATTTCTAATATCTTTGAACATATTGTATTTTACCGTTGAAATAATAAACAAGTTCCAACTCATGAAAGAACATAGAGGAAATAGCCATCATACAACATATTTTTCAAAATATAGTTTACTGCAATTGAAAGAGAATTCTACTTGGTGCACAATTGATATATTGAATAAGTGCAAAGGGAGAACGACATTCTTTTTTCTTTTGGTTAGGAGTTAATTTTTATCTCTTATGGTTTATATTCCAATTTTCATCATTTTGCGCATCTATTTTATTTTCATTTACATCTATCTATATGATAATATTAATTTGTAAGAAAATATATCGACTCTTTTTGAATCTGGAGAACATAATTTTTTGGATAATACATACACCAATATACATATATTGTGTTGCTAAGTCACATTTTCCCCATTACTTATCCTGCATATTGCTACGTAATTCTCCATTAATTTCCTTAACATTTTATACTACCACAAAATAGTATCTAGTAATAATAGCGGTTGGTGACATAAGACATTTATAAATATATTTGGCTTTTGTTTGGGATTTGAGTTTTTGTGATTTTTTGTACAAAAAGTCCCATATTTGGCGTCGGAAAGTGATCAGAAAAATGAGTTTGTCTATCTCGTGTCTAAAACTTTGAAAGATATGCGATTCATAGCCATAATATATCTACTGCATCATGTGATTAATAACCATGTTGTATCATATTTATTATCTACTACAGTTGCAACTTCGCCTTGCAAAAAAAGAAAAGTTTTGTGAAATCTAAATATTGGATATACATTATTTTAAAGTTTAGTTTGATCAATACATATCATTTTATTTGAAGCCCAATTCTAATTCTGGTGATAGAAACTGCCTAGTACCGACATAGAAACAGTAGAACATGTGATTTATATGATTTTACCAAATAGTGGATAATCAATTGATTTGTTGGATATTAATTTGAAGACAACTTGTGACTTGAGAAATCATCGTTGACGTTAATTATTACAAAGACAACTATGGAGAAGCTCATCTTTGAGAGTTCCTCACCTAACTCACTCCAATGCTCTTTTTGGAGAATAATACAAAATTATGGGTCATCATTATTTTTTGCCTACCAATAATGATTCCATCCCATTTTTGGATACTCTTTTAAAACCCCACAAGAGAAAATCATATATTTGACTTCACTTTTTTAAATACTTGTCCCCTCACATAAAAATCGTTTTTTAAACGTTTTGAACAAATTTAATCTTTAAACTTATCAAAAGTTGTGAAAATCAGAGCTAACCATATCAGAATTTCTATCTACTTTCAAGTTCAAACTTACAAATCCAGATTAGGTTTCTCGCAATTAGTGACAGATTTATGAACATAGTGTGCTTTTAGAACTAGAAACATCTCATATAAGAGTACCACTATAACATGATCAAAGAACAAAAAGCTTATTCCCCTCAAACACACAAAAGAGAGAGAGAGATTCAGCAATAAAGACCACAAAAGAAAACACTACAGTATTCGTGTTAACCAAAATGAATTCAAAACTCAGAATCAATAATTCAATTAAATCAATGGCAGAAAAATTAGCTACCCTTTGATTCCTGTACCTAAAAACCCTTTCCTCATCATGGACCCTGAAATCTCCTTCCATTCAATGCTAATCCAGCAGGAACTGTACTACCAGACCCAGAGCAAGCATAAGTAGAAGATGAAGTACCCACAAGATTGGTTTCTGATGGATTTGCAAACTTTGATCTCTTATTAGACCATTGCCAAATCTTTGACACAGAGAAGCTCTCACCTTTACTTCTCATGTTAATCTTCTTCCCTTCCACATTACTGTTATTACTCTCTCCTTCTTTCACATTCTTCAAACCTTCATTATTAGGACACAGAGCCACAACAAGATCTGATTCAGCCACTATGTACTGATAAGACCCCATTGAGAAACATCTTCTGTTATCAAGATTACTGTTCACATTGCTACTAGTACTACTACTCACACACCCACCACTTGTCTCTCCTCCTCCTCCTCCTCCTCCTCCTCCTACTACTTCACCATTGCTAATGTTGCAGCTCCTAAACTTGCCAAGCCTCACTGAAAACACTCTCTTCCCAATCTCATTCTCAGCCGGCTTCTGCACCGGAGAAACCCTAGTACCTCCATCATCCCCGGCGAAAAATCCGAAATTGAAATCAGGGTATTCAAACTGATGACCTAAAGAGAAAAGGGTTCCTCTACAAAGTGGACAAGTCGAATTGGAGAGAAGCCAAGTATCGATACAATCGATGTGAAAGGCGTGGCTACAATTGGGAAGCAATCTAAGCTTATCATCTTCTGAGAATTCACAGAGACACACAGCACAATCGAATGGTTCTTTCGTACCTTTGATCTCCTTGTAAAGAAACACAGGAAGAGCATCGATTAAAGCTTGATCTAGACCTGAATCGTGGAGATGAAAGAGCTGTTGAAGCTGCCTTTGGTAAGTATCCGAGTCGGGAAATTCCGGGTTTCGATCAGATTCGTTCGGAGAAGACGAAAGGCTCGATCTTTTCTTCTTTAAGTAATACCTCACCACCAAATGTAGAACGCTACAGATGAAGAAGACGACGGATAAGAGAACGATGATGAACAAAAGGATGGGGCTTATTCGATTACCACCGGAAGAAGAAGAAGAAGAAGACAAATCGTTGGATTGGTTCAAAGTAATTGGAGAAGGAGCAGGTGACGAAGAAGAAGAAGGAGAAGGCGAGATTTGATTAAAATTCTCGTTTTTGAGCTGGAAACGATGAATCATCCTCTTCTCTGACATTTTTGTTTTTTTGAATGAAGAAGAACAGAGAGACACACCATTTAAGATTTTTTTAGCACACTCTTCTGATTTTTAATCATTAAGACATAAACCCTCAATTTATTTTTCTTACATCACAAAAAAATTTGCAAATCGATTTAGAGTGAAAATAAAAGTAGCAAGAATTTTTGGAATCTGAAAATGATTGCTATACAGATTTTGGCAAAACCAGAGTCACACAGAGATAGAGAGAGAAAGGAGCTATACCGTCATTAATATTAATTTTTTTTAATTATATGATTAGTCACCTAAATTAATTATGAAGTTATTATTAACATTTTTTTATATAAACAAAAAGAGAATTGAAATTTGTTTTGGGGTGTGGAACCCAGTGCTTGATTCAGGGATCTGGTGCCTAGTAGTTTCGAAAAATATGTATAGTTTTTTCCTTTTTTTATGAATTAATTATGTTATTGCTACCTTAATTTTTGTGTGTGATTATTTAGTAACTAATAAATGCTCAATACACCTTAATTTAATTAATCCAATGGTAAGGTTAGTCGTCACAACTCACAAGAGTCGTTAAGTAATAACGAAAGACGTGATCAAATCCATAATAATCGTTCATAATTAGTTGCCATTAATTTCTGAAAAATATAAAAGAATCACTCAAACTTAAGTCAGAGTTTTAATAGAGTACGACTAGTAGTGTCAGTTCAATAGTAGATAGAGTATCTAGGGACTCTTTGTGAACAAACAGAAGCAACAAAAAAAATAAGATTTTTTTTTGAATTTAGAGGTAAACCATTATTAGTCACATGGTAATGTCAACTTGTAATAGTCCCTTTTTGAAAAATATTAACATCGGAATTTGGAATCGGTGAAATAAAGAAAAAAGCCTGCCATAATCACCGCTTTTGAGAGGAATCTACGTGATAATTCATGGGCTGTAAGAGTCCAACTATGATTATAATATTTTGCTTAATGGAGGCCCAACTTATATTTTATAGTTCTAACTAAATTGGAAACTATAAATTATAATATTAATACACGTACTCTTGTCCTTTACGCAAAAAAAAAAAAAAAAGAGGCGCATTCACCGCGACGATGGAGGAAGAGAAGAATCTGACGACGGAAGACTTTTACACTGTGCAAAACGAATATTGGCGTCAAGCGAACGAATCCGAAGTATATTCTTTCATCTTCTCAATTTAATCTCTTGTTTAGAGAGATAATATATGGTTTAATTGTGAATTGTTCCTTTGTTTTACAAAATTAAACAGTGTCTAGGGTTGTTTATTTATGGACTGATGATAGATTTGTGATGCTGATGATGGGTCTTCTCATATATAGGGATTCGATTTAGAGAACATTTCACTACCATCATCTGGATTTGTGATCACCGGACTGCTCCCTATCGACTGCCAAAAATATTATTATCCTTGTCGTATCTTGATGGAGCTTTATGCTAAGGTGGGGCTTTATCGTTACAACATGTTGGAGGTAATATATATATTTAAACTCCTCTGGTTGTTACGTATATATTGCATGTTCTGTTATATATATACACCAAACTACTCATTGATTCTATTCTCTTTGTTGTCAGGGAACTAACTTCCAGTTCGATTCCCTAATAAAATTCAACATCTCACAGACCTGTTTCCCATCTTACTACATGACTCTTTTTGCACAAGATCCAGTTGCTTGCCCGTCGGGTAAAACCTTTCAAGTTCGAGTTGGTGACCAACATTTTCGCACTTTGGCCCTAGTGTGCTCCGTTGCTAGACCTAAAGGCGAAGGTGACTTGTGGTGCATTTATATATATATATATATATATATATTTTTACAAAATTTGTCACTTAGCTTGCTGATTTATAATCATTTTGTACAGTGACCACTGAGACCCCCTTCATACCTCACTTTGATGGTGGTGCAGCCGCGGATGGTATCTTCAAAGGTGAATTGCCTGATTGGCCCTCAGATGATGCTTTGAAAGACGAAAAACGATTTTACTTGGTAAGATCCTATATTAAGACGACAGACACATATATCATTAATTGAGTTTTGTTTTGCTAATGATCAATTAAGCTAGCAGCATATTATTGTTGTCTTTGCAGGTGAAGAAGTCAGAGTGGCAAGCCACTGATTGGATTTCAATGTTTCTGGAACTTGTAGTTTGTGAAAATGATACATCCATCGCTGAGGTAAGTTTTACATATCAACTTATGACATTATACCACCATGAAATTAGTAATTTCACTCCAAATTTAATTGTTGGTGCTTCAGGATCGCAAAGTTGTGTCCAAGTTGGAGATTGTGAAAGTCGTGGTAGAAACTGCTACTGAAGATGTGGAGCTGCCGATCGAGAGACTCAAGACCAAAAATGCAAATGTCTACATAATGTTTAAAGGCATGGCAGAGCTTCAAGCCCATAGGCGGGTTTTTGAGATTGGTGTGGATGTTGAACGCAAAGCTATAGTTAGAAGGGTCATGGATAATTCAGGAGACTTATTTCTCACTGGTAAGCTTTGTGGTGGTCAACCTATCAAAAAGCGGAGAAGACACCCTTGGTTGTGAAGCGAGCTTAGGCTATGTGTGGTGGCGTTTAGCTTGTTTTTACAAGTGTGGCTACAGTGTAAAGCATCGACGTTTTCCATGCACCTTTTCGATGGAATTGGATAATATTCTAGCTTTCTAACATGGGTTATTTATTAGGAGGATCTCTCCCTTTCGATTAAAAATATTGGTGAAAGAAGATTTACATTACAAAATAAATAACAATGTCCCTAGCTCGATCGGACAGAACTTAAATTTGTTTGGCAAATCATTATATTAGGCCAAACCTGTGGTAATGATAGTTGAACGAAACTAGTATGTCGTGAATGTTAATTTAATTATCACGACTTTATAAGGTTTCATTCTACCTCAAGGGATTTAAATTATTAGTAAAATCCGCATATATTCTAGAAAGAAATAAATGAAACGATCCTATTATTATTATACGAAACATATTATGGCTTACATGAGAGAGAGACTACTGATAAATTGAAGAAAAATAGTGCTTAACTGCGAACAATTAACAATATATCAAAACAAAAGAGAGAATGAAAAGGTTTTTAAAAAGTTCAATTTACGTAAGCCCTTGGCGCGGCTGCTTGCTTTCTCATGCATTATGGTTGTCAGAGGTAGCCTCCATATATGCCATGAGCTTTAGTGCGTCGTCCACACATTTCTTGAAGCACTCTCTCTCGGTCCTCTCGGTCCTCTCGCCTTTTTCCAACTGTATGTATCCATCGAAGGACATCTTAGTGGAATTTTCTTTGGTCTCCTCCTCTATAAACCCATCAATACTAATCCGACCCTCAAGTCCCTTGAAAAGGTTCTTGTTACCCAAGCTTCCTTCAAAACAACACTTGTTAATGGAATCTTTCAGGTTCTTCAGGGCTTCCTTCACATTTATGGGATCCATAGGGGACGATACCTTAAACAAATGAGTTAGATTTGCGAGTCAATTTTTCAGGAAAACACAGCTCACAATACGACACGTTAGGGCACAGAGCCTAATGAGCAAATCGAACATATACATCTAAGCAAAAAAAAAAAAGAAAAGGAGAGTGTCTCACGGATTCGCTGTTGAAGTAAGATATGGATGGATTCGTAAGTCGTATTAGTTAGATCTGAGAATTGTGATTTTCTTTGATTCCCTTTGATTTAAGCTTATATATATATGTAATATGTGTGTGTGTCTTTGAATGGATGGTCACCATTATTGGCAATCTCTTTATAGATATCTTAAAAATAAATTAACAATAAATCTAAAGACATTTCTAAAGTCTCTGTATAGACATAAATCTCTGTGGGATATATATCAAAAATAACTTTTATTATTTCTATATATTTAAAAATACTTCTCCATATATGTATGAGCAATGAAGAATGGTCTTCTCTTGCCCTCTTCCTCAAGACTACCGTTTCTAGCCGTTGGATTTTCATATGGGTTTTTAACCAAACACACGCACGCACTACTTGGTAATGGTATTAAAAAGTTTTTTTTACCGACTTCTAAATTTTTTACTTTCCAGTTTTGTGGTTAAATTTCTTGCCCACTTCCCCAAGATTACTGTTTCTAGGCATTGAAAACTGTAATAATTAGGACCATGGTATAAGGTTTAACTTAATTTGAAAGTATAAATGAGAATATTAGTTCACTATTCTTGTGCTCTTTACTCACATTATAAAAAAAAGTTAAAAACAAAGCATTCAGTATTCTTGTGTTTTACCCACATAATATTACTTTTTTTTTAGAGTCTTAAAATAGCTGCACAAGGAAGAGATAATGACAAAGTGAAAACCCAAAGAGACCACATCGAGATTAATTTGTTTGTCATCATGCAAAAGCTTGTACGGGCAGAAAGCACTAATCAAATGTATTTATTCTATTTCAATATTAAAACTTTGGTTACAATAAGTTGACAAATGTAAACTATGCATGAGTTATTTGATTTGACAAATGAATATTATTATAAAATAAATATCAATAGTCACTCAAATTACACAAATTTATCAACATATAATCCAGCAGAACTGTTCCATGTTTAAGCGGCTAACTCGTAAAAGAATAAATAAACTTAAAAACCTTAGTTACGTTGTATGGAGAAAACGTTTAACTCGAACTAGTTAAAGTATGTTACGTAATTGATAGTAACATAAATAAACTAAAAAACCTTAGTTGTATAGACGCATTAAGTCTTAATCCTTGCATTACCTTTTACTTTTGAAAATCTAATTTTTACGCCGGCTATTGAATTACGTAAAAGAAATATTACCTATTTTTATTATATAGGTCTAAAAGAAATATTACCTATTTTTATTTGTTATTGAATTTTCACTAACACTACTAAAATTTAAATTTATAACTTAAGACAAAGATATTTGACAGGTCAAACTTTCTCATGAAAAGTTTTAAAATTTTTGAAGTTGATAATTTTAGTCAATCTATCTATATTTTTTATATTAATACTTACAAATAAGAAAAGAGAAGGGAAAGAAAAAAAAAAGGGTAAAAGATGACTAAACGTAAAAGAAAAGTAGTATACAACTGAAAGAAAAAGAAATGACAATAATCATGTTTTTCCAATTATTTTTTATTTCTCGTTGTATTCTTATTTTTTCCTTCTTTTTTTTTTTTTGGACAACAACATATTTTTTCCTTTTATTTTGCTTATGTATCGCTTATCTTTCTTGTATTGTTTATTCTTTTTTCAAAAAATAATAATAAAAATTTCTCATTATATACACTATTTTCCCTTCACATTTTATCTTGTAAAATTAAATTAAAAAATATTGAAAATTTAACAACTACCTGGGATAAATTATAAATTTGAGCATATAATTTGAACATATAGTTTGTTTTAATAATAAGCAGCAACCTCTCTTATATTGATCGATGTAAGTCCATGGACACATATATATTATTGTGTATCTTGAAAGACATATATAATAATCTTCTCATTGAAAGGGTGTTTTTATAATGAAGGATTGCTGGAAATTTTACATAAATTGGATCACTTTTTACGGTTTTACCTAACGCCACCATTAAGAGACCATACTTCCTATATTTGCGCAATTTGATCTAACACACTTCCATGTAAACTTTTAGCAAACTTAAAAAGGAGTTTTTTTTCCTTTTGTTTATGAAGTTCCCAATTAAAAGTTTAGTTTACATTGTAAAACTTTCAGCAAACTTCCTATATAACAACAAAAGAATTTTATAAGACTAATCGACAACTAAAACAAACTAAAGAATAAAATAAACAGTATAATTAAATTTAAAAGAAAATCATTTGTCTATATACCTATTGTTATAAATGTTACTACCATTAACAAATTAGCAAAGAAAATGAGTCAACAAGTACTCTTAACTCGAAATGACAATACGTTCATGAGGTGGTGTGACGATGATGACTCGTGTATGAAAACAACCAAAATAATTTTTAAATGATTTAGAAAATCCATACTCCATAGTGAATTGATACTGGATCCAAGTTTAAGTAGCAAATTAAGCATAAAAATAATGGCCTACTAGGTTGCAAATAATATATTGTTCTTCTCCTATATTTAGACTCAAACAAAAACTCTTTAACTTTAAGATACAATTTATTTTTATTTTTATTTTAAATCGATTTTTTTTCTTGGGGTCAAATTATTCTTTTAAAAATACGGTTTATTCATGAACCTCTCTTTATATTGTTCAAATACTATACGTACAGGACTACAGAGTACAGATATAATATTCATGAGCATATATTGTATCTTGAAAGACACGTCACGTGCCTATATATACTCCCAAAAAAAACAAATCATAAACGTGGACAATTCATAAAGAGGTTCCACTTTATTTAACTTCTTAATTTAGATAAACTCTTATAGAGAACCCTCTTAGATATTTTAAAGATTCTTAGTCTAATTAGGCGCCAGATTGCTTAAGGAGATACTCATCAATCTCTTTGAAGTTCTTGACAGCAAAGTCCTTGATGACGTGAGGGTCATCGATCTCATGGGCAGTCTTCTCAAACTCACCGGACCATTTCAGAAGGCTGCCTCCGTCCTTAGGAGTAACGGTGATGGTTCCTTTGAACGTTTTGTAGTACTCCAACATTTCTCCCCCGATGATGCTGTACGACATGCTTTTCTTCTCCAAATCCACCTCTTCGATCCTCTCAGCCGATACCTTCACCAGTGGAGATCCTATACATATATATGGTGAAACAATTAACATATTTTATGGTGAGAGAGTGCAGCATAGAGCATCTAGCTAGGGGTTTTAACTATGCTTAGCCCATTAAGAGACATGGATATGGTTCTTTTATTATAATCTTTAATACATACGTACATCTCTTCCGATCTAGCTAGGACTACAACTTCGTTTCTTGAAAAATAAATGTCTTCTTGAATGTAGTACTCAATCTTGGATTAGACAAGATTTATGGTACTCCAATCAATTTTGCTATTTAAGAGATTATTCGAAACATGAATTATGATATTATTAATGGTTACAATTAAAGATAGAATTGAGACAATATAATGTACCTTCTCCATAAATTATGAGGCGAATGGAGCCAGGAGCGTTGCCATCGCCAGCAAGAACTTGAATGGTTTTGTAGTCATGAGGGAAAGCTTTGGGAAAGAGATTGATACAGTCGCCGAGGGCTATCCAGAACTTTTCAGCCGGAGACTTAACCTCAACTTCTACATGAAGAACACCACTCAATCCCATTTTTTCTAGTTGAAAATAAAACAAAACTCAAGTATTATTCGTATGTCTTTGAATGATTTGTTTATATTACTTTTCGTGTCTATATATAGAGAAGTTTTGAAGCCTTTGGTGATATAATGATAAATTGCATTTACTATGTGGAGCAACCCATACAACTAATTTTTCATCCTATCGGTCCTTGTAAATTAATTAACCCCAAAGCTTATGCATTTTCAACATTTGCCATTATTCATCTATATCTCAACCACTCAAAAAGAAGTGGGTGAATCAATAAGTTGGTGCATGATATAATTTTCAGTATATTAATTTGTTATCTCCGTTCATACAATATCTGACGGCAGATTCGACTATGTGAGGCAGATTCGACTTGCAAGATATTATTCAATGATCTCATGATTTTCACTTGATTGGATTGGTAGTGTGTATCATTGTATTGTATCATTGTATGTAATTACTATTGCCACCCAACTCTTTTTTTGGTGCCTTTCAACCAAAGAACCCTAGCTATCAACCAAGTAAGTGAAGTGTTACATATGTAATTAGTTCTCACAATATTTATAACCACTCATAATAACGGTGGACCAATGTGTAACCTGATGAGATATAATAATTGGTTTTCAATAATGTAGTACAGTAGTAGTATCAAATAAATCAGTAAATGCTCACGAGTAACACGGCACATAATTTTATATACAAACATATAACAAACTTGATTGCGAATTTCTTTTCATAAGAATACAAACTTTCTAATGATAAAGATATTTAATGTTTGCCATCAACTTTCTAAAACCATGTTCTTGGTTGGCATGTTAGGTACTTTTATTACTACCTTATCGTCTGAGAAAAACGGCATGTTGTTGTCTTCCACAGGTATGAAACGGCAATCACTCTGTAATCCTAAAATAGAACGACAAACAAGGTTCTAGAGATGGGTGAGTCTGAGTCATCATCTCTAATTGAAGCAAAAGTTTATCATCCAGACCCAAATTTTGAATAATATAATTAGATACGTTAAAGTTACAGTATCCTAGTATTTTTGACAAGCTTAAATTATAATAACACTAAGATTGCTTTTAACAAAGTTATGGTTTTCTCCCAAAATATATCAATCTCTCAACGGACGCATGAAAACAACATTATTATTAAAAAAAGTTATATGTAGTGGAAAAGGATAGAAACGAGAAAGGGAAGGAAACTCTCTGAAAGCAGCTTCCCATCTCTCTTCGCTGATCAAACGCAGAAACGTACGTACGCATGTTCTGATCGATTCAGACAAGACAAAGAGAACCGAACCGAGAGTTTAAAAAGAAGAGAAACATATCAAAGTCTTTCTCAAGATGTTGTCATTTTCTTTTGCTTCACGTACATGTAATCTACGTATTCTTCAGCTCTACCGTCTCTTTCCCTCTCTCTCTTTGAACTTCGGTAGTTGAAATACTGCTGTTGAGTATTTCAGAAATCTAACCCTCAAAAATCAATTAAACTTCATACACTCCGATCTATATCTATCATCTTCAACCACAATAATCTTTTCTGTTTTCTTTGGAAGCAACTAACTTACAAAGGATTCACACCACTACAAAACAACATACCAGAAGCTTTCTTCTCTTGGTTTGATATGGTCTCTAACATCTACGAAGTATAGGAAAAGCCAAACCCAAGCTAAAAGCTATGCATTTTTCACTTGTTTCCGCTTGGAACAAGAGAAGGAGAAGCAAATCTTATGATACGGATCCATGTACGTTCCTTTTCTCCATCATCTTCGCCAGATGGCATAAAAGTATGTTACCTTTTTTGTTCTTCGACATTGCTATCACTGAATAAAAGGGGAGGTGAAACTGAATCATCTGTGTGAAACTAACCTTCTTCTCAGGGGTCTACAGAACAGCAGAGTGCTGGCAGATCGAAGATCAGGCGTCTCAGCCAAGGAAACGAAGATACGGGTCATCAGTTTATACCCTCAAAGAAATGGAGGAGGCCACAAGTTCCTTCAGTGATGAGAATCTCCTCGGTAAAGGAGGCTTTGGTCGAGTTTACAAAGGCACTTTAAAAACAGGAGAGGTAGGAACTATATAGCTTCATTTATGTGATTTACAGGCTTTGAAATGTTAGAAAACAGTTTTTTACAAGTAAATTTCGAGAAAGATGAGCTTTAAGAAAAGCATACATAATATCTTGACCCCTCGCTTACTGAAGGTAGTTGCAATCAAGAAGATGGATTTACCTCCTTTTAAAAAGGCCGACGGAGAAAGAGAATTTCGTGTCGAGGTGGATATCTTGAGCAGACTTGACCATCCAAATCTGGTCTCTTTGATCGGCTATTGTGCAGATGGAAAAAACCGGTTCCTAGTATATGAATATATGCAAAATGGAAACCTGCAAGATCATTTGAATGGTTAGTCAATGAAAGAAAATTCCCATCCACCAAAAGCAATTGGCCACTTTTTTTTGGCCACCAAAAGCAATTGGCCACTAAACCGTGTATTTATCACAGGAATAAGAGAAGCCAAAATAAGCTGGCCTATAAGGCTCAGGATTGCCCTTGGCGCAGCAAAAGGACTCGCGTATCTCCATTCAAGTTCTTCTGTTGGGATTCCAATTGTGCACAGAGATTTCAAATCCACCAACGTGCTACTAGACTCCAATTATAATGCAAAGGTGCTTATAAAGTTAAAAATGGGTGCTCTATGCGCATCATTAATATCAAGCATACACTAAAGCTAAGACGTGCGTATAATCCTTGCAGATATCCGACTTTGGACTAGCAAAGTTGATGCCAGAAGGGAAGGATACTTGTGTGACAGCAAGAGTTCTAGGAACATTCGGATATTTCGACCCAGAATATACATCGGTAAAGATTCTTACTTATATCTTTACATGATTTTCATCCTGTAAATGAGACTGACATGGCAAAGGCTTCACTAGACATACTTACCAAAATTAAAAATCGCTAGTAATGACATGAAAGGCTAGGAAAAGGAACTAAATCTCACTCACATATCACAAGGAAAGACAGTTTTTAGCATAATTTTGTTCCAATTTTTCATGTGGCAGACAGGTAAACTTACTCTACAAAGCGACATTTATGCATTTGGGGTTGTGCTGCTGGAACTACTTACTGGACGCAGAGCAGTTGACTTAACTCAGGGCCCAAATGAACAGAACCTGGTGCTACAGGTAAAATGGACCTTCTAAGTTCTACGATTCACAGACACAAAAAAGTTTACTGATCAGAAAACTTAACAGAAAAGTAAACTGCTCAATTTTCTCTATGTTTCAGGTTAGAAATATATTGAATGATAAAAAGAAATTGCGAAAGGTTATAGATGCCGAGCTGCCTCGGAATTCATACAGCATGGAAGCTATAGCTATGTTTGCTGATCTGGCATCACGGTGCATCCGTATAGAGAGTAAAGAGCGACCTTCAGTGATGGATTGTGTTAAGGAACTGCAACTAATTATCTATACAAACTCGAAGGGTGGTTTGGGTGGGACGATTCCTACATTCAGAAGGCTCTAGACAGCGAATTCTTTGAAACCAGTAATATGTGTTACTATCATTTTTCCTAAAATGAGAGGCCACTGATGAAACTTGATAACATAAAAAAAAAAATCATAATTATATATATGGGAAAATTTGAATTCAACTTCCAGCTGCTAAACTTTGATCAATCGGCAATATTTGGATGTATATACTATAGAGTCACAAAGCATATTGGATCACACAATACATATATTCTGTATGGTATGCCGTCATTTATGTTTTAGTTGAAGATAAAGAATATATATTTTCAGGGTGTAGCCTTTTCTGTTTCCTTTTGCCTTATGCATAAAGATTTGACCATATATATATGCATGTATACTAAGAACATAATCACTGCCAATAATGGAAGCATGAACAGATAACAGGTAAATCTTGAAAAATATGTTCTATATATATAAATATATATAATAGCGTGTGTAGCGTACCTCAACTAAGATTTTATAAACAGCAAGTTGAAGCAAACAGGGTATGAACCCGAGTCCTTGGTCAAGTCACATTTACCTCCTACATGATGAATCACAACTAGGTCTCAGTTATTTGGTCTACACCCAATTTATGTTATATACAAACAAGGTAGACAAATACCAAACTAGTTGGTACATTGTTAGAAAAAACTGTACCCGACTTCACGCATTAGCAGATGAGCTCAGCTCATTATCAGACCTCATAATATCTACCGCATCTGAAAGACTGGTGCAAGGTGGAAGCTTTTTGCGCATCAAATGCTTACGCCGTTGTAACATCAAAAGAACCAAAACATTATCTGTCTTAACAACCTCATATCCTGCTTTCTTGTACATACTGAAAGGAGCCTCATCGACCATCCTACAATGCAAGTAGACATCCTTCGATGGACTAATCTGCGATATCAGTTCCTCACTCGCCTTCAACAAATGCCACCCAATTCCCCTCCTAACAAGTCATAACACAAACACAACATCAACTCTCTTATAAACGAAATCAACAAGAATAACTAACTACACAAAGCTTCTTGGAATCATATAAAGAGGATGTGCCAAATACCTTCTAAGATCCTCTTTCACAGTCATGTTGCAAATGTAAGGTGATTCCTTAGGAGGAGTAGGAGAAGGAGGTGAAGCATTAGCGCCCCGTTTATCCAAACACACCTCTACAGTTCCCGCCATCTCAGCCTCGTCTCCATCACTATACCCATCAGTTTTTTTCCTAAAGAACCCAACTAAAGTTACTGCGTGTGGCAACACTTCTCTCCTCTCAATCAGATACTGCTTCACCAAAAACCGTAACACAGACTGATAACCAGAAGGCAATAGCATCGATTCACCAAACGACTCAGCCAAGAGATGCACCGTCGAGTCCATCTCATCAGATCTCATAACCCGAACACACATCGACCCAGATTCAAGCTCCTGAAAATACGCAAATCCTTCAAGAGTTTTCAACTTCTCCAACTCCTCGTTACTCAAAAACCTCCCCGTACGAAACGATTCCTCTAGAAACGCGTAGCTCCCGGTCGATTTCGTAGCTTCACCTCCCGTCTCTGTAGCTGTCGAAACTGGAGAAGGCGAAGGAGGGAAAGCGAATCTGAGATTGGAGCGGTGAGATCTACACGAGTAGAGTAAAGGATATCTATGCGAAGAAGACGAGAAACCAAACTTCGTTGGTTGGCTTGGTTTGAGAGGATCAACAGCGAAAGCGAGTGAGATGCTTACGGCGGCCATTAACACACGGACACACACACGATTATCTCCGATTTGGTGGTGGTTCAGTATTCGCTAATCTGTTATAACGAAATTAAAATGGATAAAATAACATACGACATATTTTGTGATCTATATATACAGTACTAATTTCTCTAAACGCCGCGTTTTCTTTCATACTGGTCCTGTGGCCCATATTGTGCTCAAATCCAGATTTCGGTTTGATTTCGCTTCCGGTTCAATAGATCGGTTCATTCGGATTACCCGAAGTATTAATGTTAAAACGCAGCGTTTTAAGATTCACTATAAGCCCATTAATTATTTGGGCTTACGGCCTAGATTGTGATTATATATATATTTCAATTATTTCCGTACTTCGCCGATACAAAGCCGGAGGAGGAGAGATTCAGGCGGCCGCCATGGATCCAGCAGGAGCATCGGTGGCCAGCGATAACGGAGGAGAAGGAGAGAAGTTCGCGGTGGGGAATATTTATTCAGTCAAGGTGATCACCGGAGATGAGTTCCGAGGGATCGTCATGGCTTACGACCCTATTCCTAACTTCGTCTTTTTTGATATCCTTTGATGTGACCTCACCACTTTCTTAGTTTATTTCAATCCAAAATTTATGATTTTGTTTCGTATTAGAGATTGAGGTGTTAATGTTATTGATATCGTGAGCTGAATTTGCGGATTCCTTGACGAATCATTGGGTTATTACAAGAGGGATCGAAACCTAGACCGGGGCATATGAAGAACACACGGATGGTGAATGCGAGTTTTATTACAGGGCTTTCGTATTTAGGGAAAGCTGAAGATCCGCTTGATGCAGACAAGTGTTCTGTTGATCTTCATGGTCTCCGAGCTAAAGAGGCACTTGCTATAAGGTGAATTATTGTGTTTTTTGAATCCTTTCAAAATTCTATTTTTTTTAATCTGATTTGGTTATTAGCTTACTTGGGAAAACGTATTTGAGCACAGGCAAGCGGAAGCAGATGCTGAGAGGATGGGAGTTGGTGTTACCGCAGAGGCCCAGAGCATCTTCGACGCGTTGTCTAAGACGTAAGTATAAGCTAATTTAAGAAGGAAACATATAGCTTAGAGTGATCATGTTTGTATTTTGGCTGTAAACTGTTTATACAACTTTTTACCTCGTTTTAGCTAGGGTAGAGAGATGGGACGAGATCTTAATCAGATGGTTGTTTAGTTTTATTCTTTGTAAACAACTGCTTGATTTGGAGGAATTCACTTGAGCTTCTACTGTGTTATTGCCAAGATAAATTGTTAGATTTTGGACATGATTGAGTGTTGTATTGCTCTAGGTTTCTGGTGATGGTATCTTTCTTTTTGTTTTAGATTACATTTGTTGCGTGCTCTAGTGTCCAGTAGTTTTAGTCTTCTCTATGATACAATTAAGAAGCTGACTAGTTATATAGTTTTAGTCTACATAAATCCTTCCTAATATTAGCTGAGAGGAAACAGCAGAATTTGTTTTTTCTCTTTCAAATGAATCACATGTGAGTTATTTTCCTTTTAGGCTTCCTGTGCAATGGGAAAACACAGACATTCTGGTGATGAAAGAAGTACGCGTTCGTAGCCCGTATTATTCAGATTGTGTGTTTGGAGGAACTGATGCTGCCAACAACCGAGTCAAGAAAGTGGTAAGTATCACTTGCAGTTCATTGTATAATGTCAATGAAGCCTCGGGTGTTATAGTAGTCACTTGCATTCAATCGTGTAATGTTGATCAAGCCTTGGGTGTGATAATAATGCACTTTTTGCATTTATCGCAGCTTGATCTGGAGAGACGAAGGTTACAACTCGGCACATGAGGCCAGTAAAAGGTGTCGGTCAGTGAAATAGCCAAAAAGGGTTTGGTGCTACTAACCCGAAAAGCGTCTAGATCTGATCGACCAGCGAAAAAGTGGACAATGTTTGCTTTTCGCTTGTTGTTGTTTTACTTAGAACCTGCTTGTACTTATAAGCAGATTAGAGATTTCTTTATTGACAAGAACAGTGAGGTCTTGTCCACTTTTCACCAAGTCGTGGTTAATTTATCGCATGAACTGTAAACTATTTATAAAATATTGAACTCAGAATCAACTTTTTATCGATTTCTTCGATAGAATCTTCTTACACCTTACGTCCATTATAAGTTTATGACTTAGTTGAAAGAAGCATTTTTGTGTGACGGGAATTTATTGAAAATGAAATGAGTACGCATTCAACAATTACACAGTGGTGATGTATAAGTTACCACAGTCGATATATTATCTAACTAACTTGCACAATTTACTTAGATCGTGTAATCAAGCATTAACTAACTTATTATTAGAAACTCAAGTTCCTACGAAACCAACATTGCTACTTGATATGATTTGAATCAAGCTTCAAGAATGTTGTAACTGAATCCAAAAAAAAGAAAAATTTACACAAAAACCTTAACCCATCTTCAGTTGAAAAAACCGGTAAAATATTAGACTTGTTGAGTATTTCGCTGAGATTGAGATGATGTCATTTGTGATCCACTACTTCCACAAGCCTGAAACACAGGCTTTTAACAACAGAAGATACCATCACAACAACAATACAGCAATCTCACACATTTCACAAGTTTCCACACAAGACTGAACTCAAGATGAAAAGGGACTAACCTGAAGAGCTCTCTTATTACATGAACGAGAATTGTGCCCCGCTTGACCACATTTCTTACAATGTATTGTGCGCTTGCTAAGTTTCCCCTTTTTCTTAGGTAGAGACACATTCTTTCCTTTTATCTTTCGCTTCTTCTTCGATGGAGACTAACAACAAGATAGCAAAACAAGACTGATCAAAATGGTATTTTCTTTGTATTAGTTATAACTTGAGCATTCTATACCTTAAGCTTGTCTAAAACCGGATCATAATCTGGATCATCACTCCTAACACGCTTTCTTTTGTTATTATGGGATGCAATATGTTGCTTAGCCTCGGGAGGGATGGTCATCTTAGACCCAGTTAACGTAATATGTTGCTTAGCCTTGGGAATGGGAGGGATGGTCATCTTAGTCCCACCTGACGTAATATGTTGCTCAGCCTCAGGAGGGAGGGTTATCTTAGTCCCAGGTGAAAAGAAGACGCTGAGACCGAGAAGAAGCTTCCGGTGGGTTTTCATGAGTCGCTCCAACCTTGCAATGGCACCAGCTTTATCAACTCTACAAAGAGACAAATATCGTTAAAGTTAATTCACAACGTGGGTTTTGTTGTGTAGTAGAATAGGAGTTAAAAGTAAGAGCAAACCAAACCACTCATAACAGAAGAAATATTCTACCTGTGAGCTTGAAAATCTTCGAATATGTTGGTCCATTCTTTATATTTTACAGGTTCATTTTTAAATGCCTCTTTCACAGAAGCTTTGTAAGCAGGCATATGAAGCGTAATTAGCTCAGGCGATACCCTTATGCAGACTATGGTTTGAGATTGGCCTAACCCTTTGTTAGCCTTGGCAGGGATGGTTAGCTTAGCTTCGGGAAGGAAGACTCTGAGACCACGAAGCAGCTTTGGGTGCCTTTTGATGAGTTGAGTCATCTTTGCAATGCCACTCTCTTTATTGATTCTACAAAGAGACTTAGTAACAACATCAGGAATCAAACTATATAAGCACGTGTGGTTGTTGGGTAGATTAATTAGGACTTGGGAGTTGTTAATAATTCATACCGATAAGCTTTAATATCAACCAAGAGCTTGAGAAATTCTTTAAATTTTGCGGGCTCATCATGAAATGTTTCTTTCACAGAAGTGAGGTATAAAACCGAATCATCCATGGTCAGCTCCGGTGGTACTCTTCTTCGCGCCATAGTTTGATATTGTCCTAAACCCTTTAGCATCCAGCATCCAATATAAAGACAAATTTAGCTCATTAAAACCGATCAGGTCATCATTGAATGTCTCTAACCTAAAGTGCATAAGTACAAATCTCTTTCCTCAAGTTTTAAGTCTTTTATGGGTTTTAGAGAATAGCTTAACAATTCTATAGGGAACAAAACAAATCTCATTCCCAATAAGCCATAATAAAGCTAATCCTCAAGATGTCCGATTAAGATCATGCTAGTGATCAAGTATTTAATTATATAAGTCTGATGGGTTTTACATATAAGCTTAACACTTTATATATTGGCAAAAAAAAAAACAAAATTATCGGTTCGAATTGATCAAAACTACTTCATCACTCTGGTAATCTACTCAGGTAAAGTTTTTCATAGATACAGAAAATATATTCAAAGAACCCAAATTCAAAACTCGTTCCAGAAATTAAAATACGAAATTGTTACCGAATTTTGGAGGGAAAAAAAAGAAGGCTTAGAGAACAAGCTAATTCCCCCTTACACCAAACGATCAGAGATAAAAGAGAGACGAGTGTCTAGAAAAATAATCTCTCCAGTTTCGTGTTGCTTATTTTAAGGTTTCTGTCACAACTAGGGTTTTGTTTTCAATAATACATTTGTTTCTTAGTAGTAATAGATATTATATATATATATATTTTTTTTTTGCTAGCTATTTACTGTCTTATTTTTGAATTAGAGTATTTTAATATTTTATATGAGTTTTTGGCTTTTCTTATTCCGTGGGAGTTTTATATGAATTAGAATCGGATAAGAAGTGAATAGCATCCGTATTCACACGTTGTTGATACTTGATATATACTTTTTGCATTTTGGAATATATCATTTTCTGTATCAATATGTTGATTTATAGCATATGGAGGTTAAAGACTTGGTGGCTGTAAATGTAATTGCAGAACTCACAAAGAAGAGAATCATGATCACTAGGTGTTTTTTCTAATCACGTATGTGGTTCGTCAATGTAAACCTAATTACCAACAGATACTTTGAATCTAAACTGATTATGGTATTCAAAAACTGTATAACACCATCTTATTTAATGCGCAATTATATGTATAGAACTAATGATGTTAATGCAGCTACACAAAATATCTAAATATATATCAGACTAATTGGCCATATTAGTCTACATGATTCAGCACCTATAGATAACTGAAGGACATGCGAATTAACAACATGTTAGGAATCTTACATCTATTAATGTACAAATACAATGTAGTATATCAAAACATTGGTACATAACACCATCGAATTATCAAGCTAACTTCCACAACTACTTGAGATTGGGTAATCAATATTTGAGTAATATTAGTTAACTTATGATTAGAAACCAACATTGATGTTTGCTTTTGACGTACAAAACCAACTCCGGATACAAGAACAAAAAACCGCTTGCATGTCGAGATATAGAGATATAACAATGATCATTGAGGTTGCTACTTGATATCTTCAAGAATGTTGCAACTCAATCCAAAAAAAAGTACTTCACACAAAAGCCTTAACCCAAGTTCAGGCAAAAAAAAAAAAACGGGTAAAATATGAGCGACAAAACCTTTTATACAAGTAAAAAGGCAAAAAGAACCCTATTAAGAAAGCCTTTTAAACCAACCACACACTTGCTTCTAATCTTATACTTGTTGAGTATACCGCTGAGATTGAGATAGTTTCATTTGCGACCCACTACTTCAACAAGCCGCCTGAAACACAGCCATTTATGAAGATACAATCACAACAACATTATAACAATCTAGCTCTCACAATTTGCAGCAAATATCCTCACAAAAAATGAACTCAAGATGAAAAGGCACTAACCTGAAGGGCTCTCTTACCACATGAACGAGAATTGTGCCCTGCTTGACCACATTTCCTACAATGCGTTGTGCGTTTGCTAAGTTTCACCTTTTTCTTAGGCCGAGACACATTCTTTCCTTTTCTCTTACGCTTCTTCTTCAATGGAGACTCACAACAAGTTAGCAAAATAAGAATGATCCAAATGGTATTTTCTTTGTACTAGTTTATGACTTGATCATTCTTTACCTTAAGCTTGTTCACAAAGTCCGGATCATAGTCTGGATCATCACACTTAACACGCTTTCTTTTGTTATTATCGGATGCAATATGTTGCTTAGCTTCCGGAGGGATGGTCATCTTAGACTTAGCTGATGTAATATGTTGCTCAGCTTTGGGAGGGATGGTCATTTTAGCCCTAGCTGACGTAATATGTTGATCAGCCTCGGGAGGGATGGTTATCTTAGCCCCATCTGAAAGGAAGGTGCTGAAACCCAGAAGAAGCTTTCGGTGGTTTTTCATGAGTACCTCCACCCTTGCAATGACAGTAGCTTCATCAATTCTACAAAGACATTAGTAACGTCAGAGTTTATTGACAATGAGAGTTTTGTTGTGTAGTAGAATGGGAGTTAAAAACTAAAAGAAACAATTCCAAACCTGCGAGCTAAAAAATCTCTGAATGTATTGATCAATTCATTATATTTTGCATATTCATTATGAAATAATGCCTCTACCATAGAAGCCAGGTAAGCAAACGTATGACGTATAAATAGCCCTGGCAATACTCTTAACTTGCAGCAGACTATGGTTTGAGATTGGCCTAACCCTTTGTTAGCCTTTGCAGGGATGGTTAGCTTAGCCTTGGGAAGGAAGAATCTGAGACCACGAAGCAGCTTTGGGTGCCCTTTGATGAGGTGAGTCATCCTTGCAATGCCACTCTCTTTATTGATTCTACAAAGAGAGTACTTAGTAACAACATCAGGAATCAAACTATATAAGCACGTGTGGTTGTTTTGTAGATTCATTAGGACTTAGGAGTTGTGTAATTATTCATACCGATGAGCTTTAATATCAACCAAGAGCTTGAGAACTTCTTTAAATTTTGCGGGCTCATCATGAAATGTTTCTTTCACAGAAGTGAGGTATAAAACCGAATCAGCCATAGTCAGCTCCGGTCGTACTCTTCTTCGAGCCATAGTTTGATATTGTCCTAAACCCTTTAGCATCCAAAAGAAAGACAACTTTAGCTTATTAAAACAGATCAGATCATCATTGAATGTCTCTAACCTAAAGTGCATAAGTACAAATCTCTTTCCTCAAGTTTTAAGTCTTTTATGGGGTTTAAAGAATAGCTTAACAATTCTATCCGGAACAAAACAAAAATATCGATCGGTTCAAGTTGATCAAAACTTCATCACTCGTATGTAAACTACTCAGGTAAATTTTATCATAGATACAAATATATATTTATAGAACGCAAATTCAAATCATCCCATAAATTAAATACGAAACTGTTACCGAATTTTGGAGAAAAAAAAGGAAGAAGAAGGCTTGGAGAACAAGCTTCTCCCTTACACCAAACGATCACGCAGAGAGAAAGAGAGACGAGTGTCTTGAAATGTTTCGTTGTAGCTATTAGCTAGGGTTTTTTTTTCCAATAATACATTGTTTCTTAGTAGTAATTTAAAAAAAAAAAATATTATTTTTTAAAAATAGTTTTTAGGTTTTTCTTACTTGTGGTTATGGTATTTGATATTGAATATATAATATTCTCATGTGGGATTTATTTTTAAATTTAGAATTTTATCATATTTTTATATGAGTTTTTTACTTTTCTTATTGCGTGGGAGTTTTAAATAAATTAGAATAAGATTAGAATTGCCTTTACTCTTTAGCTTTCCATATGCACACGTTGTTGATACAGTACTTGATTATTTTAGGAACATTATTTGTTTTATATCAATATGTTGATATAATTACAGAACTCCCAAAGAATATAATTATGAACTCTAGGTGATTTGTCTAGTCACGTATGTCAGTATGTGGTTCTTCAATGTAAACTAATTACCACCAGATACTATTGAATCTAAAATGATCATTGTATTCAAAAACTGTATAACACCATTTAATTCATTACACAAGATATACAACTAATGTTAACGCAGCTAGACAAAAATATCTAGATATATATATATATCAGACTAATTAACACGATTAGTTTGAGAATGGGTAATAAATCATGTATTGAATAAATTGATTAGGAACAAACATTGATCTATAAATGTGATCCGAGTTTTTAAGTTCCGACAAAGCCAACTCCGGAAACGAGAAAAGCAACCGCTTGCATGAAAAGATAGAGATATAAGAATGTGTTCCCAAAGGCAAGTCCATAGCAAGCACAACACAATATGTATGTTCCCACCATTATCTCCTTGGTATTTACTCTGAATCCAAATTCTTGTATCAGTTCTATGTCTAGTTTGCTCATCATAATCATGTATACGTATGATTAGCGAAATAATTTAATTATCACCTTTCAAAAAACCCGTTACTAGGTTTACCAGTCCGAGGAAGTAGCTTAGTCTTAAGAGCATCTCCTAATTTCTCAGTTACAATCCATTCGTTCACTCTTCCTCTTTCGAGTATGCCAATGAAAGTTCCCTTTGTTCGGTGCATAGACATTACGTTTTCAAACAAGATCCAAAATATCACGAGGTAGAATGATCTACAAAACTCGACAATTTATACATAGTAAATGATATATACAATTAATTAGCTAGGTGATATATTTATGCATCGATAAATATGTATTAGGAAGTATAGTACCAACCTTGGTGTGGCAATGACGATGCAGAGAGTGATCATAGAGGGAATGTAGAAGGTTGACCAAGCTGGAATGTTGACTTCGGGGAAGAAGACACTTGTAGGAAGAATAACGCAGTAGAAGAAAAAAGTGAAGCAGTGGACTATGATCTTCCGTAAGAAAAAGAAGCTATACATCATATACAACTTCTTCCAAATCGTCACTCTCTGCTTAATATTAAAGTCACAAAGGAAATAATCAAATATTCGATAACACTTAGGTGTACCAAATAACACAAGATTGAACTAAAACGGTCTTCTAACACATCAGATTAGCAAATCAAGACATCAAGGGTGCAGCATCAATTTGTGTTCGTAAAGAACCGAACCAAAAAAGGTAATTTGGCGATTAGTTAAAACTTAAAAGAAAACAAATGAAGAACCAATCCCATCATCGATAAGTACTATAGTGACCAATCAAAACAAAAGAAAATGTACGTCAGCCTCACATCACATATTCACATGGCATGTTTGTCTCTAGTCCATACTATGGAGTCCATAGTGACACGATAGACAAAAACAAAAACACAAAGTTGCTGACACGTGAGGCAAAAAAAAAAAAAAAAAAAAGTAGGCTCATAATTTTGTGAAAATGAAAGAATATAAATTGAATAAAGGACCTTATTGCGAATAATCTCCATAATCATTTTCCTGAAGAGATTAGCTGGACCACAAGACCATCGATGTTGCTGGAATCTAAAGGCCTTAAATTTGCTTGGTAGCTCGCTTTTCACCTACAAAGTCAGTATTTATATACATAATGTAATGATTATAAGCTAATAACTTTGTTTTGATAGCAACACATGTGAATACATCACTACGAGTGTGTCACTGGTATGAACAATATCACAAACTAGGTCCATAACCAAATTAGATAAAATATGCCACAAAAACTTTAGCTTAAATAGGTGGGGGAGTGACTATGTAGCTTTACAAAGCACTACAAAATGTTGGATATCTAAACGATGTGGGGCATCTAACAAGATGCGATGAGTGTTTTAAGTTTATGCAGGGATAATTTCAATTAGTACCGTGAGGTCACTGAGGAAGACAAATTTCCAACCAAGAAGACCAGCACGAACGGCCAAGTCCATGTCCTCGACAGTGGTCCGGTCATGCCATCCTCCAGCTTCTTCCATGGCTGCCATTCTCCATACACCCGCAGTTCCTGAAAGAGATAAACCAATACCATATGTATGTAATAAAAGTACAGAATACACATATTTAAAACATGTGATGATAAGGAAATGCACCATTGAAGCTAAAGAAGGCATGTCTAGTGGATCCAGATTCTTGCTCTGCCATGAAGTGGTAGTTGAGGGACATCTCTTGTATCCTCGTCATCAAGCACTTGTTTGCGTTCACTGTGATGAACCCCACACACAATCACTCAACTTGAAATAGACTTCGTTAGGATTCTTAATTATACCGAAAAATGTAAAGGATTTAATAGGCTAATTGTGATGGAGTATTAGTTATCCCACTCTAAGAGATCAAAATTGGTGTAGTGATTTTCAATTGGTTTTGAGTTGAAAACGTAATTACATAAATTGATAGTCTTAAATAGTTACTAATAATTGTTAATATTTAGGTAATATCAAATTTTCTACCATAATCAACGTACTGAATCTCCATCGGGCTTGAACTAGAGCGACCTCGGGGTTGTGAACGAGAAAGGGGACAGAGCGTTGGAGGTAATCAGGCTCCGGTTGGAAGTCTGCGTCGAAGATAACAACATAGTTGCATAGCTTCACGTAGTTATGCTTCATGCCTTGTTTAAGAGCTCCGGCTTTGTAGCCATTTCTGTTGTCTCTCCTCTCACACTTTATATTAACGCCTCTGCTTTCCCATTTTGCACACTCTGTGTTCATCAGCTCCTGAAATTTAATTCTTCACATAATTTATCTTATAATACATATATATATATGTCCAATAAATCGACTAAACTTGGTTAGCAACAAGACCTTGATGGTTTGATCAGTGGAATCATCTAAAACTTGAATAATCAGGCGGTCCATCGGCCATATTAGTCTACATGCAGCACTTATAGATAATTGAAGGACCTGCGTGAGTTAACAACATGTTAGAAATCTTACTTCTATAAATATACAAATACACTAGATCAGAGTATGTAAAAACCTTGAGTCGTTATACTATTGTCAATTAGTTTTATGAAAAAACTTAATGTATCCATAATATAAAATATATGTAGATATACCTCTTTCTCATTGTACATTGGAATTTGGACAAGGACCATAGGGTAGGATTCATGTCCGAGCTCGATGTCCTCCGGCATGGGCTCCCATTTGTAGATTTTTTCGGGTTTTCGCTTAAACAACTTAACATAGAGTACTACAAGGTTCATGTAAACACCCTCAACAAAAACTAAGAGGGATATTATCAAACAAAGAGCCACCAAAGACTTGAATATGGGAACTAGGAGTAAACTCCGCAACTGACGTGTCCAGCTCGTACCGATGCTTATCCTCACATGGTTAATGGATGCTTCAAGCTTATCAGGAGCTGCATCTTCATAACTCTCACCATGGAACTTGTCGTCATGCATCTATAGATAGACAAGATAAGAAACTAAATCTGAGAGCAGAGAAACAGAGCGAGTGGTAGAGAAAGATGATGATGTCTAAATTAATTACCAGTAGGGAGAGGAAGTCTTGTAAGAAGATGAGAGGCTCCAGAAGAAACGTAGTCATTTTCTTTGAGAGATTCTGATTTAATGGTGCATCGATCGTTACATCTTTAAACACAAAGACCTTGTCCTTTGTGTTGTATTTTAGTTAAGACCTTGTATTTGGTTTTCTTTAGTTTGGTTGGTTCTCGAGTTGTCGTTAAAATAGTGTAGTGCACGTTGCTGATTGTTTGGAGAAGATACTGATTGACTCACGAGCAGTATAGCAACTTGAAACCACACAAAAGTAAAAAGAAAAAAGAAATAAAGTGTTTCTATTCTTGAATTTATTATCAAATAAGAACAAAATGGTTTTTTTTTTAACTCCTGTCACTATTGTTTTTGTTCTCTCTATTAAGCAAGTGACTTGTTCCAACTTCCAATCATAGTGTTTATCATCCAAAGAAAGAGATCAAAACACTGAATCCCTCCACTATCTCAAAGCTTTTGTATTGTAATTTTGGTAGCTTTCGAAAGAAACAGAACATAGTGCACACATTAATTAAGGTTTCCCCTCAACTCTGAATTAGAATTGCCATGATATCTTGACCACGGATAGCCAATACAAAAACAGGTGATCATAGGTGAATACTATGTAAATCCACGAATGCGCCTAGCCAGTTGAAGATCTTTGGGCATGATGGTGACTCTCTTGGCACACAAGTTGGGATCTTCAAAAAATCCAACTGGAAGGGTGCTTTGCGGATCCTCTTCTGATACTTGCGAACCTCACGTAGTGCAACGGTTCCTGGACGAAACCTGTGAGGTTTTCTTTCCTTGTTCTTCTTCGTCTGAATCTCAGCATACGCAATAGCACACTCATCCAACAGTCTTGCATAAGATCGAGACATACCGTTTCCATTCTCTCCTCTTGCCAACTATATCGATTCCCCCGGAAAGAAAGGAAAAAAGACTGGAGTTACAAACCCTATAAATCCGGAATCACAAAGAAAAAGAAGAAAGGTAGATAAAAATATACCATCGCCCAAGCCAGAGCCTGCTTATTAGGAGCGTTCCCGCCGGTGGATTTTCTAGCTTTTTGCTTCTTACGAGCCATAGTCGTCTCGTAGCAACAAGTCTCGGCTCCGACGACGACTGACGATCGGAAAGGTTTTCTATTTATATTCAATTTAGTTTTTGAGTCCAAAACAATTGAGAAATTAAGTTTAGTCCAAAACTATACTGAGAATTAATTTTAGTCCACACCAAATGAGAGAAATTAAATATCCGTCTAAGATCAAAAGAAAAAAAATTAATAAATTGATTGGCTTCGCCCGGGTTCGAACCGGAGACCTTCAGTGTGTTAGACTGACGTGATAACCAACTACACCACGAAACCTGTTTGAACTATTTAAGACTATCCAACTTATAAAGTGTATTGACATCGACAGTGCCTGAACTAAAAACTCCCATTGACCCTAGCTTTCATGATTTGAGAGCAAAACCCAGCTTAAACCCACCCAGTTCGTCTTCCTTCCTTCTTCACCGGAAAGAGCTAAGCCACAGTTTTGCATTATTAACTGATTACTTAGTCGAGAGACTCGAGTCTCTGTGCTTGGTAAGATGTTAATTTCACTCTACGAATCAGTTTGCTACTCAATACTGCTCCAGTTCATGCTTCCTCTATCTGATTTCGACGCATTCTATGAATTAGTGTGAATTAGTTTTCAACACTTCAATCTAGAACTCTCGTGTAGATATTTCGAGAAACCCAGATTAGGATTTCTCGAATTGTAGCTGGATTCACTTTTTTTTTTGTTTTGTTTTGGGTTGAAGCGTTATATCCAACTGAGGATTCCATATTCCATTGTGTACCTCTTCACTGAGAACTGTTGAATTTTTTTCAACATTGATTTTCTCGTTTTAACATTTTACATTTTGTTCTTATCTCTCTGAAGCTTATCTAAAATTGTGTGCTTTTTTTTTCTTTCTTTTTTTCATAAATCTCAGTGTGTGGTTTACTGGATTGTAATGAACTGTCTGTCTCATGCGCGTTCATACATTTCCTTGGGACTGCTAAAGAGATCCAGCTATGTCAGTTCTCAAATTCAATGGAACCAATGCTTCTATACGCCTTCAAAATCTTGTTTAAAGCCTGCAGGTGTGTGTGCGTTTGGACTTTCTAAGGTTCATTTCTATTCCTCGAGATCAAAGGCTGGTAAATCGAAGATGTCGTCGTCGACCGTTGTTTCTGTTGCGGATAAAGAAAAGGACGCGTTTTTCGTTGTTAGGAAGGGTGATGTTATTGGAATTTATAAGGATTTGAGTGATTGTCAGGCTCAAGTTGGATCTTCGGTGCGAATACATATCTTGCCTTACAGTCTCTTGTGTATATAAATGTAGTTTCTCTTGGATGGGATTATGATAGAAATGGTTGCTTTTTTAATGGCAGGTGTTTGATCCTCCAGTTAGTGTTTATAAGGGATACTCGTTACCTAAAGAAGCGGAGGAGTATCTTTCTTCTGTAGGACTGAAGAAACCACTCTACAGTATTAGAGCTTCAGACTTGAAAGATGATATGTTTGGTGCTCTCACCCCATGTCTTTTCCAGGTAAAAAATTAATACTGTGTGTTTTCACAGTATTTCGCTTTTTCTTTATTGTGTTTTCTATGTAGAATATCTCCAACTGTGGTGATACTTGGTGTGGGATTTTGAACTGAAAAGTTTTTACTGTCTCTCTTTGAACTTCTTTTCTAGGAGCCTAATGTCACAGTATCTGAAGAGAGGAATACCTTAGAGATGAAGTCGAAAGATAAAACTATAGACTACAAGATAGTAAGCTTTATGAACATGAGTTTTTGAATTCTTAGATTTTTTTTTGAAGAAATAGCTGAAGTTAAATGATTATGGCAAAGCGACTAAGCTCAATGTTAAGTATTCATTTTCCCAGGATCCACTTCCCTCCGCTTCTATGTCAGGTCCTTTGGAAATGATTGGTAATAATTCCCCAGAAGTGAGTTGTGATTATCTTTGTATTTATCATTATTCATAGTTTCAGTGAACTGGATGCATAGTTTTTTGCTCAAGTTGGTATGTTTCTCTTTTCCCTATTATGGTAGGAGACTTGCTTTATTGAGTTTGATGGTGCATCAAAGGGAAATCCCGGTCTCTCTGGTGCAGCAGCGGTATTGAAAAATGAGGACGGAAGCTTGGTATGTATCGTTTTGAATCACTGTTACTAATTGAAGCTTGCAGTTCTGTATCTAAATATCAAATTTTCTCTATAAACAGATTTGTAAACTGCGTCAAGGTTTGGGAATTGCTACAAACAATAAAGCAGAATACCACGCGTTAATCCTAGGGTTGAAGTATGCTGTTGAGAAAGGTTACAAGAAAATAAAAGTGAAAGGTGACTCCAAGCTGGTCTGTATGCAGGTTTGTCTATGAAATTTTGTATATTTTTGTGTGAGAAGGTAATTTGATGAATCATTTATGCTTCTCTCTTCTCATCTTCTCAATGCTTTCTGAGAACAACAGATCAAAGGTCAATGGAATGTTAATAATGAGGTACTCGCAAAGCTCCACAAGGAAGCAAAACAACTTTGCGACAAATGTGTTTCATTTGAGATCAGTCATGTACTAAGGGTATGTGTCTATGTGCCATCTCCCTCTTTCTGTGTCAATGAATGATATCTCTTATATTTCCCACCTAATGCTTGAGAGAAAAATTCCTAAATGCCCTTGTTCTCATTTGAGGGTCTGCCATTAATGCCACTTTTCTTTACAGAATTTAAATGCTGATGCGGATGAACAAGCAAACTTGGCTGTCCGCCTTCCCGGTTAGACAACATAGTCTTCCTTTTCTCTGATATTTGATCATTTCGGGTCATCATAATACAGAAAGTTAACTAAATCTTGTGCTTCACATAACATACAGAAGGAGAAGTTGAAGTGGCGTGAAGGGCTATATACTTGTTATCAGTGAACAAATATACACAGTTTTGGGTTTGTTGTTCCACACACCACACACAGATGAATAGAATTGTTCATTAGAAAACGACATCCGAGAAATAAAAATCTCAGTTTTCTTGCAGTTACACACGGCACTAGAAACTGGTGAAGAACCAAAATGAGCACAGAGAGAAAAGTCTCAGACAATGAATACAAACAGTGTCGGAGCACCCACAGAACAGCAGAAACTGACACATCCCATCATTTATAGACTCTTTTCTTCAGTTGATGATTTTTGCTTTGGCTTTGCATTCTCATTCTTTTAAAAATACGCATTAGCAGAGTTCATCTATTCAGATTCTTTTGTACCTTCTAGTAGGAGTTGAGATACACGCACTTGCTTCCTCGCGTCAAGTTTGATATCGGCAAAAGGCATGTTTCTTTTTAGTCAAGTGGGCTTAATTTCATCAACGAGGCCCATTATATGGACAAATATGAGCCCATTTAAAATTGCATTGAACCTTTCGCCGGACTTGGAGCTCAAGCAAAGCACAGTTCTTCGTTAGAGGACCTGTAACTCTATTTTTTTACCAAACGCAATTGATACTTATTTTTGAGCAAAATGCGAAGAAGATTTCTAGAATGTTGATGAAGGCGCTTCGGATTTTGAAACCCAGGTCTATTCTGGGAAGCTTTCTCAACCGTCGATCGGTTAGTTCATCGGTTTACTTCTCTACTCCGTCGCCGACTTTGTCTCCCGGAGCTATTTCGCGTACAAAGGCTGATGCAGCTGAGATTGACGCCGATGAAGCTATTGCGTACTCGGACCCAACTGAATCGCCGACTGCGATTCCGGTGATTATGCCTGGTAACCTTCAGCCACGTGTCGTTGTGTACGACGGAGTCTGTCACCTTTGCCATGGAGGTACGATTCTCTCTGTTTCTTTCTTTTAGCGTAGAACCAACCCGTTTCCTCAAGGATCGTTTTTAGAGGTTTATTGATTGATTCAGTCTATTGATCTGGTCTTGGTTTTGGTCTAGCTTTGATTTTTAGTCCTTGAACTGCGAAATGGGAAAAGCAGATTTGGGGTTTTGGGTTCTTTGACCTGGATTGGTGCGATTGTAATGCTGCTTTTGTAATATTGATTTGACTTCAACCAGAGGTATTGTGGTAGGAAATTTGAAACATCTCTTGAAGAGGAAATGTGGGAATTGATTGTTGTAATTAACAATGGTTGGTGTACTAAGGATTTTAGTACTCTAAGAAGGATTGTGTTCTAGATTGAATTGTTTATTTAGTATCTGGGTAATTTTGGCCAATGTAGGTGTGAAGTGGATAATCAAAGCTGATAAGTACAGGAAGATAAAGTTCTGTTGCCTTCAGTCTAAAGCAGCTGAGCCATATCTAGAAGTGAGTGGTGTCACTAGAGAAGATGTGCAGAAACGATTTCTCTTCATTGAAGGTCTTGGGTATTACCATCAGGCATCAACCGGTATGTAAATCTTCTTTTAACACAAATGCTCTTTAAGTTTCACAGCTAATAGTTTGGTAAGATTCAGTTGAAAACATCTGCACTGAGAAGTGGTCGTTTGAGTTACTGAGAGATGAACTCCACCTAATTTGAGTATTCCCGACTGATGAGTTATGGTAGATGGGTTCCATATGAAATCAGTTTTGAGCTATTGGATGTGTATACTCATTACTAAAAGGATTGAACAATATGCTTTTGGATGTATACTCATTGTTATAATTCATAGCTCAGTAATAAATCATGGATTTGACCGATATGATTTTGCATCTATTGACTATGCAGCTGCGCTCCGTGTGGTATCATACTTACCTCTGCCTTATTCCGCATTGAACGTTTTCTCCATAATTCCCACTCCTCTGAGAGACCCAGTATATGACTACGTGGCAAAGCGTCGGTATGACTGGTTTGGAAAAGCTGAGGATTGCTTGGTTCTGAAAGACCAAGAGCTGTTGGAGCGGTTTATAGACCGGGATGAACTCATTGATCGAAGCTAACGATGATGCTTTTGAGCGGAAGCTAATGATGACCCTTTAAATGATTTGAGTTTGAATATAGATTAGATTTAATGTAAGGGAATGTAACTAGAGGTAATTGTTCAATAATCAAAAGCTTATTAGGTCTGTGTTAGATTTCTGAAAAGTAACCACAAAGGAATTAATAACTTCCAAAGGTAATTAAGCATAATCTTCATTGTTAATTTTATAACTACTTCGGACAAACTAGTACTCAACGTTTGAAATTTTTGAAGAAAATTATCTACCATGTTTGAGAGACTAAAAATATTTCAGACTGTATAAATTGTTGGGTCTACCCGAAGGCAGATACCTCCAAAAATAGGCGTATGCCACTTAGCGTGGAGAGCACACGGTATTCTTTAGTAAAAGGCGAAAGAATAGTTCGCTTTGTACTCACCACATGGCTGCGTGATCTACAACCGAAGAGGGTGAAGTTTATTTATATTGAAGTTTCCACTATTAAAACCTCTCTGTCTTCCGATGTGGGATACATGAAACTCCTTCTCGAAGGCTTTTGCTGTTTAGGCCCTTTTGGGTATTTAAGGCCCACTATTACTTTAGTTTTTGAATTCAACGTTTTCTTTTCCTTTGGTACAGCTCACAAGTTAATCTTACTAGTCTTGACTAATTTTCTAGTGTTGTTGACTGGCTTCATCCAATTTATTCAGTTCTTTTACATACTTGTTCACAATCATTATTGGTTTTTCATTGAATCACAATCATCTCGGTACAATGCTCTTATACAACCACAACAAACACATACATTCCGTGATTTACAAAGTTGAATCAGTGTTTCTTCCCTAAACTGTCTATAAACTCGTTAATACTCCGATCAGAGCTTCCTCCATCACTCATTGCCTTCACAGCCAAATCTTTCCACTTCTTTGAACTCTCTCTAATCTTCACACTACTCTCTCCTTCCATCACTCCTTTCAAGCACCTTACTAACTCTTCTCTCTTCACAATTGCTTCACCAGCTTCCTCTTTCGCTCTATACCCAACTTTCCACACGTCCTCCACAAACTTAGCATCATTCATCTGATCACTCCACTGAGGCACACCAACCATTGGCACGCCCAAACTCAACCCTTCCAATGTCGAGTTCCAACCACAGTGAGTCAAAAAGCAACCGACCGATTCATGAGCTAAAACCTCAAGCTGGTTACACCAAGAAACCAACAACGATCTGTCTTTAGTTGATTCCACAAACCATTCTGGCAATTTCGCAATATGAGCTTCTTTAATCACCCACAAAAAGTTCAAGTTCGATTCTCGTAGAGCATTAGCTACCTCTACGAGTTGCTTCTCAAAGAGAATCCCAAACGAACCAAACGAGATGAACACTACCGACTGAGCCGGCTTAGTCCCTAGCCACTCCATACATTCCTCTGATATCGGTTTCAACAGACTCGCACCATAGTCTCTATCGCCTTTAATCCGATCATCAAGATACGCCGATGGAATCATCGGTCCGATCAACGTCGCCCTCATTGCCTCTGACTCACCATCTTCACAATCCTAGTCAAAACACACAACCCAACACATAGCCAAAAACATCAAATTCCAGTTTCAACGATTTCACATTAAAATCTTTAAAACTTAGAGTATGATTGAAACACTTACCTGTGTTTCTAACCCTTCAAAGCCATTAACGAATAACCAATCAGCATTTTCATGGTTAGGAAACTGATTCAGAAGAACTCTCCCATGCTCCGGGTGAGTAGACCAGTGACGACCCACAAACGAAGGTAGCTCGTGGTAGCTCAACGACGGCAAGCCACGGACTCGAAACAACGCCCAATTAGGATCGGCGGGGAGAGTAAACTCACCGTTAGAGAATTTACGCATCACAGAACAAACAGTGAGATTGTTAGTGAAGAAAGCAGCAGCTGAAACACCCATAGATCTAGCAACATCAAGTCCCCAAGGAAGAAACGAATCGTAAACTAAACAATCGACCGGTGAATCAGTAGATTTGAATCTCTCGATTACGCGAGTTAGGGTTTCGGATCCGTGGAGCTCGAAGGATTCAGAGTAAGTATCGACGCTGAAACCGGGAATACCAATGGGGATGAAATCGAATCCGTCGGAGATTGGCTCGACGGAGATCGACGGAGCTGTGATTGAGGAGGCGGTGTAGGTAGTGGTGGCGATTGTGACTTTGACGGTTTTGGAGACTAGACGTTTAGCGAACTGAACCATTGGGTTAAGGTGGCCTTGAACTGGGTAAGGTAAGATCACGACATGGCCTTTGGGTTTGGTATTTGTTTCTTCTCCCATTGTATAGCTAGCTCAAAAGAAGCAGAGCTTTTGATTCTGTTTTTGGTTTTAAAATGTGAAGATGAATGTATTTGAAAGACATTTTGATTTTGGTTTATATAATAGTTTTGAAATTAAATTTCGCGTTATATTCACGTTTTTGCGTTGGTGCCACCTAACTATTGTACTACTAATATTGACTCAAACAATGTGAAGTTTTGACCCCTTTTGACGTTAGTGTGACTTGTGAGTTTACTTTTGTGAGTGTTAGTCAAATGGAAAATGCAAAGTTTTTTTAAAAAAAATTAGAAGAACGTATACAGCTTGATTTTAATATTCTCCTTCGTTTATTCTAATAATCGTGGAGACTAAAATAAATAATTTTATAATTTGGTAAAATATTGTTATCTGTTTCTCCTTGAAAGTAACATCAACACAAAATAGTTAAGAGAGAACACAAAACACAACAATTCATAAAAATCTGTTCCTCTTTTGTTCACTGAAATAATTTGGAATACCTTTGTTTATGAGTTAATTATAAATAAGACACTTTTCTTAACATATCCTTTCGTTTTAGGTATTTTCAACAGTTCTTTCTAAAATAGGTACTCAACCAGTGTAAAAAGTCTGTTCTACCCTCTTCTCAGATGATGTTAGTTGATCACAATCCTTGGCGATTAAGGAAAGAAAAAATTAAAGAAAATTGTGTAATAATCCCCAAACTAATTAAGGGAATTACCATCCACCGCTTCCACCTCCGTATCCTCCTCATTCACCACCACCGTATCCTCTTCCTCTTCCTTCACGTCTTCTACCACTGTTGTATCCTCCGCCGCCACCTCCTCTCGAGTAACCACCTCCGCCACCACCACCGCTGTATCCTCTCTCGCGTTTTCCACCGCCACCGCCGTATCCACCGCCTCCTCCGTTGTAACCACTACCGCCTCCGCTGCGGTATCCACGCCACCACCTCTACGGCTGCCTCCGCCACCGCTTCCTCGTGATTGAGCCTCGTTGACGGTGATGTTATGTCCATCGAGCTCTTGTCCGTTCATTCCTTCAATCGCATTCTTCATTGATTTCTCATCTTTGAAAGTCACGAATACGAATCTCCTTGGCCTTCCGTTTTCACGGTCGTTGATAATCGATTGAACCAAAGAGAAAACAAATCAAATCAGCAACACTATCTAACGAAGTTGAACAAACACAATACAAAAATTGAAACAGACGGTAATAGATGGCAAACTGTTTAAAATTGGTTTGGGTTGATTAAGTTGCTATTAGGGTATAGTTTTATCTCTTTACAGACTCGTGATACACCATGGCTTGATGTTTGTGTGTAGGTGACAAGAAGGACAAAAATGTCATGAACAGGAGATTTTTGCTGAACTGTACGTGACTACTGTATTGAGGTCCTTCTTCGAAAGAAAGGAATCGAAAAGTGCCCATTTTGTTAATATTCCCTTTGTTTATTATCCTATCTTGTTTACCAAACCTCCTTCAAGCCAATCTCTCGTCTGATTATTACACCAAAGCAAATATTGAAAATGTATCGATCACTCCTTAGGCGAGTACAATTTGATCCTGAAATGTGTTATCCATTTGTCATATTTAATTAAGGGTATAATTTTCAAAAATAAGATTGTTGACTAATACTAATGATAAGTTGGAGAAAAGTAGCAAAAGATTTACAGATACACCGATCCCTAAGGTAAGGGAGAAAAATAATGGATAAGAATCTTCTTTTCTTTTTTATAAAAAGAGATTTAGGACTAACAAGGTTTTTTCTTGTCCAATTTCAAATGTAAATTGAACCATTTGCTCTTCTTCTTTAGTGTCTCGGACCTATCACAAGTACTTGGTTTCTTATTCTTCTGTCTGCTGCTTTCTTCTTCTTCGTCCTCTATCTCTTCCTCTTCATCTTCTTCATGTTCAGTTGGAGCAGGCGCCTTTGCTGCTGCCTTTTTGAATGAGCCCCTTCTCAGCCTATTCTTGCTCGAGCTCCGCTTCATCACTGGAATTGTCGTGTAGGCTGAGTGAATTTCATTTCTCTGCTTTAACAACTCATCGATCTGTTAAAAAAAAAAACATAAGAAAATCAAACTAAGGCCACCGTTTCAGAAACTTAGACATATAATGGAATCTGGTCTAATCATTTTCTCTGCTTTTACTGTGAATGGTGGTATGAAAGTTTTCATGAGTAAAAGACTAACCGATTGCATTTCCTGAGCGTATCTACTGGTCATATCGGTGAACTGCACAAGTACTTCCCTGTACTCTGTCTCAAACTTTGCCAGTTCTGCTCTTTTTGTGAGGATCTGAGCTTCTACAGACCTGAGGTCTTCTTTTTCTTGAGTAAAAGCGGCAGCACAAAGAACTTGAATGGTGTAGCTCACGCTTTTAAAAAAGTTATCACCTGAATCGAACATGTCATTAAATGACCACCAAGTTGGATAAGCCGAGTACTGAATCCAGAAAGATATAAAACGGGAAAGACAAGTGATTTTGGAATCAGATTACAAGCCGGTAAAACTGACCATAAACAGCAAAGACATGAGTACCAGCCTTTAGCTCGGTAACTTCACATTGCTGAAATCCATCAAGCTTTTTAAAGAAGGCAGATTCTGGATCCTTTGCTTGAGCCATCTAGAGCAATAAAAATAAAGTCATGTCCGGAAAAAAGAGTAATAACCAAAAGAAACACATTCAGCAGTATATTTACAACACACGGAATTGAACGTACCGAATTAACTGTGTGATCCAACCGGTAGACAGGGAAACCGAGAAAGTACATTCCAGCAGATGTTATCTTACCCGTTCTTCTGCTGTCCTCCTGTTTCATGAGGGAGTCAGTGTACAAGAAGAGGACAACCATTGATATATGAAAACCCTTTGTAAAAGACTGTTTTCACTACAGTTAATA